ATCCTTGAAAACTTTATTGCACATTATTAGAGCTGAGGCATATATAGCCAGAGCATGCTGCCCTGGTAAAAACAAGGTTTGGAAAAAAATACCACAAGAAATTGACTTTTTTTTGAGGCTGAGGCATATAGCCAAAGCAACAAACTGTCGAAACCAAGTGCAGCATCAAGTGTAAATATTTTTTTGAAAAAATTTAGTCAACATTTTTTGAACCATGCAAGGGATATTCCCAAAGCAAGCTGCCCTTATAGAAACAGCACCAAGAGTACAACTTTTTTTTTCAGAGAAAGTGGACTAATACTTTCAAAGCCAAGGCATATAGCCAAAGCAAGCTGCTCTTATAGAAACAGCCACAGGAGTACATTTTTTCTTTGAAAATCTTATTTAAAAACTTTTAGAGCTAAGGCATATAGCCAAAGCAAGCTGCTCTTAAAGAAACAGCAATGAAAATAACACTGCAACGTTATTAGATATCCCAAGATACCTGCTAACACTTCGAACCACATAGCAAAGTCACTGAAACAGTACAGACAAAAAGTGGCGCCTTACTTTTCATAAGCACTGCTCGACGAAGCTAAATGATTGGAAATCTCACAGAGACCTTGGAAAAATAATAAAGTTACAATGCCACTGCCAATGTTTGTCTCGTAATTGTTTTCTAACTATAGTAGAAATAAGGCATATATATCGTTTCAAGATAACAGCATGCACCCCCCCCCCCGTCCATTCCTTATTTTCTTCAAGTTAATTCAAATTCATTAATTGAGAGCATGTGTGTGTTAACTTCGATTGCATAAATTCATGTATTTCAGAAAAGCAAGACAGTATAAGACATGCCGTAAGCTTGAATATTAACTGTAGCCTTAAGTGAATGCAAGAGATATAAGAGAGATATAAACTAGAAGCCATTATATAGGTCATGGTTTGCATCAATGTATTTAGCTACTCGTGTGCGTGTCTATTTTACGTGCAGCTACAAGATCATGAGGTATAGTGCATGATGTTTTGTATCTGTTCATATTTTGATATAAATGATGTTTTTTCATAAATACATGCATACACAATATTATATGTTCAATTACAAAAATATAGTAAGGCAAGATATAATCGTATATTTACAATGTTTAATTGCTGAGAAATCAAAAACGTATTTACATACAAATAATTTTACAATTATAGACCGAGTAGTGACCCTATAGTTATCATTTTACAATGTTAATTCCGAAAGCCGCAATTGACCGGATTTCCGAGAGCCGAAGGTGATTTCAATCAGGACAAGATAGAGAAAGAGGAAGGAACCTATAGGATTATGTCTGCCATTTGTGGCTATGGTTTGTGTTAGTGCATGTGCATGACTTTTTAGCCATTTCTTAGGTGAAATAAGGGTAAATATATAACAGTTGTAATATGTTTTCAGTTCAGTTTAACAGACAAATTATCAACCTAAACCTTAGCGCAGCCGGCAGCCCTATAAGCACAAGCGAGCAGTCCTAAGCGCAAAACCGATTAAAATATTTAACCGAATTTAAGAAACGTTTGCTCACATGCATCATGCATTAGCTATGTTCCTGGTGGCCAGAACCTAGTTAACTGAACTTAAAACTTTATTTAACTTAAGTTCGTTAACTAAATTAGTTAACTTCGTTAAGTTAATCATGCACAGACTAACCCCTGCATGCACATTTTTTGACCACCAGGCTACTCTAACCTGTAACGATGCCCGGGCATCGCTGAACGTTGCTTTTTGGCGTCGATTTGGCGTAGTTTTGGCGTATATTAGGCGTCGAGTTGGCCTACATTAGGCGTAGATTTGCCGTCGAGTTGGCCTACATTAGGCGTAGATTAGCCGTCGAAGTTACCTACATTAGGCGTAGATTTGCCGTCGAGTTGGCCTACATTAGGCGTAGATTTGCCGTCGAGGTTGCCTACATTAGGCGTAGATTTGCCGTCGAGATTGCCTACATTAGGCGTAGATTTGCCGTCGAAGTTTGCCTACATTAGGCGTAGATTTGCCGTCGAGGTTGCCTACATTAGGCGTAGAGTGCCGTCGAGGTTGCCTACATTAGGCGTAGATTTGCCGTCGAGGTTGCCTACATTAGGCGTAGATTTGCTGTCGAGTTGGCCTACATTTGGCGTAGATTTGCCGTCGAAATTGCCGGCTACTTTAGACGTAGATTTGCCGTCGATTTGGCTTGTCGGTAATAGCTCATGCAACAGAGCCCATCAACCTGAAATAAGATTAAAGAAATAAACAAACTACATTTTTTATTGGAAAACTTTTCTTATTGATGAAACACGCGTAAAATCGGGATTGTAAACAGACCCAAAACAACATCTATAAAACCCCTCTGGGATTTCAAGTATTTCTTTGCCATTATTCATATCAAATTATCATGCGGCCGTTGTCGTTCTTGACCTGAATCATGCATAAACTCCCCATTGTTCGGTTTATCTAAAAATGGTCAATTGCTTAATACTCACGTTTTATTATGAACAGGTTTTGTCGTTGTTTCAAATGGCTTGACCCGCTAAATCGCTACCTGCAATAAAACCAAAAGAATGCTTGTTATAGACAGCGATTTCAAGGATTTACCTTCGATGAAGGTAGCTCAAATATCGGAAGAAAACTTGCAATGATTATTCAGTTGAGAGAACGCATGATGCCTGATCAAGCGTTTCAAGTTTATCATCCTATTTTGAATAAAATAGACCCAAAATTACCTGTTCATTTCAGTAACAAGTGTTAAAGAGCAGCTTTGGACTTGCCGTCTCTTTAAATGCGAGTCATCTCGGGGATTTTCAGCTATGGGTTTTCTCTCCCAGCTCATTTCTATATTCGGTTTGGTTTTAGCTTTTAAACTCCACCTGAAAGAACAAAAGGCAATGTTCGTTTACTGGTTTGGTCTTTATAACTCAATTCAAAGGTAATTGCTTGCGATTGGAGCAAAGGTTAGCGGCTCACATACGATTTAGCGTGCATTACCTTTCTCATATCATCAACAAGTCCCAAGAAAATGCGTAGACGTGCTTTCTCTCTTCAAAGGCGAGTTATCTTGAGTCAAATGCGAGTTGTCTCGGGTAATTTCAGCTACGGTAACGGACTTTTTGCCCACTTCACTTCATTCAGTTTGGTTTTAAACTCTCAAACTCCACCTGAAAGAATAAAAGGCACCATTAGCTCACTGCTTAGGTCTTTAGAACTCAATTCAAACGTAATTTGCGTGTGGTTAGAGGGAAAGTTAGCGGCCCAACGGTAAGATTTAACATATATTACCTTTTTCATATCATCAATATTCCTCAGAAAAAGCCTAGACTTGCTTTCTCTTCAAAGGCGAGTTATCTTGAGCCAGTTCAGCCACAATTCATCGGTCGTCAATCTCTTGTTAACAAATTTCATCGTTTAACTTCGCTTTAATACGTCAAAATTCTGCATGAAAAGAATAAAAGCTACGTTAGTGCTATACAAGTTTGTATTTGAAGCTGAACACAGCACGAAAGAGGCATTACAAGACATGAACTAAAGACACGTGGAACCTCAGCCCAAAAGCTCACGATGAAAAAACTGATAAAACAGGCAAAGGGAAAGGCATATTACCTGGTATTTACACCAACGACAGTCTGTCAGAGAGAGTAAACTTCTATTAAACTTCTCTTCGGCTGAAGACAATAGCAATCTGATACCAATTTCTGTTGAAATTTTCTTGGCATGGAGGAGACTCATTTTTATTCTTCGAAGACCAGCGCTGAAGTGATGTCTCAATGGAGCAAGCACATATATTCATTTCACCCGCTCCTTGTGTCTGCAAATAGTCTCTATTGGATGAACACTCCCGACCTGACGCTCAAACAACGCTTTTGATTGGACGTTCATAGTAATTTAAATAATATGATTAATTCTCTTTTCCTGAGCCTGAACATCAGAGATGAAAGGAAATAATTAATCATATTATTCAAATTACTATGCTCGTCCAATCAGAAGCAATGTTGAGCTGTCAGGTCGAGAGTGTTCAGCCAATAGGATGACTTTTTTTTGCAACACGAGGAGCGGGTGAAATAAATATCTAGCTTTGATTCAACGTTGCCACATCACAACATGGAAAACACGGAGTCGGAGTTCCGGAGTCCCGGAGTCAAAATTACGGAGTCTGACGTAATAATATTGGAAAACATGGAGTCAAAAATAATGGAAAACACGTAGTCTGCCAAAAACATGGAAAACACGGAGTATAAATGTTTGGAAAACACGGAGTCAACGTAAATTATACATATATTCATAAATGAAGGATCGCTCATAAGTCTATACTAATTTTTTATACCACAGTAATAGTATAAAAGAAAGAATACACAATAACAAAAGATTATAGCTATAATGCCGCTAATAAATACGAGCGAAAAGATTATAGCTATAATGCCGCTAATAAAAACGAGCGAAAAAAATACATAAATTCTTTTTACATAAATTCTATATTTGACCGCCATATTTCAAAAGATATAATGAACTTTGCTATACTGTATTTCTAAATAGGATGTTGAGTACCCCATATGGCTATGAGTATTGTTATGAGCATGCAGAACCAATGGGCAGCAGCCGCGCGGTATTTCTTATCTTATGAGTAATCTATGGGGTAAATTTTAAAAAATTGATGAAAACATTCAGTTTTTGTTTTTTACATGTCCATGCGAGCATTGAAGCAAAATTAACAAATAATGAGTATATTCTGCCATTCACATGCAACAATATAATTATAATGAAATTTCTTCAATTTAGTATAACTTATGAAAGGAATAAATAACAAACTACTGTGTTCGGGTATATTCTGTCGTATTCTGTGGCACTAATATATGTTTATCATATGATATACTGACGCGTTATTATTCATAATTCAAAGCCAAAACTTTTATTGTCATAAATTTATATTTCCTGTTTTGGAAGTAGCTATAACTACAATATAGGCGTCTTTACCGACAAACTCAAAAGGCTTACAAAATTATACAAAGCTCGTCGACAATGACTTTTTTTGGGTTTAGGAAAGCGGACTTTAAAAATTTGCATACAATCACATGAATGTCGGTTTAAAAGTGGATATACACAAACAAGACATCTGCTTTCTCTAATTTCCCGCCATTAATTGCTTTGAAACACGCGTCCTCCTTATAAATATGTTAAATATATCATTTGATTGTCTGTATGCTTAGCAACTGTCTTGATTTTAAGATAAATGACTTCATCCACATTAGTCATTCGTAAACAGCGCTTCTTAATAAATGAATGGAAACATGCTTGCCCATCGCATGAAAAAATCGAAGCACGCTTTTGCCCTTTTGACAATATCTGGTGTGGGACTTTTATTTATATCGGCTGCTATTTTAGTGGCGGGATGTTTTCTAATATTTCATGAAAATTTTCAAGACTCTGGTGGGCTTAAAAAGAAAATCGAGATAGAGTTCGATTATAGCCATTACTGGCTTGGAGGCAGCGTAAGTATAATATTATCCCGCTTGCAATGCAATTTTTGTTACATCTTGGTTGTATAGTACAGTACAGAGAACTTGAATCAACTTATATAGTGGACGGTTGAGTTCATGTATACATAAAATAATTCACAATACGATCGCCGTTGGCGTGTTGTTGTTGTCTGAAATTAGAAAGACTTTTTTATTCTGCTTCGTTAATTCGATATTTCAAACTGCAAAAATTAAGAACTGATCAGTCGAGCTTTTTCCCTATCAGTACTTTTAGTAATATATATTTTAAAACGTTGCGCAAAAAAAGAACAATTAGATAAAAAATTGGTCGATTACCCGATATATTTTTAATATCATTCTGACAGAAATATTATTCCATGATGCATAAGACATACAATTAATTATAGTAATCGTCGACTGAATCCGCTAAAATATGCGTGCATTACACCTTCCCGCTTTGAAATAGGAATATACAGTAGGAGGCAAAAGTTTGAGTCCAATGACTGTATTTCATTGTTTTAGCAGCATATATTAATATTCTACAGAAAACCTTACCGATAAGTGAACTACAAAAAAGTAAATGAGTAAACAGAAAAATACATGCTGTACAACAACTATGAGATGTTATGATATTCATTTTACGTATGTTAATCTGCAAAAATGCATTACATATCAATGCTTAGTATCCCTCTTTTTTCCTCTTAAAATGACGTTTATTCTTGCTGGCATAGACTCCATAGGCTTTTTAATGTCGCACGTCCAATACCTTGCCAGCATTCGTTGACCAGCTGCCTCAAGTCATCCTGGCTGGCGGGTCTATGCCTCGCTCTTTTCCAGTTAAAACGGTCCTACAAGTGCTCCTTAGGTTTTAGATTTGGAATTTGAGGTGACAAGCCATGAGAACGAGATCACCAAAACGAGTTTGCTTCTAAAAGATTTGTGGCACATAGAAGATGTGCATGTGCTTAGGGGATTGTCATGTAGTTATACGCGCGATCATCTTTGTACCAGATGAAATTCCATGTCCTTGAAGAATTGGATGATACTTTTCTTTAATTAGGATCCTATTATATCTTTCAATATTGCCAAACCGAGCATGACCGAAGCAGATAAAAGTGTGCTTGAGTAGGATTAGTTTCTTCGAACCTCTCCAAGGTTAGTTGGATACCACCTTTTTAAATTCTCCCTTTTTCTGCGATCATACGAGGAAAGAATCCTTCAATACTTAATGCAACTATTTGTCCTTGTGCACCATCACTTTGCCCTTTTTCCCAGCCATCTTGGGCAGTGTAAAGGAATAAGAACTTTATTTTGTTATAATTTAGATCATTAGGACCAAAACAGTGTGCAATTAATATGGTTTAAAGTACTGAAAGACTAGCACGCATGTCTTAACTCGAATACACTGCCAGGATTTAATACTGGAATTCTATAACGACTGGACTCAAACTTTTGCCTCCTACTGTATATTTAAAGCATATATATGCGTCAAAGTACAATAAAATTGAGAAATCTTTACAATACTGGGACGTATTAACATCCAATGCGGCAACTGGTGTGTCAGCTAAGTTTTTTCCAGAATTTCTTATTTGTCTGGGTTTTTTTGTTTTTTGAAGAAATATTACTTATCTAGATGGACTGAGTAGTCAAAATTTATTCATGTATTAACCTATGCCTATGGGTTTCATCAACTTAGGCGATCATACATTGGGCCATAGAGGTGCAGTGACGCGTATACCCTTCATTTCTGGAAGAAGTAGACATGACAAAATCGTACTCGGAAATTAAATCAAATGTCGACTGATCCCACATTTTCTCCTAAAATAACTTATTATTTTACTGATCAACACCATAGTATACTTTAACCGAAACATAGAACAACAATTTACTTCACTAAAGTAAAAGCAACAACAGTTCACATAATACAAACTAGTGAAAAATCGTGAACTGATTTCCCGTTTAAACCATGCAGCCATATATTATTACAACTGTGTGCCCTTTCAGCGGTAATTTATATTTATCGGCGAAGGCCATGCATGTAGCTATATATGAAACAGACAAGGGGGCTGAACTTAGCGTGATCGAGTGACATTTCAGGCTTTTCCTGAAGGTCTTGTACAGATATTTCCGAAGGCCTTGTGAGATATTTCGGGTTCCAGAAGCCTCAAAAATCAATATAGAGAGGAACTTATTTTAGACACTGGACTTACAATATGGCTCTTATGTAAAGCTATATATGAAGAGCTATAATTAACGAATTCATAGATATAGATATACTGCATGATTTCAAGCCCGAAGTGATATATCCTATTATAATCTTATCCGCGAAAATTGCCTAAAATATTTTATCATGCCGATTTCTTATAAGACAATTAAGACATGTAACTATAGGTACATTATGATTTTAATTTCTATGTCATTAAACATAAATGAATGACAATTTTATATTTTTTAGTATCTCGTCACAGCATTACTACTACTTTTGTCAGCATGCCGTCAAAACAGAAGAAGATTGGTAAGCAATAATAATCTTGATGTCCTTTATTGAATGCGTAATTTCTTGTCTATATATATATATATATATATATATATATATAAATGGAATAACGATTTTTTGGCGATGTGGAATTGGCACCACAAATGCGCAGGCGACCCTATGCATGCAAACATTAATGGCGGCTTTAAAATGAAAACTTCCGCTAATATAATCAGCTAATAGGAATAAATTATAGCCAGTGTGTACATAGCACGAATTTGAGCAGCATCTCACTTTCAATAGCCTGCTCAATCAAGGACAAGGATAAAAGTAACTAACATAACTATAACTATATAGTCATAACTATACGCAGCGTCAACAACGATGCCCCATTTGCATGTGCATGCATTAGCGAAATTGTTGATAAGGGATTCAGAAATAATAAAAAGATAGCTATAGCCCTTTTTAATATTATATATATTATATCGATCCTAACGAGTTTATCCCAAGGGGTTTTTCTCCTGCTATGAATTGGAACTAACTGGCACAAATCATATAAATGGTCATTTTAATCTTTTCAAGGCATTATCTTATCACACTTTATTATAAAACAACATATCCTGTTATTGCTTTTCGGCAGTCAACAATTCTTTTCCGAAGGCAAGGCGATAGTAACATGCTGATTCTGCGGAGTCGGAGATTAATATATTGATATTCAGTCAAAATTACATAGGTGCAAAATCTTAAGAAATCCTTTAGGATCTATCTTAAAGATTTCGAAGATAACGGCTTTGACAATCCATCTAGACATTTATCACCGCAACTTTCTTGGCATCAGGCATAGCGCTATCGTTGTTTGCTATCGTTCTGGACGGACCTGATTGGACAGAATGGAAAAATATTGACAGAACAATGAAATTTTGGGAGAACAAAGATGATTATACTTGCTCGTCGAAGAACAAAACCTGCAGCTGTCGACAAGATGGAAGTGGTATTCCACGTAAATACATATTATGAGTGTGTTGTTAGTACTTGCATGCAGGGCAGAAGGTAGCGCGATAATTGGGACGGGGGGTAAATATGCGTATATTCTGTTCTGCCCGACGGATTTCTTTTTAAAACTTATATATATATACACACCAAAGAAATTCTTCGGGCAAAACGAATATACGAATATGCACCCCCCACCGGTTCAATTATCGCATCTAGTTTTGGTCCTGAATACGTGGGACTTTAGTGTGATTCTTCCAGCTTTGTAGACGTCGTAGGTGGTTGCTGATTGATTTCGTTCAGGTTTTCTGAAAATGAGCTTCGAAACACTTGAAAAACGCGACACAACTGTCCAACTGAAATATCAGTGCCCAGTTCATCAACATTTTCTCGCATATTTCATGGGGCTTATCCATGCTATCAATTTGCAATAGACACTGTAGTCCCATTTCTATTTCCTGTTCCGTCCTAATTAGTCTCAAATTTTAAAATTCAAGTTTATTCACATTTTGAGACCTTATTTTTCGAAATTTCTTTGTTTTGTATTTTATCCTCTTATGGGTCCTTCCCGCCAAACCTTGATTTTAAAATCCCGGCTCTGTATAATGTTGGGTCAGTATTTTTCAGTTGATACACTTATTTTTGAAGCTCACGTAAAGCCAGGCTTGGTACATTCTCGCTTTGATTAAGAGAAATAATAATATTATCATTTTTTTATGTTCTCCAGAATCCATCAAGATATCGTGGATCGCTAATTGCGACGACGTAAAATATTTAGCAGCCATATATGGTGTAATAGTGGGCGGAGCAATTCTTGGATCCATTTTCTGCTTGGCATCATTATTGGTAATGATCAACTCTATTTCTTGGAAAAACCCATGGAAGGTCAGTGATATGTAGTAAAAAAGTCATTAGTGAAAAAATTTTGTATCCAATTTTATTGCCTATAGTTAATCTTTTGGTGAAGAATGATTTCTATTAATTTTCATCGGTCTACAGTGCGTTTGTCTTTCAAAACTATAAACCTTATACTCTTAGTGCGAAGGGGAGGGGAGAGGGGAAGTGATGGGTTGTAATCTAATATGCCCGATTCTAGTCAGAATATTATTCAAATTATTTTTGTTCTAGGCCTTTACATCCTACACTGCTTCATACGAGAACAAAGTTGCAATTCCAACCCTCACTGACGCCATGGAACTTTACAGAGAGCAACCTACCCGGCATCCAACCCTGGCTTCAAGTTCAACCTCATCATTGGCAAGACACAACAAAGAATACATGCCTGCTTGGTCACTGTATGGATCTAATGTTGAAGATACCAATAACCCAGACCCCTATGCGAACCAGCAGGGTTGAGCTGTTGTGTGTAAAATACGAGCCGATGAGTTGTATATGTTTTGTAAACTGGAGTGCGACTCACGAAAGCATGACCATACTGCATCAGTCGATTTTTGTTCATTGTGCCATTTTAGTCCATGTGGTACGTATTAATCTCACCCTACTGAATGTAATATTTTTGTGTCAAACTTGTCTATAGTTACTGAGAACTGACAGAAAATGATGTGGTAGTGTAATATTCTCTAATCCGTAAGTGTACGCAGTTCTTCAGCTTCGCATAGAGAGTTTTGAAAAGTCATAATTATAAACTCGCGTGTGAATGAATTTTAGTCTGCATTATGTACCGTCATTTGCTTCTGATTGGTCAATGCAGTGACCTGCATCTGGATGAGTTTAGGATGCAAACTGCGGACAAACAGTTCCTTTGTAACGGGATTTATCACATGCATTCACTTGCCTGGAGGTCTAAACACCTGAGTAATCTCGTACCCAGGCCCCTCTCGAAATATTGTAGAAAATAATCAGAGTAATAAAATAAACGAAAATAATCGATTAAAACCCGACTCATTATGACGTTTTACGCCAGCAAAACGAAAGTACTTGGCAAGTATTATCTCTCAATTAAAGCCCAGGAACTTAAAAAAGACGATTAGTTGTATGATTCCAGACAAAAGAATCAAAACCTGTGCTGATACATCGTACTGTCGCCGAAAGAAAAATTATGTCGCACGGTTGTTGTAAATTCAGTATATTCAGTCAAATACACGACAGAGAATAATTACAGGATCGTAAACGACTAATCGAATTTGCATCGTGTGAAATAGGCTTAAGTGGATGATATCGGATTGAGGGTTGTCGAGTGATGAATGTTACAGTCTTCTTTTAAATGTGCAGAATAGTCAGCGATTAAATTAAACTACATTTATGAAAAATGCTAATGCTATAATAAGGTTATGAAACAAAGCCGAAAACATTCAAATCAAAATTCTTGGGCTTCTCTCAAGAAAAGGGAACCCAGCTGGATATCTTATCTTTCATTCAACCGTTCAGTGCATATGCATTCCAATGTCATTCTGAACCGAAGACTAAATCAGTTTCATGTATAGCGGAAAAAACGGTTTGCCAAAGGTCTCATAACGATGGCTTTTGGGAAAACATTTCGTACGCAATCTAGGCAATTAGCTTTCATCTTACTACTGCTCTTTGGAGGCTTTGTGGTTCTTCTTGGTCTAGTTGTGCTCGCGATAGGTCTCACTATCACACACAACGATACCTTTCATGAAACCACGGATTTAAAGAAAGAAGTTGAGCCTAAGATCGATTATGTTCAATACTGGGTCGGTTTTCCGGTAAGAGATGTGTATTCTATATGTATTGCACGGTAATATTCCATGGCGTCAATGTCTAGCATTATGTATGGTATGTTTTGTGCGGCGGATAATTATTGAGAGATCTGTCTGGCGGAAATCAAGATTTTAAAATTAGACCTACGCTACTCGCTAGCTTTAATAATCATGTAAAGTAACGTGATAATTCAGTTCGTATTAATTTGTATTTAAAAGTTCCGGGTGCTTTGCCGATAAAATAGTTTCAAAGGAAAGACTATACAATTCGTATATTTATGCTGATGTGATCTCTTGTTTACAAACCGTACGCAATGGGTGAGGTTTGATACGAAGATTGTTTTCAATAAAGAATGTTGAGCAGTGAGTGTAGTTTAATCCTTATAGTTTTAAAGAAAATATTCCTCTACGGAATGGGCGAGAAAAAAAGTATATCTACAATTCTTAAAATGTAATTGATAATGAATATTTAATGTTGGTATTATAATATATTGATACATTTCGATTTGAAAATTCTTTGTTTACATGAATAATAAATACAATTTTTGGCAAAGTTTTTGTTGTATACAACATTGTGAACTTCGGCTGCCCAGAGTGTTAGGTATCGTATAGGCTGATTTCAGATCAGGTGTAATTTAAAACTGTGCACCTGCATCACCTAAAGACCTTTTCAGCTTGCATGCAAATTAACCATTTTAGATGTTGTGAGAATGGAATAGCCAATAAAACTTAACCATTTCAGACACTGTGATTTTAAATGGTAGGTTAATTTTCATACAAGCTGAAAGGTTTATTACAATCGAAATTAAATTTCACGGGTCACCTTGAACGCTGGAAATGAACAGTTAGCAAGAACTGAAGACAAGAGGAGGAGTTACACCCCATCTCCAATAGTTACGTATCAACTTGCAATATTTAAACGTTGTTCTAATTCCCAAAATTGACAGCGTTGTTGCATCAACATCAATCCAGTGTTGATCTATATTTCTAAACCTCACTGAGGCAATAAAGCAAAGCTTAAGTGTTTCAGTCGACAACAGATTAAGTCAAATCTCTCACTGAGTGAAGTATTGCACGCGAAAAAACGATTGAAAGTAAAGGATTGAAAAATAGTAATTTTGTATATTTGTTTACAGTATATCATCGCTGGGTTGTCAGTCCTGTGTTCTTCTATCAATCTTCAAAGTATTTCTTTGGTAAGTTCGAGATATCGAACACACTGCACACTCAATGACATCGCCTTAAAAACTCTTTAAAATCGGATAGATGACTTGTTTTTGGTAGGAAAATTTATTTTACAAGACATTAGCTACTAATTTGATCGAAAAAAGTTTACAACTATACCCCGGTCGTTTTTGGCGTGTTCAAATCATTTGAAATGCAATACGATATATCAATTCATCGCACACTGTACATTCTTAGACGGCGACTAGCATACTGCTATCCCTGGTATGCGTGGTGTTATCTTTGGCAGGTTTGATGGTGGACGGACCGGATTTTAACGATTGGAAAAGTTATCGAGCTATGCAAAGATACTGGGAAGGCCAGGATGGATATGCATGCTTTTCTGAAGGATACACATGTGTGTGTAATGGAACCGGAAATGCACAGAGTTAGTAGGCTCTTTACCTTTATCATCGTATCTTACTAAAAGAACGAACCAGGGGGTGCGAATAGTCTTTTTAAAACGTCCTTTTTCAAATTCAGAGGTAATAACAGGATTTACTGACTGCGAGACATTGATGAAATTGACTTCTCTGTACGGTGTTTTGATTGGCTGTTTTATAATTGGGTTGGTTCTGCTGCTCATCAGCGTCTTCATGATTGTGTACAATGTTACAAGCAAACGGGAGAAAGTAAGGACACATGCAGAATTTTTTGTTTCGTATTAATTTCGCTGCATTATTTCTGTAATCATTAAATTTATGATTGTGTAATACTTAAAAATGTTAAAATGAAGTCGTTAATGTTCTCTCGTCTTGATTCAGTTTCCCTGAAAGTGTAATGTACTAAAGCCTCTCTATTTAGGCACGGAGACGAGGCGACGAGTACTTCACGACAATGAATGATGTTGTCGAGGAAACACGACAAGAACCAGTTTTTGACAATCCCGTAACAAATCACACGGGATACGAATACCAAATGGGACCACCTGCGGTAGAGGCACCCTCAAAGCCTGCTCCTTACAGGGAGTACAAGCAGAGTACAACCGCTGACAGTACTAGCCACATGAACAACCTCGATGACACCAGCACTATTGCTGAAAATGATGGAGTGGTTATAATGGATCCTGGTCGCTTTCGACTTGGTGATGACGACATTTACTAAGTCTCTCTGTTAAAACTATCAATTTGATTTAGATGTTTTATGTTTATAATAATCCTGCTACGTATCTCTCATAGTTTCAAATAAGGAGTAAACCTAATCTTTACACGACTATAACTATATATTATTGTGAGCCTGAACATATTTAGTTTTGAAATACATACCACCAACTTATTAAATACGTTTTTAAGACGTAATTAATGACAAAGTGTTCGTGAAATTTTGTGTCAGTGGCATTACAAAGAGGAAGAATTGAGGGGAGTTTCAAGGAATATAATGAACAACTTTTCAGTAATGATCCGCCTTTATTTCCCCCTCTTAACACAATAACACAATTTGTCTGCATTTGCATGGTTATAATCTAAGGAAAAGAATTATTTTACTGACGTATAGGAGTTATCGCCATGCTGGTCTACACGAAATATAATATTCTCGGATGATATAAGACGCGAAGTATTTTTTATCAACAGAATACATATACGAACATTTTATCATCATGCAAGGATACGTTAATAAAACATTAAACATTTTACCACCGGGAATGAGAGTAAATCAGTAACTATATACAGGTAAGTGTAAACATAAATAGATATAATGAACAGGAGACGGGCTAACTGCATGGTTGTTAAATCTACATTGTTAGACTAAAAACTTTCTCGTCTTTAGACGTGCATGAAAAAAACGCAACAGTATTTGTTAATTGTTATAAATGCAGACTTTATCGTATTTATCAGGTCATGCACAGCATTAATTGTTAAAAAACGGTTTTGGTAAGTGATCGCTAATCAAAAGGACAAATCGTTTTGCCAACACTCAAACCTGTTAGTTTTGTGTATTTCAAAAATAAAGGCGAGCTTTAGAAGTTTCGCAAGCAATGCAGTGTTCTGTTTCAACATTATATTAGTCGAGAGAAAATAACACATCAAATAGACAACAAACTTCAGTGCAAAGCGTGCGAGACAAACAGTACCTCTCTAAAATGAGTGTTGATTAAATAACAACCTCAAGAAACAAAACACATATATAACAAACTTAAATTCCCTATATAACCTTCCCTATTTCAGTGGTATACCAAATTGTGTATAGGTAGAGAATTGCTACAACTAACCACTCGCACAGGTGAAGAATTGCTATGAACCAGTTTTTTAGTTTTGAAAAGTGCTCAGCCTTAACAAATTGATATGGAATCTAAAGACCCTGCGTACGAGGTTGCTGTATTAATTAGCTGTTTTATTTGGTATAGTTTTCTCACTCTGTCGAGATTGCGTATTATAAACCTCACCCTCGCATGATTTGTTCTTCTCTGTCTCTGAACTTCAAACTTATACCGCGTAGATCACAAAATACCGGCGTGTGATCAATATGCTAGACTATATATACACACGATAAGCAAATGCCGCCTCACGGCGAAAAAAATCATTCCTAGCTACATGTATTGAATTCAGCCTGTTTGCTTTTGCACCAAAATAGAAATGATTTCTGCCCAAGAGCTCAGGTGACGACGCGTTTTTCAATGTCAATGCAAGCTTAGGGTGAACTATATAGTATGTGTAGCTAAAAAGAGTTGAAATTCGTTTTGTTATATATAAGCCATGTTTAATATATGCATGTGTATCAAAAATGGATATATCGAATTGATAGACAGTGATTGGCATATAATATATATTCACCTTATAGGCAATTTCCATGCACAGAGGGAGTAAAACAGATGCATATATTTAAAATAGATGCAATATTTTCAAACAATGTCGCATCGACCTCCTGTAGAGTTAATTTTGTTTATTCATTTCGGAAGACATACCAGAAACCAAACCAGGGAACGAACTATATTTTAAGTATGGAATCTCACTTGAGGAAAGCGAAACCAAAATCAATCGCTGCTTTGGTATTTTTAACCCTAATAAGCGTTGGGTTTCTGCTCTTTGGATTAGTGACTGTCACATGTGGCTTCGTTTTGAATTATCACGACGATTTCAAAGCTTCAAATGGCGGAGAAGAATTAGAGGCAATTGTAAAATCGGAGTTTGATTATACTCAGTACTGGCTTGGTTTACCAGTAAGTAAACTAATACTGAAGCATTAATTATGAGCAGGTTTCGTATCTCAAATGAATAAAGTTTGACTCTTGAGAAAAGATCATTTGTACGATGCAAATTTGATGAAGTTAATTATGTTTAGAAAATATGTGCATTCTCACGATAAAAAATGTAGCTATACACTGATGAGTGATGTAATCTTGTGTGGGCCAGCAAATCAGTAAATGGCTTATATTTCATTGTTGTCTACTGCGTGAACTTCTGATATCAAAAGCAGGCAAATGATTGATGGAACAAATCTCACGGTTTCTGCCTTTTAACCTGCCAAGAAATGAAATGTTGACATGCATATAATTATCGATGTGCCAATGTTCAGTTCAACTGTTCAACAATTAAATGTAAATTTGAATACTTATTTTCAATTATTAAAGACTCGTGGAGGTCGTCCCACATATTTCTCATGTCCAGCAATATCAATTTATATAACGATAAAATTATTGTAAAACTTTCACTAACGATGAATTTTTAGCTAAGTAAGCGAACGAATGCAAAACTCACGACTTAACTTCTTTCGCAACTATACAAGTGTATATATAAAACCATTTCATGCAAGTATATACATATTTAACATATTGATCTGATTCTAAACTCGGCAATACTAATTAATAGATAAAGTAATTCTTTTTTCTATCTCTCTAATAACTGAATCTGTATATTGACACGCCCTTAATTAGAACTATAGAATAAGTTAAAACAAACACATTTACGATAAATGCAGACTAAGTTATGTGAGAGGTGAAATATTTATAAATTGAACTATGCGATGACACATGTTTAAAACTTGAAATTGTACTTAAAAGATCACATACAATAGCCGCGTTAACACTACAATAGGCATAAGGCTGACCAAGACTAATCTTCGGCTCAGCACAATAGGAAGCAACCTCGTACCCAGGGTCTTTACTCGTGGTGCCCCACCACCACGAGTAAAGACCCTGGGTACGAGGTTGAATAGGAAGTAGACTAAGCCTGCCCGCCTTTGCGGCGGTGTGAAAACTTTGACAGAATTTAGCCTATGGTCAACGAGAGCATGGGAGAGGCAGGGAGTACAAAATACCCGGGGTCCATAACTTACAAGCATTTTGCTCATATTTAATTTTTACTTTCTTTTTTAGTTTCTTATCACAGGTGCTCTTTCGATAGCCTCAGGCATGTGCCAGAACAATAGATCACTGGTAAGATCCTCACAAAGTACCCTTTCAACAAGCTACCTCCCAAACTGGGCCACGTTTATAGGCCAAGAACATTAATTTGATCAAATTTAAGTTCAACAGATATTTTCGGTAATTGCCTTTATGGCTACAAACTCGCTGTTCTTCTTTAACGTTCTTTTCTTTCGGTCATGTTTCTTTCGTTCGATTAAAAAATTTAGCTTGGTGGAAAACCAGATCTCGAATGCGATGAAGTGAATTTAATTACTGCCAATATTATCCATTTCGTGGAATAGCTAAAATAAATTTAATAAAGTGTGCACACCTTTTTTTAGACATTAGTGACATTTACATGTTTGTTCCTATGTATAACCCTGTCGTTGTTTGCGATGGTACTCGAAGGGGTGGACTGGGTTAAATGGAAGAACATGGACCGGTTACATAACACGTTGGATGGAAAAGACGAATATTCGTGCTCAAGTACAAATCACACGTGTATTTGTGTGGGCGGAAATGAAAATAAGAGTAAGGCTATATATGCTCGTTTTTGTACCTCATACACAATAACAATTTCAGTATTAGGTTACAAATCACAGTCACACTATTAAATGTATTTATTGTGTCGTAATACTACGAAGTATGAACTTCCCTCTTCTATCTAAGTGCGAGTTAACCACTGTAATGTACGACTTCGTGTAGTGGAAAAATGGAAGTTAGTCAGTGAGATTTAGATAATTTGATTTGAAACGGATTTCTGATTTGCATACAAATTAAGCAAGCCCAGCCAGGGAGGATTACGAATTGTAATTACTCAAACAATGAATATGAAAAAACCCTTCAAATATACGATAGCAGCGATACCAAAAACATTTCATTTATGCCTTTGGTGTATGTGAGAGGCAAAAGTGTAATATCCATATTAGGTTTCGTGGTACAATGTAACTCTAAATGAAATCTAAATCATTTTACCACCTTTTTCAGTCATTTCCAAATATGCAACCTGCTCCAACGTTACATCGCTGTCTGGCCTTTTCGGAGGTATTGCCGCCTCAGCAGTTATTGGAATATTCCTATCTCTTGCGGGAATTGTTATTATTTTGAAATCATTGTCATGGAAACCTCGTCATTACCTTGTTGTAAGTAATGTTTAGAAAGTAAGAATTTTATTTCTTTTCTCTTCTAACCAGATCGTTGGTATCTCCAAATCATAAAATATATGGGAGAGGCAGCTTGGCTTTAAAAATGTTTTATAATCAAAGCTCGTTTTTCCCTCAGCGCATGGCTAACTCTGACTTTGGATAAATTCAAATTTCAGCTATATACTTTTATTCTAGGAATATAATTTGCGAGAAGTGAGACCAGTTCAAAAAGGAGCTCACAAGAACGAAGGGTACACGAATGGAGTTGCGCCACGCCTTGCTGGAAAAGGCGGATCAATAACCGAGATTCCTTTGTACTAATTGTCAAGACGACTGAGAAATTAGTGATAGTATTTACTTAGTTTTGTTTTATATTCAGATTTATAACGCATGATAATCAGTTTGTTCAGTTGTCCAGAGCTCTAATTTCCGGGTTTGCGCGTGTTGAGCTTTAGGCCAAAAGTCACGAAGAGAATGCACACACAGAATATGAAACGAACCAGAACGGAAAATCATTTTGTGAGTAGTATTCGCACCGACGGTAATCTCATTCTACCCCCGAAAACTAGCGACCAACGACACTTTAAACGGTTAAACGTCTTGGGTTAAAGCGAAGGGGACTTTTAGAGTTTAACTGGATTATTTTTGTATAGGTTTTATGACTATTCAAAAGCAACTTTTTATTGTTATGTTTTGAAATATAGAAATATATAGAGGACACTCGGCTGAACCAGCAACATTAAAGAGTCACATTTCTGGTTCGTTTCGTTACTCTGTTACACACCCCAATTAACAAATTAACCAGTTTTTATAATGCTTGAACTGAGTTCGTAGGAATTCGATACTCTAACCACTTGTTCTATTATAATTTTTTAACTATTTTAACTTCGCAAGAAGTTGAGAAGGTACTTAAAAAAACGCCCAGAAGGAACTTAGTCTAGTACTTGATAGCCCTCAATGGTTGCATGGCTCTAGTTGCCATTAAGATTGCATTTTTCGAAGTTTCTCCACTCTGGGAGTGATAATCAAAGGAATATAATTCGCCTTTGATGCTGATCGAAGCCAAAAATATTGTCATCATTATTTAGTGGTTACCAGCTATGATTATAAAGCCGTTAGACGACTCCCATTTCACAGCATACCATAGGGGAGGGAGAATAATGGACTGAGTAATTCCAGAATTGTTTACCACGCATGTGCACGGAAATTCGGGTAAATGCGGTGTATGGACGACCTTCCCGGAAATCTTCTCCTTAAAATTTTTCAAAATTTTGCATATGAACATATCTTTATACGATAAATTCTACGGCCTTAAAAATGTCACATCGTTGATCCCTCTCTGAATACGATTATTTACATCAACATAAGATTCTGCAATTATAAGTAGTATATTAACTTATCATGTATATCACCACAGACTGTACGTATAAAAAATCGTAAATAAAAAGCTATATAACCACAGAAGTCGTATAATTTCATATTTTTGAAGAAGGGTGGGAATCGGATAAAAATAATAACTAGTTAGATTCACACAGGATTTATTCACTTTCATTTATTGATTTGCTGAAAATATTGTTCACAGATAGCATTATATATAGTTCAGGGCCAGGGGCCAGTTGTTCGAAAGACATTTAGCTTAAACGGTGGATGCTTAAACCGGCATATAAATACTGTTTTATTTTGTAATTCCAAGCTGAATATCTTCCTCTGGAAGAGCTAGAAATGTTCTGAAACTTTGAATACAAAGACCAGGGTGTATAAAACTCTTAACTGCACAATCGAACATCGAAATGGGTAATACGCCTTCAAACACCCGCTTTTTCCCGTCTTCACCATGAAACGGAACTGGGTACGAGTCAATACTTTAATCGTAGCTTCGTCGTCAATAATGCACGATTTTGATAGGCTAATTTGAGGCCATTTATATGAGTTCCGTTACCCGAGATTACAGTATATTGGACGAGTTACCCGAAGTGTGAAATCACTTTGAGACATTCAAATGAGTGTATACTGGATCAGGTCATTGGTGTTGTCATCGCTGAACTCAATACTCATGCAACAAAAAGATGACTGATTAGAGATTGGTTGTGATTGGGCTTAATTGTTTAAATAGAGGCTCATTTTAATACCTCGAGATCATCTCACGCTTCGGTGAAAACAGTCCTAAAAACTCAGGTAACCGCGGGTTTATGTTTTTGTCACTAACAAATTAAGTTAAATAACTTTTAATACAACTAGCGCTCTACGGTAATATAACACTAATATACAGATAATAATATAGTCTATATTGAAAAGGAGCCTGACAGGCTATAGTTGGCTGGTCATGTTGTCATATGTCTACATTAAATGTTCAGTTGATTCCAATCACAGCGTGTGGTGATGTTGACTAGCTGACGTGTAAAAACACCGCTTTTTCTGTAGTTGTGAACAAGGAACCCGACTATTTATATTATCGATATTGCATATAGACGCTTTTGTCGTAGTTATTAGAACGCATATTTATTGTCATAGAAAGCAGTTTTGGAAAGTCATCGATAATCAAAAGAACATATTTTCTTTCCTTTTCTTATAGCACACAAAATCGTTGTTCATAGCGTTGTGTATTCCACGAATACACGCTTGTTCTGGGAAGTCACGCAGTCGGCGTTTCCCGTCTCAAGACAATCAACGAGTCTTAAAAGTTGCACGCGCAGAAAATAACACATCATATAAACAAAACTTTAAGAGCGAAGACATCAAGCAAACAGCATTTCTTTGAAGAGAAAGAACGATCAAATAACAACGTCAATTAAGGAATCACAACGTTATAACTATATAGTCTCCCTGAGGGTAACAACTAACAAGTGAAGAGACTCGCAGGTAAAGATACGTTATTTATATAGTCAATATATCTGTAATCTCTCAAACTCAATATAATGTTACGCGTTTTGGCATAGTCTGGAAACCTTGAAATCATGTTCTATAACTGCAGGATTCGTCATGTGTATATCCTGTATACATTTTTTGCCAATTTTTTTTACTGAAATTATCTCTGAAACTCTCTGCAGCATTTTTAGCCTAGTCATTGCTTTGGTCAACGTGGCATATCTGCAGACAATATCGCCACAATGACTGACTAATATTGTTTTGCAAACCAATTTATTTTCATTAAAAATTTAAGTCTGCAGTAGTAAAAAGTGATATCTACTCTATACATAGGCAGTTCTGATAGTTTCATTCGCTACTTAGCATATTATAGTATATAACACGACCACACCCTCGCGTGATTATTATCACTCTCGACCTTACACATTACACGATATGCCCAACCTGTCTCACGGCGAGAATTGGCCCCCCACACCCGCCACGTATTAGTTTCCCACAAAACGATGACGATGACGATGGGTTTTTCATTGCTAGGGTTTTTATAGCGAATGAATATATGTGGGTAAAATCAGTCGCAGCAATTCGATCCATTAATTGGCAGTTTGTCGTAGTAGCCTGCGCAGCCTGTGAAATGTAAAGAAACTAGAAATAGCTTTTTTTCTTCTTTGACAAGGAAATATTTTCAAACAATTTCGCATTCACCCCCTATGGTGTTAATTTTATTTCTTTCATTTCGGAAGCCAATAACAGAGGCGATGGAATCTCACAAGAGGAAAAGGAAACCTAAATCAATTCCCGCTATGGTGTTTTTGACCCTAATAAGTGTTGGGTTTCTGCTCTTTGGGTTGGTGACTGTCGTGTGTGGCTTCGTTTTGAATTATCATGCCAATTTCAAGGCTTCAGAAGGCGGAGAAAGGTTAAAGTTACATGTAGAAGCACAATTTGATTACACCCAGTACTGGCTTGGTTTTCCAGTGAGTTCATTAACTGATCATTAATTAACCACCCTTTTTAAACTAAATACAAGAAGAAAAATAAAAAATAAAAAAAAACAAAAAAAAACAAACAAAACCAATGCGAATTTTCAACTCCGTCGCTCACGCCGCACATTTGCTAGTTGCTCACTTCTGTAAAAATTAGTATTAAGCGCAAAAAAACCTTTTTTAAGAAAAGTTGTAAAACTCTTTTTAACAATTTCGCTAATTTGAGAATGCTCTTTCCAGCTAAAAGCCTGCAGTATACTGATAAAGTTTGCTGATAATTTTTGCTCGACCAGTAGATCTGGACCGAGTACAATATTTGACCAGACTAACAGTCTGAACATTTCTGTCCCTAGGCTCGTACTCTTAGTGTAAATTAATTTGCATGTACTTACTAAAGAACTTAATGAAAAGTAAAGTAAATTTTGCTGAAAATTACTTTCTCTTCTAGTTTCTGATCACAGGCGCTCTTTCAATGGTCTCAGGCATGGTCCAGAAAGATAGATCATTGGTAAGATCTTCAATAATACCAATTTAACATGAAAAAGAATTTTCATTTTGAGTAATGAATGTGAAAGTAAGTCTTAACACGAAAAACAGGCGTGGGGACTAAAACTTCAGTCAGTAGGAATGGAGTTGTGAGGTAATTACCAGAAAAATGTAACATCTGGTTTTATTTCAAGCTGAGAATCATATCTCATAACACATTTATAAAGTCATGAATTTCTTAAACTATGTTTTTAGACAATAGTAACATTTGTATTTTTGTTCATCTGTGTAATCCTGTCGTTGTTCGCGATGATACTCGAGGGGGTGGACTGGGTCGAATGGAATAACCGAGACCGGTTGTTTAAAGCCTTGAAAACAGATGATTATCGGTGTGAAACCAAAACTCAAACTCAAACTCAATTTCAAACTCAAGGTCAATATTGTGTTTGTAACCACATGGGAAAAGAAGAAAGTACGTGTAAGGCTATACATGCTCGTGTTTGTGAAAACCGCGTGTTTCGTTCTTGAAGTTTTTATTAGGTGCATGCGGAGCATGCTAATGTATATATTGTGTAGTACATAACTTCTAACTTTTATGTAAATTAACTACTGAATTGCACGACTCTGTTGACTGCGTGAAAAGACGAAATGAGTTGTTCAAGTGTGCGGATAAGTTGTGCGAATGACAAGTGTGCGGATGACAAGTGTGCGGAAATCTTGACGACTTTTATATCATTCTTTCCCATTTCAGCAGTTTCATATTCTGCATCCTGTCCTAACATTGGAAGACTTTCTGGTCTTTTCGGCACTATTGTTGCCTCCGCAGTTTTTGGAATATTCTTATCTCTTGCGGGGATTGTTATTATTCTAAAATCATTGTCATGGAAACCTCGTTATCATTTTTCTGTAAGTAATGTTTGTGTGATATAACCGTATGATCTATATTTTTTTCCTTTCCTGCAATCATATCCCGTGTCAATGTTCCGTAATAAGGCGGAGAAAAGGGGGAAAAGGCAGAATTGGTCCAAAATGCTACAGGAATAGAATTAAACGATAGATGGACTATATATAGTCCTCTTCCTCTTTTCTCTTTTTAGTTCAGGTTATTATAAAATTAATTATTTCTCAAAAATATGGTTTTTCAGAAATAATTACATAAAAATTAATTAAGACTAAGAATAGCTATATTTACACTTAAAATTACTATATTATCTAAAGTCTATAAGATTTTATTTCTTATAAGATTATTGAGTCATAAAAAGTTATTACAAGTATGAATCGGTCCTTTCCTTATGTAAGAACTGTATCAATGTGTAAATGTATCAATACTGAATAGTGAATACCTTAATCACGGGTAGTATAATCAGCAGTTTTTCAAAAGGACGGTTTATAAAGAAAAAGAATGCCAAGAAGTTTCAGTGATATATATTTCGTCAACATATAAGATCGTAGATAAATGGCCCAATTAAAAGTATGGAAAATAAATAGACTGATTCTATCTAATCTACTCATTCATTCTATTTTAGGAATATGATCTTCGAAAAGCTGGACCATGGTATAAAAATGAAGGGTACGCGAATGGAGCAGCACCGCGCATTGCTAGAGGTGATGTGTATTGATTGTGTAGTGCACGTCGTGTGGAATTGAAATATCGTGCGGAGGAATGAGTAGCAATATTTTTTAGTTTAGTTTGGTATTATTCAACGAACGAACCCAGAAAAAGCACTCCTGTGATATTAGACGTATTCGCACCCACCGTAGCTATATAGCCTCGTACAATACTGTAGCCTCGTACAATACTGTAACCTCGTACAGTCCTGTAGCCTCATACAATAGCCAAGAGTTTACGTTTACCAGCATCTTTTTTCGTAGTGAAGATGGAGAATGTTTGGTTTTAATTTTTTTGTAATTTTTTCTATATTCGAAATATATAAGCCACTTTTTTTCATGTCTTGGAACGCAAAAATCATGATATATAGAGAGCATTATTCGTCCCGACACCAAAAATAGCCGAATTCATATTAGAGACGGGAAACTCTTCTAATGTGAATCCGGTCACAGACGGGTATACGTTTCCCGTCCAAATTTACCCGTCTAACTTTCCCGTCTAAACAGACGGGATAGTTGGACGGGAATCCCGCGTCAGGACAAGAAATTCGTCTTAAATTCGCATTTAAACGGATGAATGAGACGAGTTTCTGAAATATCAACACGGTCAAGGACGGAACAAGGCTAAGAGTATTAAATTAGAGAAAACAAACACAATATTTTTATCGTAATATATACGATACCCTCTTTAGCATTATCCGTCTTTCCCGTCTAAGATGAGTTTCCCGTGTCTAATATGAATTCGGCTACTCCATTCGTGATTCTGCGACACTACTCCTAGTTAAGGACCTGTAAACTCAACTGCTTCAGGGTAAGTTGACGATGGCGGTCAACATGGTAACGCTGCCCGAACCATAAAGCAGCGCGAAACATCCGAACCTGACCACACCCAAAATCGGCACATTCACTATAATGCTATCTGCCAAACCAAAAAAGCTTTGACTAATCTGAGCTGCTTCGCCCTAATCTAAAGCTTGCCCTGTGATTGGTTTGCTACACTGCACCGTGTCCGAATGTTACTATATTTAGTAACAATTGCGCAATAATCCGCACGCTGACCGTGTCAACTAGTTGCTGTGATCGCGACTTCGAATGCACGACTAGCTTCCGAACAAACTCGGCACAATTCGGCAAGCTTTCGGGGAATTTTATAGTTCAGCTAGTGTTAACTGAACAATCATATACTATGAAACGAGGAATATAATTGAGAATTTTTTCCCACTTTTTGCAAGATTGCAAGAATTGGTATTTATATCATAATATGACAACGATTGCGAAAGATATTACTGAAATTTCGTATCCAAAAAGGAATGATGAAATTAAACTGGAAAATTGTAGATGGGAAAATCTGACCGTGGCTCGAGCCACTTTCATACGGTCTGGATTCGCGCCTGATTAGGCTGTCCTCGTAATGCGACGAAATGCGGCTGGGTACAGCCTCGTACCCAGGCGCTTAAATAGTAAAATAATATAACGTTGCATTCAGTTATGGTATAGAGGTCAGTTAAAAAAAATTATTAAACTGACCTCTATACAATAACTGAATGCAACATTTATTTTACTATTAAAGCGCCTGGGTACGAGGCTGGGCTGTGTACGAATAGCTAAACTTAGAAAGTTAATTAAAGCCGTTCACGAGGCGTACATACGAGGATCTTCACAGTGGGTTTTTCAATATATCAATAATATGTTCTTATTTAATTTCATGAGGCTTATTTTAATACCTCGAGAACATCTCACACTTCATTGAATTTCGTACAATATCTCGTGGGGAAAAGGGTTCAAGTAAATAGCCGTCGTAAACAGTTTTCTCGGTCACGAACTATAGGTAGGCGTTAAAGAATAACATAACTTCAAATAGTATAGTATACAGAACTGGATACTACTATATTGAACTGGAGACTTTATAGCTGGCTGGTAGGCTAAAACGAAATTAAGTGGTCAGTTGGTTGGCGGCATAGAAGCTCCGCTTTCCTGTAATTGTGACAGTTGTCTTATAAAGATACTTTTGTCGTAGTCAGTGTCGAACACGCTTTTATTGTCATAGGTTTTTGGTGAGTATATATTTGCTTACTAGATGAAAGAACATATTTTCTTTCCCTTTGCCATAACATACTATTACTATTGACAGTGATGTGTATTCTAGGGAGTTTTAAAAGCTTCTGGCCCAGAAAATCACTAACGCATCCGCAAGTCAACAAAACGTTTAGAGCGAAGACATCAAGCGAACGTCATTTCTAGGCATCACATCGTTCTAACTAACATTCCTAGAAACGTGCAGGTATATAAAGATTTATTGTCTGTTTAATGGATATATTTAACTGCAGTATTCGTCGTTTAAATATTCGATGCTATGGCCATATTTATTATAGTGATGATATATAATCTATTCAGTCTTCTCGGAACCGCTCCTTAGCAATTATCTCTCTTGGGTAAAGGTGACAGCTGACCGACTAAATCACTGACTCACAGCACTGCCTTTTTCTTCTGACCTGCCATACAATTGTAATTTTGAAACATATAAATTTGGCAGCCACGAGACTTGTGGTTATTACATTTCGTAGATGTTTCTTGCGAACCTGGCACACACGAATCTGGCATGTGATAGCACTCGTGATAGCTGTCGCATACACATGCATATTCCTAGTTTGCGGTGACGAAATTGAAACTTATTTAATTTTCTCATTCGTACTCCATTTTACGACAACCTTATCGGCAAAACCATTCTCCTACAAGTAACGTTGCGTAGTCAGTATGAACGAGTTTATATTTTCATTGATGAGAAATTGTCCGGTGGTAAATTTGTCCGTTTAATTTTGTTTTCAAATCAATCCTTGTTGCCTCAAACACATAGACACGACTCTTACGCACACGACTCTTAGGGGCTGTTTATATGAGCACGGTTGCCCGAGATTTAACGAAGCATGAGATGATTTTGAGGTATTGAAATGAGACGACAACTGATGATCCTGGCAGTCGTATAATCACCACAACAATAGCATGTGCTTGTTTGGTGTCATAAAGATTTATTTCAATACCTCAATGTCCCCTCATGCTTCGCTGAATCGAGTGAATAAAGCATAAGCAGAAATACAAATGAAATCTTTTCAGTCCTCTAGAGGTCAAAAAGACAAAACTAAAGGAATTTTCTTTTCAAATGTTTTTTGTTCCAGCTTCGCTTACGCTTTTGCTTATGTCGATTCTTACGCCGCACGTTCATTGCATATTTTTGTTTTGCCCTTTTTCTTTCCTTATGCTTGTGCTTATTTCATTCATGTACGTGAACCAGGCTTTACAACTTAAATTAATGGAAACCAGATATTACTACGTTTCTCATTCTGTGTTACTTTCTCTACGAAGGATCTTGTACGAAGGCTATTTAGCCTAACCTAGTTCCCAGACACCTAGTTGAATGTTTAAATATTTCATTTAATCCCTGATCCCAGTGTTTGCTATTTTGGTTGCCATTTACATATGGAGCAGTTTGTTCGCTGATCTACTATAATCTGCTATAATCTGCTATAATCTACTATAATCTACTATAATCTACTATAATCTACTATAATCTACTATAATCTACTATAATCTACTATAATCTACTATAATCTACTATAATCTACTATAACTACCATGATCAATTAGCAGTTTGTTCGCTGACCCTTACGCACACGACTAGTCTTAAGCCTTGTTCACACGAGTGAATTAAGCATGCATAAGCAGAAATACAAATGAAATCTTTTCAGTCCTCTAGAGGTCAAAAAGACAAAACTAAAGGAATTTTCTTTTCAAATGTCTTTTGTTCCAGCTTCGCGCTTACGCTTTTGCTTATGTCGATTCTTACGCCGCACGTTCATTGCATATTTTTGTTTTGCCCTTTTTCTATCCTTATGCTTGTGCTTATTTCATTCATGTACGTGAACCAGGCTTTACAACTTAAATTAATGGAAACCAGACATTACTACGTTCCTCATTCTGTGGTACTTGGCTCTATGAAGGATCTTGTACGAAGGCTATTTAGCTTAACCTAGTTCCCAGACACCTAGTTGAATGTTTAAATATTTCATTTAATCCCTGATCCCAGTGTTTGCTATTTCAGTTGCCATTTACTTATGGAGTAGTTTGTTCGCTGATATACTATAAACCCAGTTTCCGTGATTCGTAAATTTGCCCTGGGAACGAGGTTGAGAAATGGGTATTGACAACGGTCAGTGTGGCCTGTGCGGAAGATTTAACTATAAATAACCAGGGGCCCAGTTTGGTCTCTTGGGGAAAGCCTGCTGGTACCGATTTCCATCCCGAAAAACCAATGTTGACCAAGAAAAATATCATCAGCCACGTCACGAGAATCTACGACCTGCTTGGCTTCGCAGCTTATCTAGTGAGAGCAAAGATCTTTTTGCAAGCAGTAAGGAGATGGAGCAGTTAAACGAACTTTCTTTGGAAAGATGTTTGTGTCCTGATAGTGACAGTTGAGCCACTGATCACCGTGATGCTTTTGGGACATGCACCTATTTGAGAAGTGAAGAACCTACTGGAACAGCGTACGTTCGCGGATTCGTTGCAGCAAAGTCACGAGTGGCCCCGTTAAATGAACCGACGATTCTACAATTAGAACTACAGACAGCCGTGTTAGTCAGCCGATTATGCAAGATCATTCACCACGAAGTCCGTATCCCAATCCCCCTATTCCACTACACTTATCATGGGACTACTTTGGGCCACTGACTGTCAAAGTTCGGTGAAACGAGAATGCCAAACATTATGGGGTAATCTTTACTTACCAGAACACCTGCAAGAGCTCTCCGTCTAGAAATTGCTACTGATAGTCCCGATCCTGAGCGACAACGGCACACAGTTTGTGGGCGCATTGACCGACCTGCGAAAAATGATCCAAGGAGTGGATAAGCAGAATGAAGAGTGCAGTGGAAGTTTATTACCCCAGATGCGCTACAAATGGCCCTGAAGAAAGCAGTTGGTGAGCATGCATGTACTTACTCCTTTCGAGCTGTGTTCATGTCTACTGGAAATTGCCAATCTTGTAAACCAGTTGGAAGACCGCCGAATGACACCTCAAATAGCACAAGGCCCGTTTGAAGAAACGAAAAACCCCAGACGAAGAGCGGAGTTTGTGCAGAAGATCTTTGAGTCATTTTAGGGGTGATGGAAGAGAGACATAACCTGCTCTATTATATAGTTAATATGAATTTAGCGAGTAGTTTTGAGAACGTGGTATTCTGGAGATCTACATTAGCGAAATATAATTGCGCTGGAATGATCAATTTTCAAGGTAGATTGTTAAAAAGTGGATAGCTATGGCAACCATGAGGCATGAGCAAGCACATGGCATTGAAAAATATACCTTGCCCGGTCTTTTTAAAATTATTTGCTATCGTTGGAATTACGTCATTATTATTTCCACTTCGTATCATCGTATCATCGAAAAATATACCTCGCCCAGTCTTATCACACGACTCGGTCATTTGGTAATACGTCATTATTCACACTTCGTATTTATATCGTATCATGAAAATAACAGTCACAAAAATGGACGGGTATTCTATAATCTAACCCATAGCTATCTGTAAAACTAATTATCAGTTTGGACTACTGTTGTAGCTCGTGAAGACCCGGCAAAAATGTGAGTTTGCTATTACGAAAGAACTATTTATTGTATTAATTGTGACACGAGATAGCTGCGTTGCTAGAGGAAATATGTCATTTCATTCGGCCAGTGCTTTTCGTAAAAGTACGCGTAAATTAAGCATTATCGCTTCGTTCTGACGAACATATCGATACCTCATTTACTTGTTTTGACAGAAAACGTAAGGCAGAATTCGAGGATTATATTGTCCGCTGGGCCGCCGGCCAACGTAAAAAAAACTGTATAAATTGTTGGCGCATTCACACGTTGATATATCGCCGGTTTGGTAGAATTCCGCGCTATCTCGAAAGATAGATAGATCTTAAACATCATTATGGTCGATTCGTTATCCCAAAGTACATTTCTCGTGTTTGCAACGCTTCGAATCTCTAACAAGAGCAATAAATTCGTTTGAATATTTAGCACGTGATAAAAGTATCATGTTTACTTTCTTTATCTTGGTCAATAAGCTCGATCTATACTCCTATCGGTCTTCTCAAATTCCTTGACGATTCGACACCATGAGAAGTTTCGAATCTCTAAAGGCTAGTTTCCACTAAGGAAAATTCTCCTTTGGATCGGACAGGACAGGAAGGTTTCCTTTGTATAAATGCCACCTGAGAACTTACCGACAAAGGAAATTTTCCTGTCCGATCCAAAGGAGATTTTTCCTGAGTGGAAACTAGCCTTAACAAGAGTATGAATAAATTCGTTTGAATATTTAGCACGTGATAAAGGTATCATGTTTACTTTTTTCGATCTTCTCGAATTCGTTGACGATTCGACACCATGGCAAGTTTCGAATCTCTAACAAGAGTATGAATAAATTCATTTGAATATTTAGCACGTGATAAAAGTATTATGTTTACTTTTTTATTATGCTCAATGTCTCAATGACCTCGATCGATTATCGATACTCCTATTGATCTTCTCAAATTCGTGGACGATTCGACGCCATGAGAAGTCCTGTACAGAGACTCTCAATCTAACCTCCCCTTAACCGTGGAACTGAGAGTGCTAGGAATAAACAAGTCATCCGACAGTAACATGGCACTAAATGCCTAAAAACGAAGATGCGAGTCTGTCTTTCATCAAGTTATTCTTATCCACCAATCCTGATCAACAACCAAGGCCTCCAAACGTTTATTCACCTTACGACTATCGCGTAGAAACGCCCTCCCGGATTCTATCCTAGTCAGAGTTTATTGTGCGTATGTTAGACCCATCCTCGAGTATGCATGCAAGGTTTGGCATCACAAAACAAAGTGAGGAGATCCAGAAGCGATTTCTCCCAAATAAATACCTGTAAACAAATTAAATTCACTAGTAGGTTTTTCGAAGTTCCAGTTCGTAGAACTGGTCGCTATATCAATAGAGTTTTTTACCTTCCGTAGCAACTTTACATGAAATATCATATAATTGGTTTTAACTTAGATTTTAAAATATTTTGAACACGCCCTCGTATATATGACTTTTTTGACTACCGATTTTTCACCAAAGACGACATGGCAAAAATTGACTTACATGTATTCAACCTATTTGTTTTTTTTCCTACAAAATAGAAATTAGTTCAGTCCAACAGCTAAGGGCACTTTCCCAGTTATACGGTAAAAACGAACTATGCATTCAAGTATATCGTTATTTACCACTGCCTATATAGCGCGGAAAATGGAATTTCACCGCTTTATTTTCAACAAAATACTCTAGTCAATTGAAAATACGCCTGGTTTGACCATTTTGGCCACCTAAAGGAAAGCGCCCTAGGTTTTTCACTGCTAACGTTTACAATTAGGGAAAGGCCTCAATATGTGCATGGAATATATGTCATTTTTACTCCTGCGATCACCACATGCGAATGCCGCATGGAAATATGCATGTGGTGTAAAATAGTTGCATGAAAATGCCACAAAGTAAATCAGATGCATGAAAACAAAAATTTTTAAACGATGTGGCTTCGACCTCCAATATAAAGTAATCTTGTTTTTTTTTTATTTCAAAATTAAGACAAACCAGAAACCAACCGAAACTGAGAACTGAATTTTTTACTATGGAATCTCACTCGAAGACAACGAAACCTGAATCAATCGATTCTCTGGTATTTTTAACCCTAATAAGTGTTGGGTTTCTGCTCTTTGGGTTGGTGATTGTCGCGTGTGGCTTCACTTTGAATTATCACGACGATTTCAAGGCTTCAGATGACGGAGAAACGTTGAAGCTGTTTGTAGAGTCACAGTTTGATTATACCCAGTACTGGCTTGGCTTACCTGTAAGTAAACTAATAAAGCATTATACTTATAACCAGGTTTACTATAATTATGTGATTTTCGTATTAAAGATTTTGTTCCACAGACAGGAAATTTTAAACGATGTTAATTGATTAAATCTCGCTTTGCAAATTTTATGTTATTTATCAATATTCATTTCATTAGAAAATTATTGTTTCGCAGTCAATGATATTAGCATACCAGGGGTCGGTTGTACGAAGACTGGATAGCGCTATCCACTGGATAATGATTTTTTTAACCGTTCTAAAAATGCTTTAAAAGCAAAAAAATTTTAGCTTTGAAAGCAGCAATTATTAAAGAGGATCCTCAATTTAGGAACACTAAGGTTTAATCAAAGTTTCAGACAACAACAGGCGATTTTAGAGCGATAGAAAAATCCACTATCCGGTGGATAGCGCTATCCAGCTTTCATACAACCGGCCCCAGGACAAAATTCTCACTATCTACTAGAGTAAACACATTATAAACAAATAATGTATAGCATATTATGAAAAATCTCATAATTATGTTATTACATGCATATAACAAGATTCATACACGGTTATACCTCAAGCGTTTATTTTAAATTGACATGCATAAATAGCAAGAGGACTTTTTCTTCTAGTTTCTGATCACAGGCGCCCTTTCGATGGCCTCAAGCATGTGCCAGAAAAATAGATCATTGGTAAGATGTCCAAAAATCCATTTATTTTACAAGCTACCCTCCCTACCGCCGTGCCCGGCGCTGGCCGATTGATAATTGGGGGGGGGGAGCTTACTGGAGCTATGCATATGTACGTAATGTACGTGCTTATCAAGACCTACAAAAAGTAATTCATTTGAAACGAATGAATATATACAATCTTTCAGTATTCATTCCTAGTATGAATACCATGTTTTTAGGTAACAGTGACATTTTTATGTCTGTCCACCTGTTTGATCCTGTCGCTGTTTGCGATGATACTCGAAGGGATCGACTGGAATACATGGAATAATCGAGACCGGTTTCGTAAAGCGTTGGAAGAAGATGATTACTCGTGCTCAACTCAAAGTCAAAGTCAATTTCATCCGAGTCACTCTTGTGTTTGTCAACACCCAGAACAGGGCTCTTGGAGTAAGGCTATATATATATATCCTGCTATATAATTATGTGACGTGTATAATCGTGTTCTTGCTCTTGCCTTCTTGAACGAGCTCTTATTTCCCAACACCACAACAGTTTTCCTTATATAGCTATAGGTGCTGAAAATAATATTGCATGTATTGTATTGGTATATATAACTTAATTCTTATACTTTTATGCCGTAAATTTAGAACTGCAATGCATGACTCCGTGAATTAAGTGACAAAGTTGAGAGCATTTCATTTGAAATAGATCATTGATTTGCATACACAATTGCTAGAGCCTGAACAAAACCTAACGAAAATCTGTGTTTATAGGCGAATACTTTTAGTATACAAGCTGCGAAGGTCTATTATCTATACGTTTACTAAAAATATCTGGTGAAGTCCATTGCCTACGTAACTAAAACTTCTTTCCCCCCCCATTTTCAGCCGTTCTCAGTTTTGCAACCTGTTCCACCATTACAAGACTTTCTGGCCTTTTCGGCACTATCGCCGCCTCAGCAGTTTTTGGAATGTTCTTATCTCTTGCGGGGATTGTTATTATTTTGAAATCATTACAAGGAAACCTCGTCATTTCCTCTCTGTAAGTAACGTTTTATAATAATTCTTTTTTGTTTTCTTGCAAACTATACAGTTCTTGTGAAATTCGTAAATAATTAATGAGTCTAACTTGCAATCATTGCGCAGTATTTTGGTCACATGTATACATCTGTAATTCTCCATAAAGGTCTCATGAACAACTAATTAATATATTAACTTTTATACAACCAATCTTAATTAGTATTCATAACTTTGTTACACACATGCCCTAATATGTATATCATAACTTCGTTAAGTCCTGCACTAATATACAGTACCTGCTGTCATGTTTATCTAAAATATTAAATCCTTCCTCTCCTCTTACATCGGCTAAATAACGATTTAAGCCGCACATAATCAAGTACAGACTTTTACCAGGATAACGTTCACCATTTACTTTTGCTGCTTCGCGAGCAAACTTGCTGAGCCAATGAGAAACGCTAGGCACCGACATTTCTGCTAGAGGCACTGTTAAATCTTCGATCTGTTCCCGATCATGTTGACCATGAGATACGATCTCTACACACGCTGTTTTGTTTGCCCGATTGTTTTGCCACTCTTCAAATATTCGTTTTGCCCACTTTGTGTTATACCGCGTGTTTTTGGGCACTGATTCTTCGACAAACAAACGTTCCTCATCAAACGTCTTCCCCTCACGAAAACGACAAGACATATTTCGAAAAATCACGTCGCTGCAAAACTTCTAATCACAATACTCTATACAGACTATCGCTATATGCAGTACTCGTAAACGCTTTAAGTGAACGCCTATAAACATCTAATTAATCCATTTTCCACCTTGTAATGTATGCTATCTGCCCCTTGATACTTAACGATTGAATAGTAAGCACACAATTGCCGAAACGAACAAAGCAAATCTTCATTAAGCTTAATTTATTCATTTCACCAGCACGTTAAAATACTCGCGGCCGATCTGTATGGGATTTACAATGGCTCGTGCTACGCACTCGCTAGTACATATATGTCCCCTTAAGAGGATGAATCGTTTGCTGCAAGGTTCACGGCCGCATGTCCGCCTTTTTATACACCATGCAGACATTTATTCTTATAATCATCGATACATTTCGGATAAGACGAAGATGAAGAAGTGAAACAAAGTTTGATAGTTTTAGGATAACATGACGACAGGCAACAGCCAATGCGACCAAAAGTCGATCATTTAATTTGATGTGCCGGATTTTCTTCTTTTGATAGATGTGAACGAGTTAATTAGTTACTGATGTTAAAATAAGAGCTCTTAAGGCCGGCGCACATGCACTAGAGCTATGTGCTTAGCAAAAAGTCATTCGTGGCTATCGGCGTAAGCCAGTTGCCCGCACACGAGAGCAACTGGCTTACGCTAATGGCCACGAATTAGCTCTACAGGGTGTCCCAAAAAAAACGAAAACTATTGAAATCACCCATAACAATGTAATTGTTAGAGTTTGAATACCTAAGCACTCTGTTGGGACCCACAAGTGTGTAAATGTTTGCCATAAGCATTTTTATGCATGCATATGATGCAGTAAAATTTGCTCGTACACAAAAATGATATTTATTAATAATATCTAAATGTGCATCTCAATCACCATGACCTTCGACATGTCCCCTTTCTCTAGCAACACAAAGCATTTAGCATTTCACTGAGTTCCATTAAAACCCCGCGGGCTAAAACTCGTGCACACGGCATTCAAATTTTAACAATGAGTGATTTCAATAGTTTTCGGTTTTTTTGGGACACCCTGTAGTGTGCGCCGGCCTTTATACATCATAGAACATTTTCAGTGTCGCGATTCAAACATAAACCAGCACATGCCATGTTTGTGGGTGTTAAAATGAGAATGACTGGACGACTGACTTTTACTTTGTGCTAATTCTAATCCATCCATTTATTCTATTTTAGTGAAATGATTTGGACTGGATGAAGGGTACAAAAATGGAGTCGCATCAGACATTGCTGGAGCATGCAAATCAATGGGTTGGAATATCTTAAAACTGTGTAAAAAAAACTTGAGGAAAGGAATTGAAATTGAAGAATCGTGAAGAAAAGGAATAAGACCTTGAACGAACCAGATTGGACACCCCATGACAATAGTAATCGCATCAATCGAATTTTTGTAACGTGTCTTGTCTTGTAACGCAAAAAATATAGAAATAACCAACAAGATCAAAAGGCAAATAGCAGGTCCAAAGGTGTGTAAACATGCAGTAAGGTGTGTTTTTGTACACGCCAAAAGGGCTGCAAAATACACTAAAAGGTGTGTCAGAAAACACATAAAAAGATGTGTTTTACGCTTGTCCAACGGTGTATTTTAAAAGTTTTTAATTGTGCGGATATGAAAACTACTTTTCATATACGCTTTATATTCGTTGTGACAGAGATTCGACTATTAAGTGTCACAGTCAAATATATAATTACTGTCAGACTTTCATTTTGCTCTTTACCTGACCGTATTGTTTATAGTTATCATAAGGACCCTGGTTACGAATTGGTCACAATATTGTTAAGAATTGTTGGTGATGATCAGTAACAGCCTGCTCTACACTACAGCCTGCAACCTGCTCGCAGGCTTTAATTCCGTTGAACCCACTCTCCGCAAAGGACGTTTCATTTCATTAAAATATTCATATATGGTCAGACTGAGTCGTAATGTATAATGGCGGCGGCACGAATTTCAAATAGGTCGTCCCCCCGGTTTTAATTGGATGACCCCACATCTGCACGACATGGAAAGTTATGGAAATTCTGTAGCAAAGTTTTATAGATAATTCGAACCGCAAGTCAATAATTTGTCAGAAAACTGTTAAGGGTTGGCCAAAGTATGGTTATAATAGGAATCTATTTACAACTTCTTAAATCTATTGCTTTATCATGAGCTATCTTCTTTCGTGCGGGTAATCAACTCTGCTACTAGTGATATCAGTGTTAATAAAGAATGTTTTAAGTAAATTCAAAGAATGCTAAAGCATGAATGTTGTCTTTTCATTGCAATTTAATCATAGTACGGCTCATTTAATTGGCCGCAAACAGAACTATTTTAAAAAGTGATTGAAACAATGACGAATTAAATGTTCTCAGCGGGAATTCGAACAGGAATTCCACCTTAAGAAATCGAAAAAATTTCATAAAGAGTCATAACAGACGAAGGAATCTCAAATTCTCTTCTCTATCGAGTGGAATTTCGCCTAAAAACCAAAACGACGAGGAGTTCTACGGAGCAGAAAGGACCATGGAAAGAACGGTGGTACAAAAGTCGAGCTCGGCTATGTATTTGCTGTTTGCTGAAGGGTTTTGTTTCCTTCTCATATCGGTGGCTATAATTTCGTGTGGCTTCGTTTTAAATTTCCATAATGATTTTGACTATATTCAAGTCGAAAGTGAGCATGACTATACTCAGTATTGGGTCGGATTTGTGGTAAGTTTATACCATACATTATGTTACGAATGAAAGCAATATAAAAACATATGACTTTGCCAGATTAATCATTCAATGCATGTGTGCAGTTGACATTTCAGTCACTCTGCATAATAAATATATTTAGTTTTCTTTAGCTGGCTTACAAGTAGGCCCTGCATTGTCACACATATAGGATCAGAATACCACGTAATATCGTAATATAAAAGAACAGATAACTTGCCAAAATGTTAAATTTATACATTCCAATCCATTTATTTAAGCCCGAACTTTATATAGACCTAAATAAAGTCAATATATAGCTACACCATCAATTTAATTCAATTCTAGTCATATTCAATTCTAGACAAGTATAATTGTGATCGAGATGTATAAATATTTTAATCACTTATATAATTTATAAGACAGTAATGAAAAATAAAATTAATAAGAGTCAGTTTACTTCCCGTTTTCATGGTTTGTTTGTCAAAGTATGTTAACCGACGTATAAATAATGATGCGGATATACATTGAACTATAATTTCTCCTGCCTGGAAAATTAAAACTCTTGCACTAAACCCCAAAGAGAATAAGCACACGAGGGCTTTTTGCAGAAATACGGATACATCAATCAATATGTTCGTACAAAGGTTTGTCTTTTCTAGTTTATGACGTGTAGGGGGTGATTTAAAATTTTAAAATTTAATTTTGTTTAGGTATATATAAGCCCCCGTGATGTTTTGCAGGCTCATGAGTTTAGGAATTTCCCAGTTTAAATACAATTACAAGTGAAGTTAATTAGCTGTATATATCTATCTATAGAGTCTAATCAAGTCCATCAGTGTAATTCCTTTTGAAATTAGATATTTAGCTATGAAAGATGCATAATTAATTCGTACTACCACGGGTGCGTCATAATGCTCGGAGATGTCGAAGTTCGCTTAGTGTTAGAATCGGTGTGTAATAACAAAAAAGGTCTGGGGCCAGTTGTATAAAAGACTACTTAACTTTTAACCGTAGTTAAGGACAGAATTGGCCAATCAGAGTTGCGTATTTCTGAGTTAACTAATTCCAAAGTAGTGGACGTGGGCAGTAATACACTAATGCAATGTGCGCCGGGATACCAAACTAAAAAGTTCCGGGATGAGTGGATCATCGTATGCAATATAGAGATTATTATATACTGTGATGACTGCATTAGAATCCATGCACTGGTCGGTTTCCTTAATATGAAATTATATATAATCATATACTACACAATGTTCATAGTATAGAGTTTTGTTTTTCACGACAAACAACAAGGATGTACGCCCATTAATGTTTTTCCAGTTATTCTTCACCGCATTCGTCGCTATTGCTGCTGGGGCTTGGCAAAGGACCAGATGGCTGGTAAGCATAAATTTTGATATATCTTTATTTTCAAAACAATTGTCATTGCAATGCACTCTTCTCTTCTGCATGCTCTAAATATGTCTGGCCTTGACCCGGGGACATTTTCAACAAATACAATTGTAAAGCTTATAAAAGCAGTTGATTATGATCTTTTTAGACCTTATTGACCAAGGTCTACAAGGGAGTGCACCGCTGGGTACCCCTGTCTAAGGGCGTGGCGACCGGAATCGTGGAGGGGGAGGGGGGGAGTGAGGGGATGCAACACGCAATAATTCACCATGATGAAAAGTTAGTCTAATTTCCTACACCTAAGTCATATTATTTAAATCAAGGCCATATCTAAATAAATAAATTCGAGTATAAAAGGGGTTACAAAAATCCCCGTCATGAAAGGCGGTCACTTAAAACGTGGTCCCTGTACGCGGATGGAAAAGTTGCATCTTTCATAGTTGTTCAATATCACACCTCCTCAAGCCCATTTCGTTTGTCAACGTACCGCTTCCCACTGCCCCTTTTATGCAATACGTTCATTTTAATTTACATACACGCACTCGCAGCCGATTTTTACGGTTACGTAAGTAAGTGCAAAAATGGAAAACGCCTTTTTCCATATACTTGTGCATTCGCGATAATAAAAGAATGATAGTAATCCAAAACTAACCTTGCTCATATATTTTTAAAAGGTTTTATTAGCGATGTCTTTATTCTTTGTGTCAATTCTTGTCTCACTCTTCGCTCTGGTCGTGGAAGGAAACGACTGGGTCGACCACAAGAATAATGTCCGACTCATAGACTTTTGGGAATCGGAAGATTACGAGTGCAAATCCAAGTCCGGAAAATGTTCTTGTGAAGGTAGAGTAATCAGAATGAAAAATATTCCATTTAACGATCACCGTAGAAGAAATTTACATGGAAACTTCTAGGGTGTTTTCTAAAACTCTATTCACAAATTCACTATCGTTATCATTATCATTATCCATGTGTGCCTGAACAGGCAACTTGAATAGCTAGTTTTGCACTCTCCCAAAACATGTAACACATTCAATGTTTCACTGAAATATTATAATATATAATGTTTATAGCCACAGGAGAAAGCCCGAAACCAATTTCAGATGCACTAGATTGCGAAACATTGGAAAAATTGGATTATCTTTACGGCGGTTTGACGTGTTGCATCTTAGCTGGTGTGTTTCTAGCTCTTTCGTCTATAATCATTGTTATGATATTCATCCCAATTCGACCTTTCACTGTGCCTGTGGTAAGTTAAACCTTCTCAGATATAAAGATATAATTATCAGAAAGACATCATCGGCACGCTGAAAATGCATGCGCTATGGTGTAGTTTACGGACAAAACATGTTTGGTCATTCCGACCAGACATGACTAACGTGAAAGGTTTGTATCACTTAGTCTAGTAGCTTTGATCAAGAACGTGCGCTAGAAAAGTATATAAATTATAAGAGGTAAAAGTTGAATGTGGAGAGTGTTTCGTGATTATTATTTAACTGAAAAATATACTTTTAGCCGAAGAAGAAGATCAAAAAAATCACGGTGCTGGAAGAGAAACCAAAACCCACCCTTGTTGCGTACAGGCCTCCGCCAAAAATACCTGTCGAGCCTAAACCAAGGGTGGAAGAAATCTTAGTAAGACAGCGTGTACGTAATCCAGAGCGGGTTATTGTTGCACCTGATCGAGAACCACCAACGGAAGTGGAGGAGATTGTCTTACGGGAGCGTAAACCTCAACAAATCCGCACGGTTCACGAAGAAGCAAGACCACAAAATCCAGAGGTATGAGAATTAATCGATGTTTTAAGAAAATGGAATAATAATTTTTCATACCCGTTGAACTGCATCTGTCTTCAATTGGTAGCCTAACTTAGTATAGCAGTCGTACAAACCCATTTTAGTAAATTTCGTGAGATGCATCCACACCAATACACCAAAAATTTCAAATAAGAGGTCTTGCACATCACAGCATTCCTAGTCATTCGTTCACATGTACCAAAAGAAGAAAATCGCACATAAAAATCGTGTTATTTATATCATTAGGTAGTCTACGGGATACCACGGACGCGTACGTTGATCTACGACCGGCCACGATTCGAACCAGTAGAGCGTCAAGCTCTGGCACCAGTTGAACCGCCTCCGGAACAAGACCCTGATGATCAGGAGTACGATGTCGGTCGTTTTGTTCATAAGGTTTGATAAGCTGCAAATATTCTTCAATAATTTGCATAGTGAAATACTGATGTTGTCTGATAGCACGTTTTGTATATTTAACCCTGGCTTCCGGCGGAACTCCAAGTTGCTTTGGGGGACAGCCAACCCGCCGGGTTTATCAAGCAAGTGAAACAACATCGATATACTACATATACCTATACTGACTTATATGACGATCAATTTTACCTAGTCCTTTCAAAACACTAGCCGTTTCTTTACGCTCTAGGTCCACCCTACGCCGTCAGAGCTCCCAGCGGCAGGAATAGAAAACGGATTCACCGTGAACCCCAACTTTGGAAGAGAATCAGCTTTACCACCAGAGCCAGAGCCAGTCTATTATAGTAGGAAAGAAATGAAGCCTCCAGTGCACTATGCTCGGGAAGAAGCGGCGCCTGTTAAGTACGTTCGTAGGGAAGCACCGGGACCGGTGCACTATGCTCGGGAGGAACCGGCGCCCATTAAGTACGTTCGTCGGGAAGCACCGGGGCAGGTTCGTTACGTACAGAAACCAACAGTCGTTTACAAAAAGCGTCCTCACGTCGTTCATGAACGTGCCTTGGTACCGGTGAGAAGATCAGTAGAGCGTCCGAGGAGAATTGTGGTCGTACCCCAGAGGCCAAGACCGTCGTACGTCGTGAGGAAACCTGCTCCTCGGCAAATTGTACGTCGTCAAAGAGCTTACAGGTAAAGGCAAAAGCGAGGCTTTGAATCGCAGTGGATAAAATGCGTATAAAATATGAATGTAAATTTCGAGAACCATGGAGTATTTCAATAAAATACGCATCAATGATAACTTCTAACATTTTCCTCGATTTTCAATCGACTAAATCATAAGTATAAAGTATTTTATGTCCGCACTCCGCATATCTACTATTATGATTGAGCGTTTTAAAAATACGTGCTCTTATATTTCCCGATAAAACATAATATCTTTATTCACAGTGACGAAGGTCCTGGACTTGAAAGGGTTCGTGTTGTGAGACCTCAAAAAAGGCTTGTCTATACCACTCGACCACGAGCTGTCCGTACTTATCGCGCCGCACCAAAAAGGTCACAATGGCAACGAGTGAGATCAAACAGCGATGAAGGTGCCCGCTTGTATCGCGATTCCCCTCAGAGAGAACGCCCAGGGGTTATCTACACTGATCGAGAGATAGCCATGGCACAGGAAAATGCCCAAGGCTCTTATCCAGCGGCAGCTAAGCCCAAGGTGCTCACGAGTGAGAATCGTGGCCAAGCTAAGCCTGTTTCTGCGCATATCCCTCAACAGAATAACGGCGTTTACGATAGGCGTTTGGAAGCCCAACTTCCCTCTGCAGATCAATGGGAAAGAAGGCCACACACACCATATTGAATTGATTGAAATGAAGCTCGATAGAGTTTAGTTGCATTATAGTTGTTTTTAAATTACACATACATATAACAAATAATAATAATAATAATAATTTAGTTATCATGCAATGCGTATGAGCATGACATGTATGAATGGCTCGAGAGAGCCTGAATCATAGTGTATTGAAGATTGATTGAAGAGCAAGGAAGAACTTCGTCAGTCGCACTGTCACATTTTTGAGCATGTATCAATAACAATACCCGTTTACTTTTTTCATAATTTTGCACTACTTCGATTCACAATTAGTTTCACAATCATTTTAAAAAATAACAACAATACTGTAGTATTTGGTCATCATCATTTAGTCAATAGAGACATTGTTTGGTAACTTACTGATTGGGAAACTTTAATTAGTGTATAACAAGACAAGAGTGACTTGTGACTTGGGTTTTTGGGACGGTTTCACGTCACAAGCCTTTTAAAATTTTGTGCCACCAACAATAAATATTTTGTATCTTGTATAGTTGTTATTCGATTATATTACCTGATTAGAAAACACGATTCTATTGACACCCTGCAAGTTTGCATTAACAAAAACAAAAGGTCAAACCTATGGTTACCCGAAAATGTGTTTTTTTCATGGCATTATTTTACAACAAGGCGCCCGGTAGGCGTTAACTCGGGCTATGTAGCCGGTAAATACACTGCACTGAAACTGAGCTTTATTGCTACACTGTAAATACGCGACTGTCCGCGCGGAAGACTAAGCCTGCGACACGAAAAAAATAATAATAATCGCGAAACCTAGACTCGCCCGAGTAATAAGCACGTTGATCCGTTATAGTTTGCATTACATCAAGTATTTAATTTTCAACATTCAATCAACATTCAACATACTCATTGTAAATTAATGCAATCAAAAAACACATTTTCGGGTAACTATGGTTAAACAAGAACAAATTACGTTTCGTTTCCTACTGTCTATGTCTCTGTTGACTATGATCATAAAATTATATGGGTTGTATTAATTTGGTTTGAAATATACCTGGAATTTTATTCTAAACATTGATAGAAGTCAGAATATGCATGAATAAAATCTATTGAGAATAATCGCGGAAATATAAAATAGCAGAAATGAATTGTCTCATGAGCTTGCAACCGAGCGTTCATTCACCATAAAAGGTAAATCTCCAGACAAAAGCTCTTTTAGCTCCATTCTATAGGCAGTTTTTGTACCACATTTTATTTATGTGAAATCAATGAAAACAAAGTTATGTGATATTTGAAATGTATACATGCATGAAAAAGGCGAAAGTCTAACAATGAGCAAAGAACGGAGCGACTAAGTAAACTCACTGCGTGTGCGTGGACGCGCCAATGCAAAAAAATTAATTTGCTCAGCCCTATAGGACATGCTGTGTTAAGGCCCGTTTCCACTTGCGATTTTTGCTACGATTTTATGTGCGATTTTCTTCTTTTGATAGATGTGAACGAGTGACTATAGTTACAAATGATCTGAGGTGTACGAGCCCCCGAATTTGAACCACTGATTTGAACACCCAAAACTAATTCCTTTAAAAATCGCCGTTGAAAATCGTGCTGTGTAACATGTAGCTACCTTTAGTTAAGGAAATCTAATTTGATCATATCTTCCAAATTCAGTTCTAAAGTATTGAAAATTACAGTCAATAATCCGGCATGTCAAAAACAGGAGTTAGCCGTACAATTTTGTAGTAAATAAGATAATTGTAAATTAAAAGAAGAATTCACTCTGCCCGCGGAATGTAGCCGGACAATGACAGGTTTATTTATATATGGTATATGTTCAGTTGCAATAAAGCATCCGTTTTATCAGTGTAAAAATATATATTTATAATAGGATTTTTAATAATAATAATACTTTTATAGAGGTCAGTTATTCAAAAACCTGTTAACGTACGCTAACCCAGGGTTAAAGTTAAACTGCTTTTAAACAACCAGCGGCCCACAGATCGACACAGTAAAGGAATGCAATCAAAATGCCGTATGAATTTAAATTAAAACAACTAAAAAATAATATATTCACTCCATGCATTGTACATTCACGATGGGGTATATGCGGTTTTCATGGTTGCTATCAAAACAAGATGAACAGCAGGTAGTGGTCAACAAGAATTTATAAACCTGCTTTATACATTCATAATACTGAACTGAAAATTTAGCGTCGCTTTTAATCAAACTTTCTTTGCACGGACAGATATGCCAAACTCATCTAGAGGTAAGTCAAATGGGGCTACACTTCGAACGGCACATACAGCGGTAAACGGTTGTATTCAATGCCAAAAAGTTAATTTCGGGCAACGCCATGCAGGTAATTTCCCACGTCAGAGATGATAAAGAAATTCTTCTTTTAAAAACCTTTTTTAATAGCAGATGGGAAAAGTATAGTTAAGTTTTAATTAAACGCGTGTAGCACATGTACACCTATATATGGAACCAACATTATACCATATATATAGTCATAGAAATGTGATATACTATATCATATATATAGCTTATAGGAATGAAACACCTGCTGAAAGAATGTAATCACTTTTTGGTGTGCATTAAATAGACTAAACAGTGAAATAGAAGCGTCAGTGCTCTAAACATAATAGAAGCACTCTCGTTGACTAAAAGTAGAAGTGCAATAATTGATCATAACAATTCTAAATTGTGCTTCTTGCGTTCTCGCTGAGAGTACTAATAATCCAGTTGCATATTGCATCACTGGCATGCCTATCATCTATTGTTGTTAATGCGTTCGGGCCCTGAGATTAAAAAAAAGCTCTTCATGAGGTTATGAGCTTAACAATTAATGTACGGCAAGTGTAGGATTCCTTTCATTTCATCAAGTAAGTTTCATTTTAAAAGATTTAAAATGTTCCTGGAAAACCTTTTTCTATATACAATATATAGGACTTAGTTTTCAGATGCGCTTATAACACTGATATTTTCGTAATCTGTCCATGACACTTGCAACGTATAAAACGAAAATTGCTCTGCGTACTTGAAATTTCTATCATATTATTATTACTGATATGATAAACGACAACTGTAAAGGAGGTAAATTACTCTGAATAAAGTGGTTAGATTTTGTAGACAATTATTCCTCATGAATGCAACGGTTGATTTTGTGACTAGGATTTTGTGACAAAAACATTTTTTGTTTTTGTGAATCGTGACAGAATTCATGCATGCAGCTGAAGTGAAATAATTCTACAATCAGTTGCATGTTCGTGCTTTGTTATACACCGAGTTAATCTTGCTAATTTGAATAATGATTCTAATTGCATGCTTAGTATCGCTTAGCCTAAATATATCTGTAGGTATATAACTTGGCTAAACAGCGAGGAAGTTAATGCTTTGTTACAGGTTGAAATCATCTCATTTAATGCAAAGGTTAATGCAAAGCAAATATGCCTAAATGCTCTTTATCATAAGTGCTATAAGTATTTTTAAACATGGGGTTCAGTGTCGTGCTGTTTGTGGTATATAAAACCGCTTTCAGTTTAAAAATTTCGATTGAAATTAGGACGCGTACAGGGGCTATAACTAGGACTTTTGCAACCAAACCGCTCAATAAAAAACGGATTGGAATATAAGTACTGATGATAACTAATATAGAAAGTGCATGGGTTCCTGTAATCGTATGAATATTTGCTATGGCAACGATGACGTAACATATATTAATACAACGATCGTATATGACCATCGACACTTTTTAAAAATAAAAAATATTTAACGATAAACGAACATCAACTGTGCAAAGTAACAAATCATACAGTTATTTAACACCAAGCGAGAGTTGAAGTGCACTTATTGTCTCCCTAGTTATGCGCTAGCTTAGGGTTATTTATGGTGACTGATCCTTGTCCCGTATAACACCGTACGTCCAACGACAAACACCGACAAACACTACGCACGATAATCTACACTAATATGACGTCTCGTCTATATGCAGCAGCTATAGCTACATGTCTTTGCATGACACTCGCTTTAATTACGGCGTAATTGATGACTATAACAACGCCCACTTGCAATAGGCCGTATTCTCTGGCACGAAAAGTCGCTTAGAAAACGATTTTCGTTGCCCCCCTTCGGGCACTACTTGAAAACACGATAGAAAATTAGGATAAATTATAGAAAGTCTAAATTCACTTGTTTTCACCTTCACAAACCTGCAGTTTTCGAGCATTTCATCTTCGAAAAATCAGTAAATTTGCATGTTTTGCAATACACCGACGCCATTTTGATTCAGGAAATGTATTGGATACTTGGTGTAATATACGACATATATTGCAGATTCAGCAGTTTTATACCGGGATTTAAATGAAGTTTCCAGCATTTTTGCTGCGCAAGCAGGTTTCAACAAGGAAGCTTTGAGTGGAGTTTTACGAGGTTTTTCACAAATTTTCATAGTTTTTCTAAACTAAATTAGTCAGAGAAGACTTAGACAATTTTGCTTACACGCATCAAAATCATCCACGGGCGTTTTGTTTCAGTCAAGTTATATGAAATAATTACTACACAATTCCTTTCCTGCTTAACCTTTGTTTTATATTAACTACTTTTATAATACACACGTTTTCTCAACAAAACTATTTACAACATCTCAGTTTTTTTACAAAGTTAATTACCAACGCCTTTATCTTATTATCATCAATCCACTAAAAAAACGAATTTTTTGAGCGAAGACCCAGACATCTTTACGAAGTTGAAAGAGAACAAATTTCAAACATTTTCCTTATGAAAACGTGAGAGGACTTGTGAAAACTGCCAAGTTGGCCCAGTCTAAACTTGCTGAAGTATTGGAACCTGAATCTGGAAATCCAGAAGTCAATGTTATTCAGTCGATGAAAGGAAAATGCAAAACATTTGGCGATGATGCAGAGAGACAACGAAGAGCTGAAAAGTGAAAAAGGAGTCCAGAAAGTTCACATCTTCGGAAAAGATCAGAGTGTTCCAAAATAGTGGAAAAAGTGTTTAAGATCCGGTGAAAACAAGGAATCCCTCATATATTTTTTATGTGAACACTGGAGGTGATGGGACTCCTCCCGGTGGTTTTCCATTTCAACTATGTACGTAACTGCTAAAGAAAGATGCTATGTTTTATATCCCGGTGATTCCCCGAACGATAGTGTTACAAGTAATGAGGTGTCTTCGCTTCATAGCAACCACGAAAAAGCAGACACTCGTTTAATTCTACATGCTAACCACGCAGCAGCAACGTACGATAAAGTTGTTATCAAAATCCCTGATACAGATGTTCTTATACCTGCGATTACCATGCAACAACAGATGCAAAAAGAGATTTTCTTTTGACTGGCACGGGAGATGGACGTCGTTGCGTATTTGTAGCAATTATCTCGAAATTCTTGGGCGTAGATGTTGCTCCTTGTTTACCAGGCTTTCATGCTTTTACCGGTAATGGCATTAGCAATCAAGCAGCATCATAGTATCAGTGTTTAAGTGCAGAAATTGATCTTTCATCACCGGTTGGCAATGGCTGGACGTTTGACGATAAAGAGCTAGAGATAACTTGGATGACACGCCCACCCGCTCCGCGATCTTAAATTGAGTGTGCTGAGTGAAAGTGCAAGACTGGATGCTCGACCATGCGTTATTCCTGCAAAAAGGCTGACTTAAAATGCACCGACCTATGTTTGTGTGGTGATTGCCAGAATGCAGTGGTTGAAGATGGTAATGAGAATAATAGCAGTTATGGCCTGGCTCAATCTGATGACGATGATGAACTTGAAGGATCAGGATCTATTCTGGATTTCGGAGATGACGTCGATGATGAGTTGTGGTATTAGCTGTCCGATTAAAAGGGTTGAGTTCAACGTTTCATTTGTGTTTTGAAATCATAAGGCTCTTGTAATTCTCCCACATTTTATTTGGTTGAAATTGATTTAAGATACGCAGTATGTTGTTTCTGTATTATATAGTTTTAACTATAGCAAGTTAGTTTATTATAAAGGAGAGTAGCATCAGTGTATGGGGTAGTAAGGTTGTAGGATAATGCGTTCTTTTCTTATTTGCAAAATTCCAGACTTTGTTGTCTGCCAATTTGTTATGTGTTTTCTTTTCGGGTCAAAGAAAGAAAGATCAGCAATGGAAGAATTACCACAATTCAATTCTAAGAAGAAAGAGAAGCGTTGGCTTTTAACCTGTAAAAGCGTTGCTGCAGCATGGGAGGGAGAACACGCTCCAGATTTTCCCAGATTAAAAGAATTGTGTAGTAATTATTTTATATAAATTGACTAGAAAGAAAACGCTCGTGGATTATTTTGATGCGTGTAAATAAAGTTGTTCTTACTTATTTGTAAATTCCAAGAGCAGAATGCTATAAAAAAATCACAAAATTTCGGATGTTTTTCCGATTAATTTTGTCTGTTCTCTGACTAATTTAGTTTAGAAAAACTATGAAAATTTGTGAAAAACCTCGTAAAACTTGACTCAAAGCTTCCTTGTTGAAACCTGCTTGCCCCGCAAAAATGCTGGAAACTTCATTTAAATCCTGGTATAAAACTGCTGAATCTGCAATATATGTCGTATATTACACCAAGTATCCAATACATTTCCTGAATCAAAATGGCGTCGGTGTATTGCAAAACATGCAAATTTACTGATTTTTCGAAGATGAAATGCTCGAAAACTGCAGGTTTGTGAAGGTGAAAACAAGTGAATTTAGACTTTCTATAATTTATCCTAATTTTCTATCGTGTTTTCAAGTAGTGCCCGAAGGGGGGCAACGAAACTGAACGATAATCGGCCACAGAATACGGCCTACAATGTTAATTGGCCTGCAATCGCTGTCTATACCACGCAATTCAGGACGGATTAAGGTGATGACGATACATGCATGTGATACAACCTCAAGTAACATTGCATGACTCGCAATTCCAGACATCGCTTCATTCCTATTTAAATTTAACACTAACGTCATTGCATTGCTAAAAGCCACCCTGTCAACCCTGTGGCTGTGTTACAGGGCTTTTAATGCGGTGTCACTGAGATAACTTTGAAAGAATGGAATTTTTTTCCGCCAAGGTAAACGTCTAAATTTGGATCGATCGTATTAAAAAAATATTTCATGGTATCTGAAAACAATTTGAAAATCAAGTTCGCTAAATTAGATTGAATCAATGGTCGTAGAACTTTCAGCCTTTCAGATTCATTAAATATCTTCAGAATACATTCTATCAATGAATTATTGATTAGTAAATCCATTTCCACTTAACATCATCAAGCAAAAATGTTACCTGCAAGGTTGGTGTAAGAATACTTTGGAACCGTGGCCACAATTAAGCTTCAAGTGACTGTATTTCTTTTTTAAGAGCTGTTCAATAAATAGCTCATCAACTTTTTTAAAACCTGTTCAATAAACAGTTGGCTCGAGGATGGTCCTCATGCAAGTGTATTTAATAGTTAAGTTGAAAACGATAAGAACAGACTTTGAATTCTTTAGTATTTTATGTTAAGGCCGTAGCGTGATCGACATCATGGCGTGAGTGACTAGCAACTCATTCAACTTCCTTCGTTTCATAAACAATTAACAAATAACAACAATTGTGAGCAGCCAGAAGTCATTATAATTTACGTTGGCACACACACGCACCAGTCATAAAACTTTAACATTTGCTATACTAGGCTCACTTTAGAACCGCTCGCGCTGGTCATACATACTACAAGGAGTAACAGAAGTCAAAGACCGCTTATGTGTATAGATTTGTTTTCACGACATAAAACAAATTCTAAATTATTCCATATATATTCAGGTATACAGTAAAGTAAGTTGATAATTCAGTATATATTTTGATAGTTTCTCAATCGCGTAGCAATATACGAAACCAAACGAATCAGTCATGGTAATTCGTGGGCAAATCGCACTGGCTTATTTGTTTTAAAAAACTGTCAATCATTCTGTCAGGATGTATTATTACACCACTTTCGCGTAGCATGCCCTCTAAAGTTTGTAACAAGTTGTCACATCGTTGCCACCTAGCCTGTCCCTAAATGTGAAGCCAAGTTGCTTTATAAGCTAGCTATAACAATGCTTAGACGTTTAGGTTATCCTCGTAGTGGCAAATTTTTGAAGCTGGTTAACACAATTGGTCTTGCTAAAAACGAGCACGGCCAGGGGTGAATATTCCTTTAAACGTTCTAGGAAATGGGTTGTCAATTTGTCATGATCAAACCAGTGCACACGCGTGTCATTTATGCTGTAAATTTAAGTTTATGAATTTAAGTTTATGAATCTTAGGTTTGCAGTTTCCCATCAAAACAAATATAAAAGATATTTATGTATAACAATATCATCATTCTTATTCACCACAGATCATCACCCAGCGCTAAGCCCGGAATTTCATCACAACGCAAGAATGGTGAAGCCATATAAGAAGCCAAAATCTCGTCCAGCACTCTGCCTCCTCGTGTTGTGTGGTTCAGCCCTAATGTTTTTTGCTCTCGTTCTAATTGGTTGTTCGTTTGCTATAAATTACGATGAAGACCTTGACTTTGATGACTATAAACTCGACGCTAAAATTCAAAGTCAGTTTAATTACAATCAGTACTGGGCTGGCGTTCCGGTAGGTCAAAGGATTCGCAGGAAAGGCTGTATTTGAATTAAATGGTCTTTTCTATATTTTTTCTAAAAATATGTAATTATTTTAAAATTTTACAGTTTTTTGTAACTGGTGCCTTAGTATTATTTTCGGGGATCTATCAGAGATCAAGAGGACTGGTAAGTTCGCTCACTATCCAATTCTATTGTCCACCTCTGAAAATGGTGGTGTCCGCTGACCATTGGAATATCACAACATATCGTGAACCTTACATGTTCGTGCAATAAAGTGACATTATTTCTGCTGGGACCATATTCGGACCATTGTTTAACAGATCTAGTTACTCATTCAACTATGTTCAAAAAACACAGGCCATTCCTAATCTCCCTAGAAAATATTGTACTTTTGGAGTTTTCGGGAGTGCGCATCTTGAAATGATGCTAGTTTTACATCTCTTCCGCACTTGCTCGGCAAGATGTGGGTAGTCATTTTTCAGACATGCGCAAAAAATCAATTATTATACGGCGTCAAGAAGCATTTCAGGCTCATCCTTCGTAAATGTTTCTGTCAAAATCACAGAGCTGCATAACGCTATTCATTGCTTCCTTTCAGACGATTACGACTGTGATATTCTGTATCATATCTATCACTCTAACTCTGTTCGTTGTGGCATTGGACAGCGACAGCTTCGGCCATTGGAATAAATTAGAACGGGAAAAAGCTTACTGGGACTCTAAGAGCGGTTACAGCTGTGGAACAGATAATGCTTCGAAAACCTGCAAGTGCACCAGTTCCTCTTCTTGTAAGTGTAGCATTTATAGGTAAAGTTCATGCCGCATTAACAGACTGGCTCCAGCGCCCGTGTTTTTTCGATAGGTAAATTTGCTCCATTCCCGTTGTCTAATCATGGAATGGGAAATTATTGACGACAGTTGATGAAATCCAATGACACAGGCTGGGTTTTAATATATCTAACCTTGTCTTTATCTTGTTCTTTTCAGCTCAAAATATCAGTGACTATGAATGCAATATTGTGCGAAAACTTAGTTCTTTGTATGGCGCTGTTATCGCATCATCAATCATGGTCACTTTATTCAGCATTACAACCATTGTTATCATTATCAAGACACTGTCGTGGAAACGAATAGTTTATGTAAGTAACCAAATGTTCATGGTAATAAGCATAAGAACTGAAGTTTATAGAACCGCTGAAATTAACTTAAGAAGTTTTAACATTTACTAAGTTTTTCATTTTAATGTTTTTTCATTTATTAATAATATTAATAATAATAATTATTATTAATAATTCTCAATTGTGAACAATAATGTTCGAGTACAATTGACTACAGACTACAGATATTGATTTAGCTAGGTTGCAGACTTTCACGAAAATCTTACCAGGCTATATATTTCTGCTTAATACCTCTCTACTTATAGCCACCAATGCGCACCCCATCCCAAGAACTAATCTATATATTTATCGGTGCGTAACTCATCTGGTATCTCCAAAACGAAGTCATTGATTGCAATTGCGTGGTTTTCAAAAAATCAATGGAAATTTCGACTATTTTCGAATTAGGCAATAGTATATTACAATTTTTAAACTACTGGCCAACAAAAAAAGTTTTAACATAAAAAAATGAAACATAGACGTGAAACATGGTGTTTCAAGACTTTGAAAGTATAGTTATAGTTCCAGTATATACTGTGCAAGTGTCAGTACTGACGTTGCATTGCAAGGACTTATATTTGACCCATGAAGTACCATTGTAAAATATAAAAATAAAAATATCCTCTTCTCTTTTACAGCCAACACACAGCTATTACAACAGCGCAGACGATTACTACATGGACACAGGACGTCGCACACCATCGCATATTGATCTCCCTGTAGCGAAACGAGCAGCAGACTTTTCGGAATCAAACGGGAGGAAAGCATTACCTTACAGAAACTATCCATTCTAAAATGAACTTAAACTGACAAACAACATGCTCTCTACAAATATAACTTTTAAAAAAAATTGAAGTTGACGTTTCGTTTTAATTTTCAAAGACAATCAGGAATAAGTGAATTTGCAAACGGTAAATTTTGCGAATTCGGAACTTTGAACCAACATTTAAGAATGTGTTATTGAGTTCATTTGCATAAGAAATTCGTTGAATATTCTAGCCTGTATAATGATGGTATAAATGCTTGCGAAACGGAAATTCACGAGCACAGTAATTTTACACTTATTTTAATGATCTTTACTGGATATTTTAACGTCAGCAATAAATGCATACCGATTCATGCATGCATGCAAGAAAACATCTACGATAGATGAAACAATTAAGCTAACGAATTATAATATGTACCCGACAGTTTTTACCAAACTAATTATGGTATACTTAAAACTTGTATTTTGTAACTACACGTATGATATATTTTATATCGTTCTCCTGTCAATATACTGTTATGAAAAATAAATATTATTGTGTTTTAAACCCATTATTAGCCCACGTCACCCGAATCGTAGTCGTAGGATGTATGCATAAAACGGCATAGCACTGGCACTACAGGCCGAGACGAATTACCACGGCGCAAATAAAAAATACATTCAATTTAAGACTTTAAAACATCTGGGTATATAGTATAACAAACATGTTTATTAGGTAGTGGTTGTATACGTTTTTCTGAAATGGGTAATTATATAAATAATTATCCAGTAAAATATTTCCGCCTCTTTTTTTGTGCTCCTCGATGGACACAGACTACAGTGCAATCATTTTAATATAGATCAGTGGCTGTGATAGTTTTTCCCTGATGAACGATAGATGATAAATATTACGGAGTTTACGATTATAGACTTTACGTGGTTCTTGAGCTGCAGTGACGATCGAGCAGTAACGGTCTCAAATAGAGAAAATGTTATTGGCAAGCTCGCTGATATATACAAAGAACCCTATAAATTCACTTGACTTGAAGCATCGAAAAACTCTTTGATATCCCTGGCCGGAAATGTATCATTCTTTTTAAATGTTTTGCATATGCATTTAAATGCATGTATATAAACGCGTATAATTGCATTCTAGTCACCTGCAGTCGCCTTTAAATTATAACCTTGACCGATGCCAATTAATGAGTGATTGGCTACATAGAGATCATTTTAACGAAGGGCGCGGTGGTTGGAAATAGTTTAATTTTGAAGCTACATAACTGTATTGCCGTCGCTTTAAATTATTTCGCTCTTTAATAGGTCCCCGAACATAAAACCTTGTTTATCTCCGCAGAGTCGCCATTCGCGTATTGCTTGGAGTATCGAATTGTGTGAGAAAATATGCGGAATAAGTCGAGTTCATACTTTTTAGCAATTCTAGCACTGGTAGGTTTTAATTATATAAAATCTTTATCTCAAACCCGGTTTGTTTATAAAATCAATGATGAAGGCTTTTTTGTAAAGACGGCTTTGGACTTCCTCTGTGCAGTGGACGGAGAGAGAGGTCTTGATTTAAGAGTTTGAGCTGAAAAGAGTATAGGCTGAAGTCTTACATGGACTGAATCTACCGTTTGCTAACTAACCTTACTTCTGAAAATAGTTTAATGCCCGTAATGAAAACGCAAGTTGCATTCTCTATTGGAATTTCAGATCATCCGTTTATCAGTATAAGAAACTCGATCTATGTAATCAGTATTATTATTCCATTTTTAAGAAAATGAATTTTTATTTGTGCACATCCTTTTTCAATCATATATAGGGAATTCAGTTGTTCCAGGCGAGCTGAAAAATCTAGCAATTGAAAATAAGAATTTCTCACGACGTGAAATGAGAAAGTCTTTCATGTGAGTTTGCATATTTCTCACAGTTGCTGAATCACAAATAACCAATGAAAACTCCCACTGAAATGAAAATACAAACATGTCATTTGTCGAAGAGTTTTGTAAAATAGTACGAGTGCTTGCGTGTCTATTTTGAGGGAATGATTGACCGAGGTCTTAATTCACATACCAAAGCACAGTCGGGTGCCGGAGATTGTTATGGGAGGCATGAATATTTGCTGCCTACACATAACGACCAATTTTGCAACCATTCAAATTGCTCGACGGGTGTCTGCTCCGATTCAATGACCAACCCAATAATATGAGGCGAAGATCATTCCATTCCAAAATAGAATTCCTAAGCGCCATTCTCATCGAACGAAGCTTGAATACACAACACCCATTTTCGAGTTCGTTCAAACCTGAACTGGTGATTTATTTCAAGCATGGATCCGTACTACAGTAAGCCGCCAAGGCCTACCTCAAGGACTCGAAGATCAGGCATGGCACTTTTCTCACTGGTACTTCTGGGATGTGGAATCGTTTTCTTCGGAATTGTAATGATTGCGTGTTCATTTGTGATAAATTATGCCGATGATTTCGAAACTTCTGATACAATTACACCTGGTATAGAAAATATCGAAACCAAGGTCCAAAGTGGCTTCTCTTATTGTCAATATTGGGCAGGCATTCCTGTAAGTACTTTATTTGTAATCTATATAATCGAAACATTCGAAAATATTGCTTTGTTTCCGGAAGAATTTGATACAATCAAGATGTAAATACAACTTATTCAAGTACCAAGTTGACAAAAGAAGCAAAAATATGTCTGTATTTTTCAATGGCTTATAATATATGAAGTCATAATAATAATATTAGCTATGTGCCTATGTAGTTCGTATAAATTCCGTTTGCTGATTTAGCATTAAAATATAAAATCATACATTTTATTCAGGATCAGCTAGTGTTAATCGTTGCCACCCATTCCCTCGATTACTTTGATCAGCTATAAAGTCTTTCTATCGGTGTACATAATAAGTCTATCAAAGAACGTTGGCTCATCCACGAAAAAATAGGATTCGTAGCATTATAAAAGAGTTCACTTTTTTTAGTAATCTCGTGCTATTAAATTACTTTTAAGCCACATATTAAGCCACACACTAATTAAGCCACATATTAATGTTTCACATGAGAAATTGTTGAAAAATAGATCCCAACGTTGGATTGTGAATAAAATTTTGAGCTTTCAAAATGTTTTTACTAGAAACATAAAAATGCCAAAAATGTCGACGTCGGATGTTTTACCTATAATAAGCCAATATATATTTACCATTTGGTACTGGTTGTTAGAACTTAGAACGAATTCTTGTTAAGTATATACTTATCATTATTAAAAAGTTAATTTGAAAAAATATACCATTCAATTAAGGTACGTAGTTACCCATTTAAAAGTTGCCGGAATTTAAGGTTCTCATTTTGAACTATATGGTGTTATGGTGAATGGCGCAAGTATCGAATTACGAGATTTTGTATTAAAAATTCCATGTAAAATAAAACTGGAAAATGGAATAACCAGAAAGGCATTATGAGAGCATAACTTGTGGTTATCTTTCTGAACTGATGACAATGGCGGGGCTACATATAGAAATGCGGATATAAATGAAATTCTTGGCATCAATATTTTTTCTTTACACGTTGTATAGGCTACAAGGCTTTTCTTAACTACAATCCTGGCCAAAACATTGACGACACTCAGTGTTAATTGACACTACAGTCTGTAGTCGCGGAATATATTTCAAAATTCCCCCCCTTATCCCCACAAATCAATGTTGCATGGGTGATGTGTCAAAACTCAAAACTCATTCAAGCATTTAGCATGGACTCAACATTGATTAGGTGGGCGAGGGGGAAATCGACACAGAAATCTTGATGTTTTGCGCAAAAAAACTAGAAATCAATTAGACTGTAGTCAATGGTTTTGGCCAGGATTGTAGGTCCAGTTTGGCTAGGAGCCAATATATTGGCGAATACAATATGCCGATTGCTTTACTTGTATACAACGTGATGCACGATTTTAGGATCAGTATGAACATTTACTGTTAGGTGTTGTGTTATAAGACCCTGCATGTTATGGTGCAATTTTTCATGCCACTTGCAATGCAATTCTACTTTTAAGAGATCTAAATCAGTAATGTGTTTTCGAAATGTAAGTATGATAGGTAGTGTAATAAACATATTAAGTTTTGTAGTGGCCAAATTTACATCTCTTTGCAAAATTGCACCGCGTAACAGGGACTATATACATAATTATAATGCCTTGAATGGCTTGGAAAGTATATATATAACAGCGGAGTCACCATAATTTGTATTCGGGCAATGAGATCACATATCACAGGGTGTCATGAGCTCCGTGTGCCGTTTTAATAGTTTACATGACTCTTGAAATTGTTAAAATTAATTAGCTATCAGGAGCCGGTTGTTCAAAAGGCGTTTAGCTTAAACGGTGGATAAGCCAAAGTTTAAAAATACTCTTATAAATCTTGGGTATGGCTGAACTTGTAGCTTATGCATATAATATGTACTTCCATTGAAAATTAAACTATAAACATCGAAATATTTCAGCTCAGTTGTTCAATAAATAGATAATTTTTGACACCAGCCCCAGATGTCATTAAGTTGTTTGAAATATCCTGTCGATATTCCTTGGCACAAACATATTAAATACAGAAGTAATGAGAAATTTCTCACGCTATAGGAAACCTTTCTATGCTATCGTTTAAATTATTGGATCCTAACGTTCTAATAAAATTCTTCGCAGATGATAGAAGTCATAGAACAATTATATTTCCACTACACGTATGCTGAAGAATTTTAATTGACGCCATCGTCCATACGAGGTGAAAATATGTGATGCTGAGTGACGAAAGTTGTACTGGCAACTTTATTTTATAAACAATAATACCATGACCATGTTATATATATAGCTATTTCTATGTGTATAAAACTCGAGATACGTAGTTGTTTATTGTTAAACTGGCATGGTTCGGGTACACATTTGTTACTAATCACCTTTGTTTAGGCTATGGTTTAAATGGACATGATTATTATAACTCTGTTTACGGCCAACCTCGTACCTCGGGTTTTCGTTTTCCTTCTCGCAAAGTTCATTCACGAAGTTTGTTTTCCATTTAAATTTGCCTACACAAAAACTTGCATAACAAAGATTTTGAAAAACCAATACTTTTTCCCGCCAAAAGTGATGTTTTACCCTAGCGCGTTGTGCATGTTTCGTAACGTAAGGAACAGACGAGGCGGTTTGGACCCCGCTTATTACCTAGCCTTCCTAAGGCGTCTCTCTAGCCGCGTCGTGAATCGTAAACTCTCTAATTTAACCACCTGGGGCCTGTAATTTGCATACGTGTAATTTGCATACGTCAGTTGGTACTGCAAATATATATAAATTATAAATACATAGCTACAGCCTACATACTGGGGCTAAAATATGTTTGAGCATACATGTATGTATACAATACATGCAGTATTAGAATCAGTTACAGTATTTTCATACTTCGTATGACTACTCTACTCGATTTTCTTTGAGGTGTAAGGATGATAAGAAGTTGCTCGAGAAACGTATCTGTAAGAAAACATTTTTAGCTGGATCGTTTATATAAATAAAGCAATAGACTGATTAGGAACATCTCTCCTTGAGCAGATTAGTTGGTTCATATAATTTTAATATCATACTGATTATTAAATTGTTCACAATCTCGTGATCGATGATTTACGTATTTATATATATTTCCAAGTGTATATATACTCATTTATTTTTACAGTTCCTTGTCACTGGCGTGTTGGTGATTTGCTCTGGAGTTTTTCAAAAGAATAGAGGACTGGTAATTAAGACATTATTTTATGTCCCTTATAAGGCGGATTTCCACTTGCAGCGAAATCGCTCGCTAGCGAAATATTTGCATATTTTCTTTTGAATTGAGAACAGTCAAGTCGCACTAATTCATTTATGCTGTTAAAATTCAAAAGAAAATATGTAAATATTTCGCTAGCGAACGATTTCGCTGTAAGTGGAAATCCGCCTTTAGTCTTAAGGCGGATTTCCACTTACAGCAAAATCGTTCGCTGGCGAAATATTTGCATATTTTCTTTTGAATTGAGAACACTCAAGTCGCACTAATTTATTTATGCTGTTTAAATTCAAAAGAAAATATGCTAATATTTCGCTAGCGAACGATTTCGCTGTAAGTGGAAATCCGCCTTTAGGTTATACGTCGCATTTTGGTCGCGTCTAATGCAATTCAAACAATGGATAATGAGATGTTAATGAAGGTTAATGAGGTTTACCAGCTCAATATCTCTTGATTGAATTGCATTCGACGCGACCAAAATGCGACGTGTAACCTAGAGAATTGCTATAGAGAATTTATGTTAGTTATGTAATTAGGAAGTTATCGATCAAGGGGAACATTTTCTGGCGAAATATTAAACGACTCACCAATTACGTCTCTTTCTTCAGTGTCATAGCCAAAAATGTTACTTTCTCAGGTTAAGACTTTGAATACGAGTGAGGTGATTTTGTTCTTACATATAATAAGCAGAAATTATAATACATATAATATCTTACATATAATAAGCAGAAATGTTCAGAAATTAAGTATCGCATTGCTTAATCTGGCACTGCATCGAACATGGTCACATAAAATCGTCTTATATTTCACCAAATTTTGCAACTAAAAACTTTTGGCTTATGTATTTATTGTCATTCACAGACAATCACAACAGTCATTTTTGCATTGGCGTCTGTGTCTCTTATGTTTTTCGTCATCGGTCTGGATGGATCGAATTGGCATTACTGGAACCAAAAGCATAGAATGAAAATATACTATGATAGCAAGAGTGGAATTGATTGTACAAGTACAAGTGGAACGTGTACCTGCTCTGTAGGTAAGAATGATAATTTTGATTGTACTTTTTCAACCTCAGCCAGGGCTTGACGACCGGGAACCGGTTGTTCAAATCTACATTACCTTTCAACCTTTAGCCTGCGGTGCAGACGCTTCGAAGCGCCTGCACCGCAGGCTATTCAACCTTGGGTTAAATTTTAATCAGTTTTTTTAGTGTGCTTCTAAAACTCCGCTCGTTTCAAAACTTCACAAAATATGACTTCTATTGAACCAGAAAATACTCGGGGAGAAAATATTCAACTTCTATAATTAAAAGAAGCGATAAAAAAATTGATGTAAAGGTGATTTGCATTAACCCTGTGATTAAGTTAACCGTCTTTTGAACAACTGGCCGGCTGATGTGACACCCCCAAATAATTCAGAAAAAAGGAATTTCCTGTACGCGGGCAAAAAATTGGTCATTTTTTCGTTATGAAAGTTCGTCGATATCACATGACACCACCCCCCAATCCTAATTCGCTCACCACGCCCCAGTTATCTGCTTTTTTCCTCCTCGTAGGTTTTATTAGAGTATAAAAATTATATGGCCTCATTTTGTTTTTAAGCAATTGGACCAGTAGGTGCCTCGTGTGACGACCTAAGTGCATTGAGTTCGCTCTACGGTGCTGTGGTTGGCTCGTCCATTGTTGTGGCGATTTTCTGTGTGTTCAGTATTCTGGTTATCACCAAGTCGTTGTCATGGAAACGCATAAGATATGTAAGTTAATACATGGTCAATCGAACTTAATAATAATAGTATCATTTTTACTGGGTGTGCGAAAAAAGTAACCTCGAAATCTCTCACTATATATAAGTAAATGCATATATATTTAATTTCTGATCTTCGTGCTCTATGACCAGTATCAGTTTGCAAGTTTGCAAAAAGTGAATCGAAATTATGGTAGAAAGGAAGACTTTACGTGCAAATGCGGAAATATTGGGAGTTGGGGGAGAACTTATCGAATTTGTCAAGTTTTGCCGTAGTTTATTGTACTTTAAAACCCAACTATGGTATTTGACAATCAAAAATAACCAGGAGGAACCGAAGCGTGGAATGAAGCAAACTTAAAAAGAAAACGCTGGAACGTTTCGATCAATCTCATGCTAAGAGCCTCATTTTGGCTTGCTGTTTGGGCAAAGATCTACATTTGATGAAAACTATGATATAATCAACTTGCAACTTGATTATAGCTTTGTTAGGCTAAATGTTAAGGTTCAATTTAAATTTTAACTTTCTAGATAGGATTTTAAAACCGCCGTATATAATTCTGGCGACCTACGACGTCGTATCTTCTTTTGTTTCTTAAAATTTCGATTTTTTAAATGGCTTCAAAAGTTCATTCAGCTGTATAATAATTTTATTATCCATCTAGGGTAATCATCGTTCATACTACAATGATGATTTTCACATGGAGCCAGCACGTGCGCCCTCCGTGATCGACTTGCCGTATGCAAAACGTGGAGAATTCATTGAAGGGCCACCTCCAGCTGGACCCCCGTACAAGCAAACCGTCTACCGAAACTACCCTTATTAGCTCATCGTCTATAACAGGGGACCCACAAATTTCATATCTTGAAGTACGTCACACTATATTTTTAGCACATACAGCAATGAAGGTATACCTGTTTTAGAACTAAGGCGAGGAAGTTCTGGAATTTTCTATGAAGGTTGATTATTTTGCACATTTTTTGAATGATTAGATATGATTGACACTTTTGATTTACCGCTAATGTTATAAAATATAATTTTGTATCACACTGACAATTTTGTAATTTTTGACATTATGGTTTAATCTATAATTTTATACTATAATATACTGTAATTAAAGGATCTACTTCGTGTCTGAATTTTATATTTTCAAAATCGGTACTTTCAAATCTGAAATGAATATTAAGCATTCTAAGTGGAAGGAGAAGCTCCTATGGGGAGAATTAGTGATAAGTCCGAAAATCCTCAGTGGTCAACACAAACTGATGCGTGTCATCACTCATCACAGACAATCCAAAAGACAGTCTTTTGCATTGTCTATGGTGTCATAGAGTCTTTATTTGAAAATCACCCCAAATCGGCTAGCAGCATTCACCCCTCATCTCATCGGACAGACATTAGCCCCCTCTCCCAAAATTTTCATTAAAAAAATAAATTGGCCGCCATATTTGAAGTCAAGATGACATACGCGTCGTACAGTCCCAGTCCCTTACCATTGTTTTCCACTGCGCGGTTTGTGAAGAATGTATCAAAAATTTATTTTTTACTTACATTTCAACCGTTGCATGGCGGTCCATCAAAATTGCGATTTTGCACGTACAGCGATTTTAATTTACCGCCTATGTTTTAAGCAATAACATTTGACTTTATAAGTAAATGGCTTAAAAGCAACCGGAATTAGCAAATGCTGGAATTTTCGCTTCGCCAAATCATAACATGTCAATTCGAGCTTATCGTGCTAGTATTTTTATGGTGTGCCTGGAATGCAACATTACTTAATTTGATTATGTACACTAAACTCGCATAAATGGTGCCAATACACCCAACCAGATTACATTTTCATACCTTTAGAAGCATCATTTCTAATATTACGATAAGAGTATAGCCATTATATCTGTCTCTGGATTTAGTTCAGGAGTGCACTCATGACGAAGCCATGTTTCTGTCACTTTGACTATAAAACACTTTGACAACTCATTTAGGAATATGTAGTGAATAATTTTTATATAATACGTAATTAAGCTTGTAGGTTCACCACGTAAGTATATATTACTGCAAAGCTTTCGGTCCGTTTAATTCTTATATGATTCAGCACGCTGCATGGTATAACTTCGTTTCTCGAGTATATCAGTTGTTATAATTATCACGTGTAGTGATTTTCTGACTTGGCTGCATAAATTAGGCAAACACCAGTATACCTAATTGTAGCTTTGAGTTTGGCCTCTGCACTAATGACGGTGTTTGGCAAATTTTTTCAGCAAATCATAAACCCTGAAGGCGTACTGGTTTGCAATTTTAGTTGATAACTAAACACCTTTATTAGGGCCTAAACAAAGACAAAACAAGGTCAAAACAAAGAGAGCAATGGTTAGGCCTGTTTCAAACGAGCCGCGCGAACGCATTAAAAGCAATAGTTAATCAGTTGTGGTGGCTCTCAACCTCTCATCTATTCTTTTTATCCGTTCAGCACACGAGAAACTCGACGTTTAAGGCCTAGGTTTCAAACAATAGATAATGAGATGATAATGAAGCTTAATGAGGTTTACCAGGCCTAAGACCTAGGTTAAACGTCGCATTTTAGTCGCGTCGAATGCAATTCGAACAATAGATAATGAGATGGTAAATGAGCTTAAGGAAGTTTATCATCTCATTTAACAATTATTCGCCGAAAGCGAAGATAATCACCAAGTCTAAGGCAAATAATTGTTTAGTATTTTTGCACAAGTGAATCGACACAAAAACTGCATTTGTTCAATATTTACACTCCAAAAATATGGATAGCAATATTTAAATTTACAACTCAAGCGCCATAATCTTCGACATGCCCCCTTTCTCTAGCAAAATTAAAATTTTTGTATTTAACATTTTATAAGTTGCGCTAATCCCCACAGGCAAAAATTCGTGGACAAGTCCGACATTCAAATTAACGTTAAAAGTAGGTGATTTCGATAATTTTTTTGTTGGTACACCCTTAAGTAAAGGAAAAGCATTCTGGACACTATTTGAGCTCAGGTCCATTAAAACAATAGTGCTAAGACTGAATTAGCACAACGAACAAATTTCCATGTAATACCAATGTGCGACTGAATAATATTAGGTTGACCAATTGCCATACGACGAAATAAAAGTCTTTCCAGAGATTTCTTCAAAGACTATTAGCTGTGTTGTGATTTCGATCCAGACTTATCTTCTTTTGTTCAATGTTATACTTTCCTCGCGAGTTAAACGGCGACAATCTCGGCGAAGCTGTTGCTGAAGACGACTTCTTTACGGCGTTCGTTGCTAATGCGGGCGCAGTTGTGCTAGCGGTATAACGTCGTTGTCTACCGCGTCGACCTCGTAAAAAGTCGGCCCAACATTGCCGAACTTCGGGCTGACGCACGCAATGAAACCAGAAGATGGCAAACCCTTGCAGAGAATTGAAAATACAAAATAGATATTGAAAAACCAGACGAGCACTGCCGATTGCAAGCGTGCCAAAAAACCAGGTTAGACCGAGCAGAACTGTGATTGCCAAGGCAACTTTGACCTGAAAATAAAAATAATGAACAAGATACAGCATGTTAACGCGAAAGCTCATGTTCATTAATTAAGATGCACAGCAGGCTAAAACTGTGTACAAATGTAAACAAAGGATTTGTTCATATTACAAAGTACAAAATTAATACATAATTCTATTAAATAGTTTAGATGGATAATTTTACTGTTCTGGGGCCTAATGTTCCAGCTAGCGGTGCGGCTCGTTAAAAACTTCTAAGATCATAACTACAAAGCGAAAAAACTACAACTGCACACAATTGTAAGATTTCTAGTACAAAATGTGCTTTTGTGGCTTCAAATCGATGAAAGCAGGCCTAGCTAGGACTGAACAATGTTGTGCATGTTGCATCCATAAACATTGTTGTGACCAAAGTTCCAAAAACCTTTTAGGCTTGTACAAGTTATTTGCGTCTTGACAACAACCATCTTCACAGACCGCGGCACAACTTTGTTTTTTGCGGTTCAGTGAACAATGCAATCTACCAATCATATCACCAGAACATTACTCTCGAAACTTACCCGGTGATAACCAGTCATCTTATTTTCTTGAGAAACTTCTTTTCCCATTTGAGACAAAGAATACATAGTCAGAACAAACATTATGAAGTTCATGAAAAGAACAAAAGCAGCTGGCGCAAATACACTGATGTAGAAAGCAATTCCGTGGAGGAAACAGCTAAAAAAATGTAAGTGACAATCTGGTTAAGTGACATTAAACGTCGCATATAGTTTCTCATCACTCTGAGCAATAATGCCATATCGCGGTGCGCTATGCTGCCTATGCCTATGCAGACGGATACTTTACGTCCGTCGCAATGACAATAGGTCCCCCATTCCACACGAAAATCAATGTTCCCAGGTTAAATGCTCCAGTAGTTGTATATTAGTAAAATACCCTGCCGTGCTTCAGCTATACCAGGTAATATTAGGACCGGATAATGGACCGGATATTATTATCGCACGAACCTTTCGTCAGTTGAATAGTAGTCAAAAGCTAAAGCACCAGTTACGACAACGACAACTCCTGGAAAACCTAGAAGATATGTGTATTGTAAATTTGAATTGATTTTCTTTTGTTTCCCGGACACAGTCGTGTGGTAAGGCCTTGAGGGTTCGTTAAGGGCCGTAAGTGATTGAAGATGCACGGACAATCCTAGCAAAATTCGTTTTTAGTTTCAAAACATTAGGAAAAAGTAAATCCATAACACGCGCTTACCCCATGCAATGAGAACAGCTTTTGGTACAAATCTGGGCACATGCGCAGACATTACTTTCACGAATGCGAGATACATGTTAATTCCTTCAACAGCCATCCATGAAAATGTCGCGAGCAGAAAAAAGTGGACCAGAAGACCGGAAACCAGACAGCCGGTCGTCTTCGGATCCCGAGTCGCGACAATAAAGTATGTCACCAAAAGACCAATCAACGCGACGCAAAGATGGCACAAAATAGTTTGCGCGTTGCTGCGTTTGAGATCTCTACATGAAGAGGAAGAAGTACATTTAGTGATCGAAAATACTTAAATCAAATTGATTGTGAAATTTCAATGTGGCCACTTATTGGCAGCGATATGAAATTTAAAATATTAGAACTGTAAAATAATTATTATTATATTAGAATATTACAACCTCGTTCCCAGGGCCTTTTGAGACCGTATATGGAGGGTTGAGGCTGCGGGGGGAATTGAATTAGATTTTGGCTCGAGTTGTGGGTAAAATCATATCGGACAAACTGGGGCGTTGCCTTGCCATAATCAACTTACCGAAAGTAAACGTAGGTGATGAGAGTCAAAATGGCGGCAAGCAGCGATATTCCACAACCAATATAACTAATAACTGACAATGCGTGACTGTGATCTGAGTCTGACACGTCTCTATCTGGGTCAGCAGTCAACAGAATGGCAAAGTGTGTCATGTGATTACATCGGCATGTCACGTGACCGGACTTGGTTCCTTCGTAAAAGCAGCCTTCTGACGACCAATTACCAAATCCATCTACAAAACAGTAACAACTTTTTGGTAAATCATAAAATGAGTTTGTGGTCTGATACTATTAAACGAGTATTTTCTATATAGTTCCTACGAGTTCACGTACGGCATTCATCTCATGCGACGGCAACTGAGGTACAAACCTACATTTTTTTCACAAAAGCTGATTTCAATGCGATACATACATACCGTTGGCTGTAAAATCCCAATAAACACAACGTGGAAAATACATTCTGTCATCACTTTTCATTTTATTTGGAAATATTAGTTCTATAGCGCCATTGACCATCTCGATACTAGCTTCTTTAAATTTTCCAGACAGAATGATATTTCCGACATTTCGTTTTCTTTTGATGCCATTCTTCAAACTTTTGTCAACCGACACAGGAAACAGTTTGTTGTTCTGATAAACGATTGTTATCACGCGATCAGATCCTTGTTGCTTTGCTTGTTGAATGGCGTTTTTCGAGATTTTTATTTCCGTTTGAGTGGTTAATGAAGAATTTCGTGTCGTAACGTTCGCAACATATGTGAGATCGTCCCCGACGAATTCTTGAGCGATTGATTCCGCTTTAATTTTAATGTTTTCGCCAACCAGAAGACGAATTCCTTTCTCCAGTGGAACATTTTCAGCAAACGTCTCTGTAACGTTAAGCAATCTACAGAATGTGAAAAAGATATCATGTAAAAAAAGAAAAAATAACAACATGAAAACAAAGTGGTAAATTATTTGAAGACTTAAATTATTTAACCAATTTATACATTGTGATTACCGGTAACATACCTCGAAGTGGTTTGGTTATACAATTCACTTTCAGCTAAAATTTCTTCACTAACCGACAAAATATTGTCAATGACTTGTAATACATTTTCCGCAACCTACAACACGAATGCATGTATGATTTATGCGTACAAAGAAATGCAGGAGCTAAATTATAGAAGTATATTATTATACGCTCATATGAATGTATTTACATTCTTGCCTACAGGAGAATAACTCCTAACGATCATGACCTCGATCATGACTATCATCCTAAGCTGATGAATCTGGTGCACTTTCACTTGTTTGACCAACTCGGCTCATCATCTATAAAGAGCGACAGTCTCGCCTTTTCCCCCACCATTAATTTTATTGATGTCAAATTATCTAAGATAAGTGATTACGTTGGCGAGTAAAGATTCCATTTAGTAGTAGGAAAGGGGGATTTAAAGCTATGACAATGGAGAATTGCTGATACCTCTGCCAAGGAACTATTATAATCCACAATGTCAGAAATAGTGGTTGTTACTAGAGCAACATCATATGAATCTAGTTCATCAGGAGCTTCAGTTTCCCCCACCAAGACCTCGGTGATGTTGTTTACGTTTGTTTCATCAATTGGCGTCTGAAAAAAACCTACTGATTAATGCTGAATTACTCTAAATTTATCTAATGTAAAACGTCTATGTATTTACCTTGGAAAGTTCTAACAATGTTTCTGTATGTTTAGATGGATTACATCCAGAAGAGTCAAACACAGTCCAAGACGCCGCAGTGTTGGATATCCAACTGCAATTTCGCGAGAGAGTGACGTTGCCTGGACCATATGGACATTTATGGCTTGCTAGTTTGTTCACCCTTGTCGCTTTCCAAGTAAATGTTCCTTTTACTGTCCAAATCACTTCTCTTTTGCATTCTTAGATATAGAATTAATGCATCTTGTACATCAACTGCAATTAAATCTCCGCCATCTACAGAAACTAACACCTCTGAAGGTCTCTCTACAATTATTTTGTGTAACAAACCTTGCAACCTAATTAACGGACATCGAATTTGTGAATAAATATTGAAGTTTTTATAGAAACGCTTCCATGGTGTTGAGATACACTTTTCAAGTATAGAATACTGATGAGTGTTATCCTACACCCTTTTAATGTTAGCGAGATTTACAGTGATGTATAGGCTACATACATCGTGGAGCAGACGCAATTGATAAGCTGCTCATTCATTCTTATAACAATACTCCGACTCCTAAATTTGAATCATTATAATAATGAATAATCAATCATTATAATAATGAATAAATCTGAATTGGGATCATATTAATTGCATTCGTGTTTACATTCATGCCTATTGCCCATCAACTTCTGTAATATTCGTTGATAAATAGAAGAGTATATCAGTTAACATATGTACTCTCGAACCCGACTCACCTATGATTGGCACGCAGGATGTAGAACCTTCACCAAGAGTCATTTTCCCTGAAGGACATGGAGGACAGTTTTGCATATTTGGTTTTGCTTGATATGTATCTATTGGACAAGGGTGACAGGCTAACGGAGTAGCTGGGTGATGGAAATAACCCTGTTTGCAATCTAAACAAAAAGGAAAAAGTAAGCGTCGTTTTAATATCAACAAAAAATTCCGGCTAACAACAGTTAATGAATAAAAACAAAAAAGAACACGACTATTAAAATTGCATCGCAAAGGATGCTGGCAGCATAACGAAACATTGAAAACTCAATCATTCAGACAAGCAGTTGGGAGGCTTTAAACAGTTTTATTTATAAACTTAATTGGGGAGAAGAAATTTGTATTTACCGCAGAAACTACTTTCTCCTCTACCCACAAACATGGCTCCTTCAGGACAACAAGTTCCATTCCTCTTCTCCATACAACAATGCCTAAATTTTGAATCATACGGAGCTTTTTCCGCTTCAACATCTCGTCCGTCTTTTCCCTTCAACTTTGGAATAATTGTCAGCCAGTTGAACTTGTCCACATGTTTGTTGTGTTTTTCACGAGTGGAATTGATACATCGGGTTAATTTTCTATCACTAGGTATCCCTTTCACGCCAATTTCAAATTCGTACAAGTAGGTTGCAGCAAGGACGAGGTATCCCGATGATGACCTTTTTTTCAAGGTTACATCGTCAAATATAACTTTTATATCATCGCAAATGCCTTCAAAACTTTTGGGCCAGGTGTTCGTGATGTACTGGGTAAAATAGGAACTTTTGAAATCGGTGGTTGTTTTGTTTAAGTCAATGGACCCAATGCGTGAGGCATCATAATAAACGTCGATATCAACCAAGAGACAGTGGGATGAAAGTGGAGCAAAATCTAAAGTGAAAGTCTTGCAAATGAAGCATAAACTTCTAACATATCTTTGGTGCTAATATATGCAGATAGAGAAGTAGATTTCAGGTAAAAATAAATCCTTTTTTTTAGTCAAAGGATATTGATTATATGCATAATGTACATTATAACTATTTAATAGACATCCAGGGACAATTTGCTTCCATCAATTGTGCGTGAGAAAGTCTAGCTCATACTCATCGTGCCTCGTCGGTTTCGAACACAAACGATTTGTCTCAACTTAAATGTTGTAACAAATGAACATTGTAACTCGTCTTTTGATCAAGAAGGATATAAGGAAGACACATGCATGCAGGTGCTCCGGTTTGTGGCAATAGATACGGCCTCTGCATTTGTCTAAAAATTCACTTTCGACATTGACATATACAGGTAAAGGCCGGCGCACACTAGAGCTATGTGCTTGACAAAAAGTCATTCGTGGCCATTGGCGTAAGGCAATTGCTCTCGTGTGCGGGCGACTTTTTCGGCGACTTTGGTATTCCTGCCACTTACGGCAAATATCTAGCATGTTTGATAATTTCTGCCTGGCGCGCCAAAATCTTTCCCTGTGCGGCAAAAATAAAAGCTATCTGCTTATGGATTGTCTTAACAGCGCATGCGTAATATACGAAAGTAAACATTCAAGATGGCGGACAGATTGCAAAAACCAAAATTATGAATGAAAGTGAAGAGGAAGAGGTGTTGTTATATTTGTTGCTGTTGCGTCGGACTAGACTAGACGTAATAATAATACTTGGATAACGGCGCTTAAAGCGGACGTCTAGTCGTTAAAGTCGTTAAAGCGGACATCTTGCATGTTTACTTTCGTATATTACGCATGCGCTGTTAAGACAATCCATAAGCAGATAGCTTTCAGTTTGCCGCACACGGAAAGATTTCGGCACACGAGGCAGAAATTATCAAACATGCTAGATATTTGCCGTAAGTGGCACGAATGACCAAAGTCGCCGGAAAAGTCGCCCGCACACGAGAGCAACTGCCTTACGCCAATGGCCACAAATGACTTTTTGCTAACCACATAGCTCTAGTGTGCGCCGGCCTTAAGAACGTTGTATGTATATAATTGCTACATAACACAACAGTCACAATTCATTAGGATTCCTTCATTCAGACCTTCTAAGTTGTTATATTTAATTTCATGCTAGAAAAAACATACCAACAGAACCAATCCTATGCATCATTCTCCATTCAATCATTGATTTCATAAATATCACTTTTAAATTATTTCAAACTTTTACGTGCAAAGCAGCGGTAAGGTACTCCTCAGTTACAGCGCTTATAACTAAATATAAACTAACAATACCTATATGTAAATAATTATGACTACACGAATGTTCATTGCCGTACCTAGTTTAACATCAAGTTTCACACATGAAAGGTTTGGACTTTCACCTCTGAAACCACATTATATTTTCATTTTTGACTTTGCATCTGTGCATAAAACTTTCGCGAGAGCTTTATATGAAATAAGAACTTACTTCAAACCAACACTGAAAACACTCTCTGCCACTTTGCAGCTGAACTTCTGCGGCAGATGCCAAGAAATGAAATACCCGGAGATTGCCTTTTATTTAATCGGGATCAAACGTTGACAGACTCAATCACAGAGAGAAAGAAACACAATTGTCCGCAGTCTATCAGAACCCATAATACCAGAGATGATCGCTACTTTATAGCTCTGACAACATGGAGTGGGGCTATGCAGTTACCAGGTATACCACATGCGTTAAACATACCTGCTTGACCGTGATTTGATTGACTCCATATGAGTGCAATGAGACCAAATAATTTCCTTAACGACCAAGGCATATCCCACTAAATAACAGGTCTCCGACTTAATAAATCATACGACCAATCAGCAATTGCAGCTATATACACATGCAACCCTAGGCCTTCTTCAACTTGACGGCGAAGCAACACTTACTGAAATATTTTGATCAAAATGCCGGTCTTAACTGCGATCTTGTTTGCTTTAGGTCGTCTGTTCAATTCGGTCGCTCCTTTGCAAAACAATCCCTAAACTCGCACGTTTGTTTACTTTGGGGGTTTTGCAATAACAGAGTTTTTCTCAACCAATTGAATCTTTGTAATTCTTGAAGCATATGGTCCGATACAATTTTACCTGCAATGTAAATTGCAGTTTACAAATCTTAAAAGCAGCTGCTTGTTCAAAAACAACTTAGGTATAATTAATTAAGCATATATTGTCTCAGTTTCTAGTTTATAGCTGTCTAACGAGCGGATATTTTGATGCAAAGTCAGTACTGTGAGTTTTAGTCGTTAGTTACTATGCGTCGGCGTCACATTGATTAATTCTTTGATGGAGTCGAAATTAAATCCTAATTGATTTTTCTAATGACCGCTTCGTCATAAGTTACAAAATGAATAGATGTGATGAAAGAACCAAGTGTGTCCATGTATGTTCATCTTTTGAAAAATTGTTATTAAGTTAATAGTTGAAGGGAAGAAAGCAATTCGCATGGCAAGAAAGGATATTCGGGGGGGGAGAAATTAATTTGCGCGACCACATTCTTTTAACATACGAGTCATGGACGGAGCTGGTTGTTTTTTAGTTCTTAGAAACGATGTGAATATCGTAGAATTAAAAAACGGCTGAACTAATTACTCATGTAGAAACAATTTCTATGAGGTTTACCGACCGAACTATGCCCTTAATGACGTCTTGTGCAAACGGCAAAACGCGTAGTGTACAAACACAGACATCATTGAAGACAAACTACGTGCGAAAATGTATTTACGTAGACAACTGCGCAGATGGTTCGCTATGAGAAAGACTTTTTCCCGTTTGCTAAGCGTTACTCATATAACAATTATCTGAGATTAGACTTGTCTGCTTGAAGGGATTATTGTCGATGTTTAATTAAGCCAGCCACACTTTAAAAACAGACTGACGCTGACCAAAACAAATCGTACATGCTACGTGGGTCTGCCTGGAAATCCGTCTTGCTGCAACAGACGAATTCAAAATAAAGTAATTCGGGTTAATCATTTGGAAACATAAACGAAATATTCTTCTATATTGTTTATAGCAGAAGTAAATGTTCATGAAACTTCATTACACTTTGCAAAATCGTGTGTATTTGTATTTCGTCCAACAAACTAATACGACATACGTAACTATTCAGATCATTCTTCTATGGACTATAATTATTACGTTTTTCAATGTAAAACAGCATATCACTTTGCTTGCGAGGCTTAAAAAAGATATACATCCGCGAATAAAGTTACAGTTGGACAATCTTTTTCGACAATTCTGCTTTCCATTCTGCTTTTTAAGTTCCCCGTTTTTAAACAACTCTCAGAAATTTTATTACTGAATTTTAAAGATCAGTTCTCAAACCTATAGTAGTGCCCAATAGTAACTGTATTATTCTCAAATGACTGAGTGGCTAACCTTTTTCGTTACCCTGACATATGGTCTGAAGGTTCGGCCATTGGCATTGTGTATAACTCAAAGATAATGAACTCAGTCTTTAGTCAGTTTCACAAATATGTCGAGTGTCACGTTATTTTCGCGCTGTCTTTTGATAAACCACGCCACAGTAATAAGTTACATAAATATGAATCTAATTAGACATAGAAATTTGTGAAATTCTGTCCTATAGTTGTTTACGTTTCCATTTGTGTCACAGCAATGGCAAATATAAAATATATTCACCCCTTTTCTTCAAATGACACAATAGAACTACGTGGATATTAACCTTAAATTTACATCAGTTTTTAATTCAAATCAACTTCAAACGAATCAGCTAGGCTCATTCCTTCTTCCTGTGAAATTAAAAAAAAAACACGTTTATATGCAATACATTTTGAAGTACGAGGGCGAATAAAAAACGTTGATCCGTGTTACCCTATAAAGATAACATGTAAACGTGGAATGAAATGAAACGTTCAACAGTTGAATGGCAAACCTTTTCGTTTCGCATGTCTTTCAGTTTCTTCAAAAGCTTTTTACCCGGATTCTCTCCTCTCTTGAATTCCACCTTCTGCGAAAAAAGGCTTTGAATTAGCTTAGAATTCTCCACAATCATATCATATGTTAAATTAAATTATTGCATGTTTACTTCTCCAAACTCTTCATCATCATCCGCCATGCAGCTCTCTGCTGCGGGAAGTTCTCCTTCGGCTTGGCTTGATTCGTTCACGGCAACACGTTGATACAACTTGTATTTCAACCTAAATACACAAAAGTAAATACCTTTAGCAAAACAACATCATGCACTTCCAACTTATATTTGTAGAGAAAAGTAACGTTTGTCTTAAACAGAAACCTATAGGTGCATGTTTTTTCCGAGGTGACTATTGATTTTCCTACATTCTGATTGGTTAAGATTCACTGTCTCTGTAGATTCACTATAGCTTTTTTTTGTTGTTTTTTAACTAAGTAATCTGAAGTAATTATGATTTTTTATGAAATTATGTTGATTATTATTTGTAAACACCCCGAAATTTATACTAAAACAATTAGTCGTCTCGGGCTCGGTGATTACAAGCGATTACAAGGCGACTAATTGAGAATAAATTAACTTACACTCGATTTTTATACCACAGGAAGAAGAGACTGACTACAATAGCCGTTAACACAAATGCTACAATCCCGATCAAAATCTAAAAAATTACACGTTATATATAGGTTGAAAAAGGGTTCACATATATTTGTATATTGAAAAAGAGAATCCTATACATCCAAATAAGTCATTGTTGGTTTCGACAAAAATTACGCCTTTCATGAAATCAGTCTTACCCGAAATTGTTGAACTGCCTCGTTGACAGACATTTCACTACAAGTAACAGTTTTTGTCTTTGGAAGTGGTATTCCGTTCACGCATTCTCTATAAAATGAAAAGATTCACAAGAGTGAAAAGAGTTATAAAAGTAGGAACAATAGGCTAATTGAGAATTCAGCATGCATTATCAAGGCTCACTTTGGCATTGGGTTCCAACTATAATGGACGTTCTTTTTGCCATCCTACAAAATATAAAACGAAAAATCTCCTGGATGACCTCATTGCTTCAAAAAATCCTTTGTTTCAGCTAAAATTAAGACTTTCATTTATACTTCATTTATAATTTAAGTTTGAAAACTAAAAAGTTCAAACAAATCTCTCCCATTGAATTCAGGGTAGTACATACCACACATCCGGACTCAATCTCTTTGATGTCTTTCTCAGTACATAACGGACATGCGTACTTTGTGTGCCACAAGAATAAGAACCTTAAAGAGAGTTCGATACATTTTACACGTCAATGCATGCACAAAGGTAAAATACGTTTCTTTAAGACAGGAAGCTTGGTTTTTAAACGGCTAGGTTAGCTGCAACCGGGGCTCGTTGCCGTGGGTTGTATTTCAAACCACTGTTTTTGTTTATGTGCTTAGCGCTTACCCACCGTTGTTTGCTTTTATTGATCAGGAAAATATTTGTGGAAAAACTTATTCAACCTTAAAAACTATGGTAAGTTATTTGTCGGGCGGACGTAACTTACTGGCAGCCATCACAAGTTCCTTCGTGACATTCAGTTGGGAATGTTATTGTTCCCTAGAAAAAGAAAGAGACTGGCTTACTAAAAACTGTGACATTTTGCTCTAGGAATAGTGAAAGGTCGTTACAAAAATCAATCAAGTTTACTCAGATCGAGGAAGGATGAAGGTGAATTGGGGTAAAATAATGTTATGTCAATGCAGTGACGTGCAGTGACGTGCAGTGACGTGCAGTGACGTGGTATATACCGTTTAATGATATTTTTCAACTGAGACCCTTAGTTTGACTTCTTGGTATGGCAAAAACCTGAATTTTGATACACTCACCTTTCCCTCAGCATCAGGATGACAATGTAACATCATCCACGCAGATCTACCTTTAGGACAAGATGGTGTCGTTCTGAAATACGCAAAAAGGGTTTATGTAGGTCTCCATTTTTACAGTGAGACTTATATATGACTGAAAATATATTTATTAATAAATTATATGTGCATGCATATATACGAGTTTGATTTGTAATTTAAATTTCAATTTGTCTGACACAAGTTTTATGTGTGCAACATGGGCACAAAAGCTCTGATAATTACATCATTACTACATTACATCATTTTACTCACGAATGGGATAAGTAGTCGAAGTACAATAACGATTTATTTGAAAGATCATCACTGAACACATCTAGTTGTAGACCCTCCGGCTTTTCTTCGTAGATCCCCATTAACTGGTGTCCAATGCTAAATGTTCAAAAAACCGAGACATATCGTATTAATATAGTTATTCAACTAACGAAATATAATATCCTAGTACGTTTGCATGGTGACATTAAATAAGTAAATTAGCTTGTAAACACACCATATAAGTATATTTAACACTGCAAGGCTTTCGGTCCGTTATTGCACTGATGAAGGCACGGGTTAACGGACCGAAATAAAAAAGCTTTGCAATATTAAATACTTACGTGGTATACCTACCACTAGTAACAGCTAATTTACTTACTTAACGAAAAATGCTTTCTTATCATATGGCAATTATGAGCATTTTCGCAAATTATTTTCCGTGTGCATTAAAGTGTTGTATTTGTCGCTATTGTTGTCTTATATAGTCATGCATGGTAGTGGTTTTATTCTCTATTGTTGTTTCTTCGTTCTATACTCGTGACACCACCAACCGGCGGCCATTGTTAGAGCATTTTCACTCACCCTGCCAAAGTTGTCGCCATTGCTGGACCGTTATTTTTCCCAGGTATAATGCGCGTCTGGCAAATACTTGCATTCAAAGTCTTGGCTCCCTTTAACAAGAAGGTATATGAAGACAGTATATGGGATTAATGCAACCAAAACACTTTTAGACCAATTCACTGAAACGGTGTCTGACCCGATTCCAAGATATTGCCATTGCAGCTGGACTAATACCCACAATCCTATTTATCTAATCATCATGCTCACCTGTTCACCACGTATCTTCGTTGAGTTGCTATGGCAACTGGCAGGTGGAGCATTAACACCGCATAGATTGATATGGTATTCGTAAAAAAAGGCCGTTCCTTCGCTGAAGAACGATTTTTGTGTTTGGACCGCGTGGAGGCTATAAATAGCAAATATAGTAATCGATATCGGTAAGGCGGGCAGTTACCACATTCTGCTCGTAAACTGGCTCGTAAAAAGAAAGATCGGTACGTATAATAACAAATATAAATATCAACCTTACCCCTGCAAATGAACAAGGTCAATATTGCGTCCCTTTTTAGTGCGATACTTGCAGTTGGAATAGCATCTTGTTGAAGCTTCGGAGCTAGAAATCGAAAACAAAAGATTACAGTGCACTGCTTGGAATGAACTATCGTCAGTTTTGCTCCACTGAACGTCAGATGCAACACTGATACAGATTTAGTACATTACAGGACAGTACCTTGTTAAACCAGGTCCACATTTTAAACATGTATTTTTACTGAGGTAAGTACCTTAAGGGCAAAAAAATGCTTAATTAGTCTCTTAATTAGGGGTATCGTAGTTGTCAGAATTTCATGGGGCACAATATATTTTTATAAACTGAATGCAGTACAAAAACGAATTCAACGATAAACTTTTAAAATTATACCTGGCGAGCAAGCTTCGCACTTTCTCGTTACATTGTTGACAAAATGACCTTTAGGGCACTCCACACAACTAAGATAAATAATACAATAGCCTGTTATTAATAAAAACTTTAGTGGTTTTTCTGCCATGTACATTGCAACCAAACAAATCAGAAAATTTTGATCAGAAGAGAATTATATCCAACAAAATTGGATCGTCTGAACAACACTTTACGTCTGTTTTGCGCAAGAAAATGATCTCTCTCAAGATTTAATTCCTTCACGGAAGGCAGAAAGCGGCTGGTTAACTACAATGCACACACACAATGCCGACGTCATTAACTCACCCTGACTCATGTATTCCTACAGGACACTGACGACATTTTGAACCACCACCGTCCAAAGTGTTGGAAAGATCGACAGCATAAATCTTTACTCTGAAAGTAGAGGGGACAAACTTTAAGCTGCCGTATTATATAAATACATAATAACAAGAAGGAAATTTACGCTTATTCATTGTACGATGCCGGCATGCCCGAATTGAGTTTTGGGGGGAATGTATTTAACAGAAGTTGTTTTTTGGAGTGCTCGAATTGTTTCTATTTTAACATGCAGGTTTGTGCAGTATATTGTCAATTTAACGGTTTATTTCTGGATAGAAAAAAAAACGAAAAGGACACTGAGCCGGGACCATGTGAACGCCTCGCTAAAAGTTAATATTATTAATCTGGTATCGTGTTAACAGATCCTGTTATAGAGTTCAAACTGCAATTTATTTCTACCGTCAGTTTCATGCCGGTTTCAATTCGTGTGAGCAGGGTTTTAACTCTTATGTGTTTAATTGCGGGACATATTATTCCGTTAGCTAGGACTTTGGTTACATGTGACTAAAAGTAATGTAGAAGTTCAAACCTATCATTGATGTATTGGTATGTCTTCACATCTTGGTAACCTGAACTTTCTGACTTCTTAAACTGCCAGCGATATGTTATTGGTCCCTTGTCAGTAACCGCGTATCTGAAGTATACAAGGAAAGGTGGATGGTAAATATAGCTGGAAACACTGGAAACATATAAGAAATCACAGGCATCATAAAGCCCGGTCTTGACGTCTTCAGCCTAAGTAGATAATCCGCGACTCGTGTTTTCTGGTATTTTTAATGTACGTTTTATTGTTATACGCGTACGAGTAGTTCTGTCTGGGTTCTCTTCCATGCCATTTCTCGAGCTGCGTTGTGCCATGAGTTTCAGTTCTCTATAAAATCAAACCATAAACAGGGCTTTAGAGAAAGACTGCTTAAGTTACTCGGCCCAACTGAAACTCCTTAATACCCTCAGTTTATAATATCAGGCTTACCTCGAACATAACAAAGTCACATGGTCCATCACAATCCAACTCAAAATCAATCCTTACTGTTCCAACAGCACTGGCTGTTCTAGAAACCAGTCCACGTTCGCCGGCAAAACCTTTGGTTTTTATTTCAAAAAACATTGTGACGTCATCAGAATGACCGAGTGCGCTATCCAAGAAGTGACCACGTAGTTGCCATCCATCAGGAGTAGAGCAACCGTTAGCTATAAACAGTCATGTTGAAAATTAATGATAACTAGTCTTACATGCAAATTGCCTATGGGTGGACTCTCATTCAAAATGCAATATTGTATAATGCAGCTCAAACTTCAGTTACCATAGCTTGAACACCAGTGTTCTGTGGCGGAAGGCCAACTTCTCCACGAGCGGTAATCATGATTGAGAAGAGGAGCTGTTGATGCCGGGCATTTTTCACAGGCTAAAAAAAGATGCATGAAAATAGAATTGAGGATAAATAAATCCATCCAAATCTATTGACCGTTTTTTTCTACGCAACTCGGGTGTACATGCTCGCAGTTATACCGGATGAATTAATACAGTGTTGAGCTATTGTTCCCCATTGTTGCTTCTCAATTGTTGAGGTAAATAAAAACCTAACGAAAAATCCAATTGGGGAGGAGAAAGGCAACATGACGGAGTATTAATAGTAATTCGCGCGCACAGTGCTATGCTACCATTGCCGAAAGAAGTCGAAAAATTCTATGCACGGACTATAATCAGTTACAAAACCGTTTCAGATGCTTTACTTACGTTTGTTACCATCACTTATGGTTCCCATAGGACAGAAAAGACATTCAGTACCATTGAGAAACATCCCAGGATTACAGGGAGGACATTTCTCCTTCTTGCCCGGAGCAGGTAATTTCACTGCATCTTTGCTGGCATCATTGCAATTCTTTGGCTCAATCCACTTATACACTGTTTGAAACTTAAAAAAATGAAAGATACATTAATGGAATTACAAAAGGGGAATTTTTCTTTTGATTTGGCTTCAGGCTTCTAAGGCTTCTATGGTTTAGACTCGCAAACAAATAGAGTTTGATGTTATGATGTTACCGCGAGGTAATTAACAGTGTCCATGAATATCATTCATGAAGAATCATCGACCTCGTAATATAAAGTACCTTGTTGTCTTTGTCACAGACAGAAGATGTTTCTATATAGTCTGATTTCTTACAAGCAGGTCGCTGAAGACATGATGAACTACCTCGAGCTAAAAATAAGAACAAAAGTACAGTCCTATTAAACCGTTGTAAAACCGTGGATCGACAGCAAAGTCGGTGTTCTTTGTGGTAACATGTATTCTTGTAATGACATTTATCCTAAACTGCTCAGTCTCAACCTTATAACCTTTTTATTTCATTTTCTGATAGGCTTATCACAAATTCCTGCTGTTTTAAAATATATTCTCTATACATACGAGCATACTCCGTTTTCTCGTTGCAAGAAGTGCATTTTTCTGCACCTGCATCGGAAACTAAATTTTCTGGACATGACTCGCACCTAAAGGTTGTCAAAAATACCACACGTTAGTATTTTGCACACCTGCGTTCTAGGTACAGTGTAAATTTTTTAAAATTGGAATTTCATAATTCGACAAGCCGTACCAGGAAGATCCCTCCTTGGATGCATAAGTTCCAGCTGGGCAAGGGACGCATTCTGAGTTGGAGTCAGTACCTTTACAAAAAAATAATATGAGTAGAAATTATATGCATCGGATGTTTCCTTTTGAAAAAGGAAATATTTATTATTTCACTGATTATAAGAAAGTGGGGGGGGTGAAATGTGCGTATAATGATTCGCTTTGCAATTTCTTCATGACAAGTTGATTTCGACTTTCGACTTTCATTTGTAGCTCCTTAGTTTTAAAATCAACCCAAAGTAGAGGCCATGCGTACCTTTAACTTTAATATCTCGAATGAAAACCGTATTTGAAAAGGTTGTTCCTTTGACATCGTTCCAGTGCGCCACCTCCCAAACGACCAAACTCTTACCACGTTTTAATTTCAGCTGTAAGAAAGATTGATTTTTTGTAGCGATTCGTCAGTGTAGGCAGATAGTTGTTAGGCATAATAGACCAGTAATATCGCTACTTAACAGCAATTATTGCCCCTATTGCTGGATGTTATTGTTATAGAGTTTCGATGTCCTCGTTTCGCACTTAACACGAGCCCTGCACGAGCCTACACGTGGGCCTCATGGACGCAACCGCTTAGCATGTCAACTGAGGACATCGGAATGAGTCTGATGTCATATATATAAAAGAAGTTTATGGGTTATTAACGGAGTGTGTAGTTGTGATGAAAAGCTTGTTTCACTATACGTTGAGAATTCGAAAATTTCCCCTCCATATGCTATGCATTATAATAAAGGACCATTTACATGCACTATGCGAATCGTCACATACAATTCTTCTCCTGGCGTAAGAAAATTTCGCCTTATAATTTACATTTCACTTTACAAATTTAAAATACACATAAAATAATAATATTATGAAGTATAAAGAACATGCAGTGTTGATATATACACATCTTGGATAAGTTTCAAGATATTCTTTTCACTTCATGTTTTGTATTTTACTTCTTTTAATTTTTAATTCTTATTACATGCAGAATGAATTCACGTCAAATTTGAAGGCATATTTATTAATCGTGAAACGTTTTCCGGAAGATCTTAAAAAGTACGCTAAAAAGTAATTAGTATTATCATAATTTTTCTATCACATACTGTATGATTCTTCCAGACATAATTGGCTGAGGGTTCTGGGCTTTCATCATCATTACCAAAATCATCTTCATCGTTATACTCGGACTCCTCGTAACCTTCGTCTTCATTGTGCTGTTTGGAGATCTGACATTGCTCATTTTGTACCTTAAATTAATTACACAAAATCCTCATTTTTATTGTGTAATTATAGCTATAAACTAGGTTTTGAGGATTGCAAAACCCCTCACCAGTGACACCAGGACATAGGGGTAGCAGGAGAAGCTGGGGCAACTGTCCCTCGATCTTGCTTTTTATCAGTTCAGTTGCCCTTTAATTTTGCCAAGGATTACATTGGGTACGTATCTTAAGTGGGAGTACAACCGAGCTTCAAGATTGGTAGAGATAGCATAATCATCTGGTGAAGAACTTCGAAACACCGAAATCATCTTGGAAAGAGAAAACACGATCAAACGAATTCATTCGAAGATGTTTTTTATTTCTCTTCTATGTGTTGCAGAAGTGCTCTTTCACGATAAATATGCCAACCACCCCCCTGCGTCTGAGGTCTGCGCAAGAGCGTATACGAAAGACGATATATTGTCATGACTCAACGGAATTATCTCTCTGACAGGATCAAAATCACCGAAAGAAAAGGGACGTTAGCCTATAGGGATAATACTAGGAAAGTTGTTGTATATCTTCATTTTCGAGGTTTGAAATTGGCTGTTAACTAACGTGAAAAAAATTCGAAATTTGAAAAGAAAAATACTTACAAAAACTTCAAAATCTATCTCGCCAAACTCATTTGTGTAATAATACCAAAACGTTATGGAACCTTCCTCTCTAACAATCTAAAACCGAAGATATCCTCCATTAGTGGTGATTCGATCGATACAATAATAGCTATAATATCTAAATAAGAATAGCGCATGGCAGGAAGCCGTTAGAAAAATCCGTTCTTTGAGTTCTCTCGAATGGGATTTAACACTATATATTATTATATAATATTTATATAAATATATATATAATATATATATATATATATATATATATATATATATATATATACTTACATTGACAGAGTACGTAAGTCGAGTAAGACAAGCTGTCCCTACGGTTCGTAAGAAGTACCCATCAGCTTTCCATGTGGAGCTGTAAATATCAGATATCACAATAAACATGCATATATATAAAAAACATTTATTGAATCAGATGCTTCCTGGCCTTGTGATTTCTTGAATTGAAATGTTCGCTATTCGTCTCTTCTCTGCAGAAACAGATTGTTGGAATTTGTAGTCTCTATTGTTGGAAATCTCTTTTGATCAAATAAATTCAAAACAACTCCAAACATTTTCTGTTTTTAGTTATTTTAACCAGCAAATAATTGGTCCAGTAAAAGAATCTGAGGTAACCAATTCAAAATTAGCATAGTTTTTACAGTATTGCATGCTGTTACCCGAGATAAAAAACTCAAATCAAATTCATTATTACCGCGATATACGTAGTGTTTTATCCGATTAGGTTGTATTGGAGAAGCCTGTAAGACCGTGGTAAATTTATTAGCTAAAACGATGGATGCATGAGGCGAAATCTGGGTTTATATCCGAGTGGATAGTGATACTTCGCAGAACAGTCAGCCTTAGCTTTTCATTTAAGTCGGCGTCTTAATTTTGGAACATAAAAGCTCAATTATAACATACTTGCAACCGGAATCTTCGGTGTCACTCTGCATTCTTTCATTGTAATCTCTCACGGAGTAAGAATCAAACTCAGGGGGGAGAATTGTCCAGTTATTGTAGTGCACGGCTCCCCCTAGACTGTGTGTGCCTTTTGGGCATGGTTTACAATTCTCAGAGAGCAATGATACATCGGAATGCTGTCCTTCAGGGCAGCTCGAATCTGTTAATGACAAATATAATGGACTTTATGTTTTATAGGAAAAAACATAAAGTGATTGTGTATATTTGCTAAACATCAGTGCAATAGCTAAGGCCTGGTTCACACTAGCTCTTAAGAATCGGGGATCCATTGTATATTACTTTCCGATAGACAAAGCATTTTGCACGCCAGCGACGGCCTCAGACAAAGGGAATCCCAGAATTCTAAGGACATGCAAGCGTGAACCAGGCTTAACATGTGCATGCATGCCGCTTTCAACACAACACTCCATAAATCGTCTTACCACAGGATTTTTGTCTGATTGGTGGCCTGGTTTTAACATGACAGTGGTTTGCATCATGGGGAACAGCAACATGCCATCTACCACCATCCGACCAACATTCTGTGTACTCGTAATGGTATTCTCCCTAAAAAATGGTGCAGGTTTCATTGTCACATTGATCGATTTTTCTCGCGTTGTAATTTTGTCACTATGCAGGGTGTATAAAAAAACTGCAATCCCAATAATTCCCAGAGGCCTACGGTCTTTTGGTGTTGAATATAGAAGTTGCAGTTTTAAGGTATATATATACATATATAGTATATGGTACACAGAATGACAGAAATGCACATTGTTAAAAACAAATGTACAATTACCTCTTATACATATATTTTATAAAGAGTAAAACAATATTGAGATTATGAAGGAAACAATGCATGACCCAAACTGGTATCGGGCATGAGTATGTCCAGAGCGTGACTAGAGTAGAGAACTTGTTTACAATATATACTGTCTATGGGTCGACATTATACTTGCTCAAAAGAGAAGATATTACAGTTCATGACGAACAATTCGTGTAATGCACTGAATGCAATGATGATTATTATTAGACAATGGATGATCCGGTCTCTAGAATGAAACGTCATATCGGATATGCTTGTTTTAAGTGCACAAGCAGTTTGAAACGTGCTAAGTATACAAGCTATAGTTTCTTTTCGCATATATAAATAATTATATAAATTTAAAATATAGCCGAGTTTGGCTCAATTTGCTTCGACGAGTATTTTTCAATTACCGGCCCGACGCTTCGACTACTTTTATTTATCTCAAAGACGGCTTTGGCGAAAGAACAGCGTAAATTTACTGAAAACGTCGTCACAAACACTCGGTGGTTTGAACAGCAACCACGGTCAACAAAGCAATTTCAATTATTATGTCTAGGAGAACAAACTAGCGTCTACGTGTATATATATTAATCTTCCACGTATTAGGGGGGAAATCACGGGAGTTCGTCAAAAGATCAACGAGCGAAACTTGCTATATTATATTATCTTGAATGTGTACGCGACTCGACTAAAGTATACTTTGGCCACAGGTCCAAAAATCGAGTATTCATTCTTAAAAGAGTCATTCATACACCCCCACAAAAGCATACTTTGACAAAAGCGGCAGAAATTGGCAGAAATTAACGTTCAAGCGAAGCCGAAGAGCTTGCGCTAAAATTAAATAACAACACGAACTTTCTCATCCAAACTTTTCAGTTAGACGAATTAACAAACACATATGACATTCTAAAGAATACACAATACATATAAAACACATACATTTCCACATTCTGGCAACACTGCTGAACATCTTCCTAAGAAGCCTTGGAAGCAGACGAGAATAAACACAGCCAGGCATACATTCACCATATTTAGAAAATCAGTTTGCCCAAATTCGTTAAATGATATAAATTTTCTCACAGGAATTGCATGTAAACGTGTGTCATATGTGGCTACATCCTTCGTTCCGCTCCGGGTGACATATTATTCATGCGCATGATATTTGCATAAAGCCTGATGATGAATATAGATGATTGATCTTATTCCTGTTTATGTATGTATATGTACCTATGGCTATAATGAAAATAAGTATACTGTATAATAATACATCATGACATGACTAATAAATGTGAATAATCTAATATATATATTTATATTGTACTGTCTAGCAAGGGTCGTGATGTACTTTGGTGCACCCTTCTCGACCTACCTCGATTCTGAATTTCATTCGTGATTGATATTCATGAATGTCAGTCTAGCTGCTTTGTTTCACGAAACAAAAGGATCGACATCAGTTCGCTGGAACTTAACAAAGCCTGTGAAAAATGTATCAAAAAATCGCAACACTAAATATTTATAAATATTATTATTTCTATTCGATCACAAAAGATCAAAAAATACTATTCCTCGGTAAATATTTAAGTGTTGCGTTTGCTTTAAAACCTTATATCAGTAGTATCTATGTATATATCGTATTCTAACGGCAGAATGGACGACTATAATACTATAATTATTCCAACTATAAAAAATAAGAGCCCCCTGAAAAAACTATCAGTACAGCCAGGAAGGGCATCCTAATAATAGTAAGATTGGAAAATTTATTTGCACAATATTTAAAAATGTGAAATATATCTCACCGTATACGATGAAGTTGTCAAGCCTTTGTAAAGCTACTGAAATTTTTCAATATTTTTCAGCCAATTCATCCTCCTAATTTTTGGGTGCATGCTCACATTAGCTTTACTGATGAATTTTAGCCGTGATAGTTATAAATAAAACACACAGGAGTAAACGTACGTCTAGTGTTTGTAGTAGCGTAACAAAATCCTGATACTTATAGGTTACGTTTGGGTCTAATGCGTGCGCCTGGTTTTCATATTTAATCAACAGAAAGCGAAGGCCATTGTCGGTGATCTCTAAAGAGTGAGTTGTTTTGTTACTTTGAATGGAATTTAATTTTCTTCGTAAACCAGCATTAATAGTACATCCGCCGATTAATGGGAACCAGACTTTAAAAAGCTGCCCTCGGCACCCAACAATGAGAAATTGGCTTTAAAGTACAGTTTTATAATCAATTTTGGTATAATGAATATAAGTGTTATGCCTACAAAGGATATAGTTATATATAATTATTTATGTACTTACAGTGCAAATTGTGAGATTATAAATTTTGTTCGTTAAATACTAATTGCTCACATTCGGTTCCAATACTATCGTGTGTTCATCAAAGTGAATATTTTTTATTACATCTGTCGCTCAAAAGAAGAAATAACTCAAAATTTATATGCATGCAGCCCAGGTTATACCCATCGATTAAAATTTGGCTCATTCAATTTGGAACACAAGTGGCCAATAGATGATTTTTTTACCCGTGGGCTACCTTATGGTGCATGCTGGAAATAAGTATTGAATATACTGCATGCAGCTTACTGTTTTCGAAAGTATCTTCTTTTTTGTGCAAAAATTTATCTTCACAGAGATTGTCTCTATGGCGTGTCCATCGTGTAGAATAACTCGTTGTGTATTCCGATTACACTTTTAGCACCAACGCTAACATGACTGAGCAAAAAGTTTCCAAATTTTGACCATTTTCGTCCATAGGGAAGGTCCTCACTTATACCTTCACGTGTATACAGTTGTCCGCCACCGTCCACAGCGTACACATCCCCTCGCACTCCGGTGTCCAGTTGTGTAAATGTCCCACCAGTGTCCACCCACGAAACCCCTCCAGGAACATCCGCGGTCACGCCAGTTCTGAAATATGCATGTCCGTTGCCTCTTACGATTGCCCAACAGCCAAATTTTCCACATGACACCCATATATAATATACACCGATAAGTGACCAAGTACCACTTTTTTGCTTATAATAGAGTTGATTATACACATTGACTCCCCAAAGTATACCTGTGTGTGCGTATAATAGGACTAGAATGAGATCATATTTTGATTTTTGAAAGAGATTGCGAAACATCGGCAGTCTAATAGCTTTGCTATTCGTAGTAACATTGAAAATAACATTGGCCTCTTAGGAGAAGCGGAGGACAAAGTTGAATTTTAACCGGTTTTCCAGATGCGAAAAAATACAATTCTCAAAGTAAATTTGAGAGGTAATTCTAATTCAAATTGGGTCACATTTAGGGTGCGTGTCGGCATTGAGATCTACGGCGTCAACCACGACAACGACGACGTCAACCACGATGATCAAAGTTAGTAAATAAAAAGTCGCGTCAGGTTGGTGGTGTTTGTCGGCTTTATAATCTAAAACGTCATGCACGTGACAACCCCAGTTCAGCTATAGTATATATAATGAGTGAATTTAATGAATATTGCAAGTCCCTTTCTCGCTATATGAGCCTTCAGTCAATAGGCCCATTTACACGATTCAATTTTGTTAGATCCAATTCCCCTATGATGGATATTTAAAAGTCTGTAGACTCGCAACGTATATGGGCAGAAACCAACATAAGCTGGCGCAGTACTAGCTGTTTTATCGATAGCAGAGTAAACAGACTACGTTCCATACGTCAGAACGGTAAATTGGATCGAACAGAATTGGATTGCATGACCTTATAAGCCCGTTAACTGTATACCCCAAAAATGGTTTACTTCATGTTACCTGGACGGCCAGAAGTAACTTGACTAAGTAGACCGCTTGTGTCAAGGTACCATTGTGTTCCTTTGGGTTCTGAGGCCGTTATCCCGAGTCTTGGGAAAATATACTGGAATGAATTTGTCCCCCAAAGTCCATTTTCTCCGACAGATATTTTTTGGAGTAATCCAGATACTTTTACCCATTTACCATTTTGAAGATGGTAAATTCCATCAAAGTTGGTAGTACACCACGTCTCGGTAAAGGAAATATCAACAGTTTTTAAGTTACCTCCATGGCCCTTCTTCCAGGGAAGGAGGTCAAGATTGTAGGCTGTATAAGAAGAGAAAATGAATTTAGATAGCTTCACGCCTGCCTGCCTGCCTGCCTGCCTGCCTGCCTGCCTGCCTGCCTGCCTGCCTGCCTGCCTGCCTGCCTGCCTGCCTGCCTGCCTGCCTGCCTGCCTGCCTGCCTGCCTGCCTGCCTGCCTGCCTGCCTGCCTGCACTTCCTAATGCAATTAGGCATGTTTCCTAGCATGTAAAGGAGCCTTGATCAAAAGCTAGTCATGCCAGCTTTTCAACAAGGAAAAATGCTCGTGTGTACGGCCGTCAAGGAAAACTTGACAAGGAATTGCGCAGTAGGGAACAGCGCAACAATCTTCGAGCCAACGTCTCGTTCCCAGATCCAATCTTCGAATGGAACGGGTTTTTGAAGTTTTATCATTTTTATTTGTTTTGAGATTCGGTCGTATACTCATTTTATCATGGCTCCTATTATCATAAAATATACTCATATACTATCGTAAAACTTGTCAAAAAAGATTTGTCAAATTTTTCACGTACACACGAGCAAATAAAACTTGGCAAATAAAACTTGGCAAGGGAAACTTGTCAACGAAAACTTGTTCGCTAGACACACCAGCAAGTGAACTGGTCAAGAAAACCTGTCAAGGAAAACTTGCCCGTCTAACGGGGCTTGACACTCGAGATTCAAATTTTGCAACTACCAAATCTTTGTGTCTTTATCAAAAGTTTGTAAATTCTTCCCTAACTTATGCACATTAAAATTTTCAAAAACGTACCCATATTTAGGTTCTCGCAATTGTTTCCTTCAGCCCACGGTGGACATTCACATACATCGTGCTCTTCAGAACATATCACAGTTTTTCCACCTCTCTGGCAATTAGTCATCGTCTAAACAACAACAAAGACTCTGAAAGAATTGATCTCAAATTGGCATCGGCTCAGGTGCAATACTTTGCAACACAACAATTAATGCAGCACAACACATGCATGCAGCCTTCCGAGGACCGAGGTTGTTAGCTAAGTCCCAATACGATCGGGGTATGTGACGGAAATGATAACCAAAATAATTACAGAACGTGTTTTGGACGTTGTTATTCCCAAGTCCCAAACGTTAACTTTAAAAGCGTTAATTTAAAGGCAAATTTATTAGTTCATTAATACTATATTATATAATTTACTCATGTTTTTAATTCATGTTTTCACAAAGCAGTTCTGAAAATTGTCATTGGCTAGACGATAGTATAAGCGGTAAATTTAGCTATTTTTAGCGGAGCCACAAGTAAACAGGAAGAGCCGCAAGTAAACAGTAAACGATGCACTGCATTTAACTGATCACAACTTGCCAGATCGTAGCGTGGATATTTCACTGTGATTTTGAACGTCTCGCTATCTTCGGTGCTAGACCCTCCATTTGGATCTGTGCTCAATAAACAGTTCTCAATCGTCTTTTGTTTCAAGAAAACAAACGACCAACATAAAATATTGTGAGAACAGTCGAAAGAACATGATATTGGCGAGGTCACTGTGGTTTTTTCGAAAGGATTCACTTCTGCCAAGCCATCTGAAACGATATGAATGATAAATTATCGTTTTACGCAATTGCAAATTACGCTGAGGTGGCAATGTTTGAGCTGGGGTGGCAGTTATGTTCCTTGCGGGGGAAAAAGATTTGGCAAATTGGCTGACGATTTGAAAACCTCGAAATGCGATTTCAACATGCAATTAACTCACCTGGTGACAAATTTGGACATTTTTATCGCAGTCGAATACAAAATAGGAGTGCATTGATACAGCTTTGGAACTTGGAGGATAGAAGGATGGAACTTTATTCGTGAATGAATGTTTTAATCGCATTTTGAATAATTACCTTGAGATACTTTGATGAATTGCTTGTTTTTCCCTGTTGGACAAGAATAGCTTTCTTTGACTTCACAATTGCCGAAATTGAGAAAAGAAATTAAAAAACAGACGAATAACAACATATTTTTTATTGCTAAATGGAGACAAGCTTTATATCAGTTGCGACTGGTAAGATCCAAGGCTGATTTGTACAACATCTGCGGACAGTAAACTGCGAAACTGGATGCTAATGAGCTCAATGTACCTGTACTACGAAACGAGATGCACCGCAAAGATAAAAAGCAATCTCCAAATATGGTAATATGTTTTGTTTTAAACTATCATAACCCGGCAACACAGTGAATTCAAGGCAGTGTTTAATTAAGGCCCTAGTTACACAATACCGCAGATTCGCGTAATCACAACAAGTTAGACAGTTAAAAATTCTAAGTTCCTTTGTGTGCTAAACTTTTTTGTGGCCCGATTTTTTCTTTCTGTTTCGCCTAAACACATGGCCACAAATCGAACATTTGATTTAAAAAGTTCCTGAAATGATCTTTTGAAACATGGTAAAATTAAAATTGAAACATGGAGAGAATTATTAGATATTCGTCAACCCCCCCCTGAATTTGCTTTTGATTCTGAGAAGTGAAACCTTAAAGCTCCGTTCACACTAAAATGGGCACATTTTTCCCTGTCGTTGAGCCATTTTGATTCCGTATATATATCTTCGTTTTCATTTTAAAATCATGGGAAATTACCCGACTCCATATAAATTATTATACTGAGTTATTTATCACCATTATTACTGTCTTTCACACGGAGGATCTTAAGGTAATCGTAATGTATAAATATGTCCGCTCGTCAAAAGCGATATCAACCCCAAAGAATCCTGTCTCCGATATTAAAATGAGCAAACATATTTCCAAATTGTGACCATTTTGTTGCTCGGGGTCGATTTTCACTAATGCCCTCACGTGTTGTGTATACACACGTCTTGCATCATCAACAGCATACACCTCCTCCCGTACTCCTGCATGCGTCCAATTGCTTAAATGACCCACCAGTTTCGACCCATATTATCCCACCAGGGTTAGCTGTTGTCACGCCAGTTCACGCCAGTTCATTTCGAGCATAGTTGCAGTAGGACTTCAAGCATGTGCACAAAAGGAAAGGAAGGAGGAACGTTAATGTTCCTGTTGAGGAAACGATTACTGACTCTTTTCAACACTTTCTCTAAAGTCTTCCATTTTTCAGAATGGGCATTGCTACCTGTTTTAAAGGAAACATCGCAAAACTGCATGTTATCATTAAACGAGCCTCACAAATAGCAAAACTGCCAAAACTGGAACATATATATATGGGAATAAAATGTAAACATTGACTGATGGCAAATATAAAAGCAAGTTTCTCTTTTTGTAAAATTTAGTAGTGAAAGCCTAAGACTAAGTAAGACCTGGTTAACATGCATGCTGGCATTTCAAATCTGATATTTCACTCTATCGAACTGGAATAATCGAAACACCAACATTAATTTAATGACATGTGTTGTTATTCTATACTATATGTAGCTAATCATTGAGTGAAGATGTTGCTTTTCACCGAGGGGAGTCTGGGAAGAGACGGCAATGGTAATGTGAAACTCTTAGGCCCGCCTTTCAGAAATCGAACTTTATATGTGCCGAAACGAATGAAAATGGCTTAAATTTTAGCTCATTAATATCAGTTTCGGCACATGAGAAGTTTAGCGTCTAAACCTGGCCTTACATACGATCAGAAAAAGATTTGAAAAGAAATCATACTTAAATTTAGCAGTTCATCTGTCGCAATTGAAAGTTTGAATTTTTTTTAATTAGGCTATCTAAACTGAACAGAAACCAGTGAACCAGGAATATTTGTACCGGTTCATATTCAAACAAGAATATGAATTAGAGGATAAGAAAATTTTTTCTTAGTAAAGCTTGGCTTTCGAGTGATAAAACAAAAAATTTCAATTATAAGCAGCCCCAAAATATATAGTTATATTTAGGGATATAGTTATATACAATTATTTATGTACTTACAGTGCAAATTGTGAGATAATAGATTTTGTTCGTTAAATACTAATTGCTCACATTCGGTTCCAATACTATCGTGTGTTCATCAAAGTGAATATCTTTGATTACATCTGTCGCTCAAAAGAAGAAATAACTCAAAATTTATATGCATGCAGCCCAAGTTATACCCATCGATTAAAATTTAGCTCATTCAATTTGGAACACAAGTGGCCAATAGATGATTTTTTTACCCGTGGGCTACCTTATGGTGCATGCTGGAAATAAGTATTTAATATACTGCATGCAGCTTACTGTTTTCGAAAGTATCTTCTTTTTTGTGCAAAAATTTATCTTCACAGAGATTCTCTCTATGGCGTGTCCATCGTGTAGAATAACTTGTTGTGTATTCCGATTACACTTTTAGCACCAACGCTAACATGACTGAGCAAAAAGTTTCCAAATTTTGACCATTTTCGTCCATAGGGAAGGTCTTCACTTATACCTTCACGTGTATACAGTTGTCCGCCACCGTCCACAGCGTACACATCCCCTCGCACTCCGGTGTCCAGTTGTGTAAATGTCCCACCAGTGTCCACCCACGAAACCCCTCCAGGAACATCTGCGGTCACGCCAGTTCTGAAATATGCATGTCCGTTGCCTCTTACGATTGCCCAACAGCCAAATTTTCCACATGACACCCATATATAATATACACCGATAAGTGACCAAGTACCACTTTTTTGCTTATAATAGAGTTGATTATACACATTGACTCCCCAAAGTATACCTGTGTGTGCGTATAATAGGACTAGAATGAGATCATATTTTGATTTTTGAAAGAGATTGCGAAACATCGGCAGTCTAATAGCTTTGTCTATTCGTATTAACATTAAAAATAACATTGGGCTGTCATTGGCTTCTTAGGAGAAACGGAGGACAAAGTTGAAGTTCAACCGGTTTTCCAGAAACGAAAAAATACAATTCTCAAGGCAAATTCGAGAGGTAATTTCAATTCAAATTGGGTCACATTTAGGGTGCGTGTCGGCATTGAGATCTACGGCGTCAACCACGATGATCAAAGTTAGTAAATAAAAGTCGCGTCGCGTTGGCGGTATTTGTCGGCTTTATGACCTAAAACGTCATGCACGATGACAACCCCAGTTCAGCTATAGTATATATAATGAGTGAATATTGCAAGTCCCTTTCTCGCTATATGAGCCTTCAGCCTTAATAGGTCCATTCACACGATCTAATTTTGTTGGACCCAATTTCCCTATGATGGATGTTTAACTTTTAAAGTCTGTAGACTCGCAATGTATATGGGCAGAAACTAACATAAGCTGGCGCAGTACTAGCTGTTTTATCAATAGCAGAGCATAAGCAGACTACGTTCCATACGTCAGAACGGTAAATTGGAACCAACAGAATTGGATTGCATGACCTTATAAGCCCGTTAACTGTATACCCCAAAAATGGTTTACTTCATGTTACCTGGACGGCCAGAAGTAACTTGACTAAGTAGACCGCTTGTGTCATGGTACCATTGTGTTCCTTTGGGTTCTGACGCCGTTATCCCGAGTCTTGCGACAATATGCTGGATTGAATTTGTCCCCCAAAATCCATTTTCTCCGACAGATACTTTTTGGAGTAATCCAAATACTTGTTCCCATTTACCATTTTGAAGATGGTAAATTTGATCAAAGCTGTTAGTACACCACGTCTCGGTAAAGGAAATATCAACAGTTTTTAAGTTATATCCATCACCTTTCTTCCAGGGAAGTAGGTCAAGATTGTAGGCTGTATAAGAAGAGAAAATGAATCTAGATAGCTTCACGCCTGCCTGCATGCACTTCCTAATGCAATTAGGCATGTTTCCTAACATGTAAAGGGGCCTTGATCAAAAGCTAGTCATGCCAGCTTTTCAACAAGGAAAAATGCTCGTGTGTACGGCCTTCAAGGAAAACTTGACAAGGAATAGACCTTTCTTATAATGACGTCAAACGCGGAAAGTCTGATGTTACACGAAATTTGATTGGCTACACAAAACTATCAAGCCAATCAAACTTCGTGTAACATCATACTTTCCGCGTTTGACGTCATTATGAAAAAGGCCTATTGCGCAGTAGGGAACAGCGCAACAATCTTCGAGCCAACGTCTCGTTCCCAGATCCAATCTTCAAAAGGAGCGCACTAGTGAACTGGTCAAGAAAACCTGTCAAGGAAAACTTGCCCTTTACACTCGAGATTCAAAATTTGCAACTACCAAACCTTTGTGTCTTTATCAAAATTTCGCAAATTCTTCCCTAACTCATGCACATTAAGGTTTTCAAAAACGTACCCATATTTAGGTTCTCGCAATTGTTTCCTTCAGCCCACGGTGGACATTCACATACATCGTGCTCTTCAGAACATATCACAGTTTTTCCACCTCTCTGGCAGTTAGTCGTCGTCTAAACAACAACAAAGACTCTGAAAGAGTTGATCTCAAATTGGCATCGGCTCAGGTGCAATACTTTGCAACACAACAGTTAATGCAGCACAACACATGCATGCAGCCTTCCGAGGACCGAGGTTGTTAGCTAAGTCCCAATACGATCGGGGTATGTGACGGAAATTATAACCAAAATAATTACAGAACGTGTTTTGGACGTTGTTATTCCCAAGTCCCAAACGTTAACTTTAAAAGCGTTAATTCAAAGGCGAATTTATTAGTTCATTAATACTATATTATATAATTTACTCATGTTTTTAATTCATGTTTTCACAAAGCAGTTCTGAAAATTGCGATTGGCTAGACAATAGTATAAGCGGTAAATTTAGCTATCTTTAGCGGTGCACAAGTAAACAGGAGGAGCCACAAGTAAACAGTAAACGATGCACTGCATTTAACTGATCACAACTTGCCTGATCGTAGCGTGGATATTTCACTCTGATTTTGAACGTCTCGCTATCTTCGGTGCTAGACCCTCCATTTGGATCTGTGCTCAATAAACAGTTCTCAATCGTCTTTTGTTTCAAGAAAACAAACGACCAACATAAAATATTGTGAGAACAGTCGAAAGAACATGATATTCGCGAGGTCACTGTAGTTTTTTCGAAAGGATTCACTTCTGCCAAGCCATCTGAAACGATATGAATGATAAATTATGGTTTTACGCAATTGCAAATTACGCTGAGGTGGCAGTGTGTGAGCTGGGGTGGCAGTAATGTTCCTTGCGGGGGAAAAAGATTTGGCAAATCGGAGCGTAGGTAAAAGACCCTGGGTACGAGGTTGACGATTTGAAAACTCGATATGCGATTTCAACATTCAATTAACTCACCTGGTGACAAATTTGAACATTTTTATCGCAGCCGGAGTGCAAAATAGGAGTGCAATGATACAGTTGAAGGATTGAACTTTATTCGTGAATGCATGCATGTCTGAATCACATTTTGAATAATTACCTTGAGATACTTTGATGAATTGCTTGTTTTTCCCTGTTGGACAAGAATAGCTCTCTTTGACTTCACAATTGCCGAAATTGAGAAAAGAAATTAAAAAACAGACGAATAACAACATATTTTTTATTGCTAAATGGAGACAAGCTTTATATCAGTTGCGACTGGTAAGATCCAAGGCTGATTTGTACAACATCTGCGGACAGTAAACTGCGAAACTGGATGCTAATGAGCTCAATGTACCTGTACTACGAAACGAGATGCACCGCAAAGATAAAAAGCAATCTCCAAATATGGTAATATGTTTTGTTTTAAACTATCATAACCCGGCAACACAGTGAATTCAAGGCAGTGTTTAATTAAGGCCCTAGTTACACAATACCGCAGATTCGCGTAATCACAACAAGTTAGACAGTTAAAAATTCTAAGTTCCTTTGTGTGCTAAACTTTTTTGTGGCCCGATTTTTTCTTTCTGTTTCGCCTAAACACATGGCCACAAATCGAACATTTGATTTAAAAAGTTCCTGAAATGATCTTTTGAAACATGGTAAAATTAAAATTGAAACATGGAGAGAATTATTAGATATTCGTCAACCCCCCCCCTGAATTTGCTTTTGATTCTGAGAAGTGAAACCTTAAAGCTCCGTTCACACTAAAATGGGCACATTTTTCCCTGTCGTTGAGCCATTTTGATTCCGTATATATATCTTCGTTTTCATTTTAAAATCATGGGAAATTACCCGACTCCATATAAATTATTATACTGAGTTATTTATCACCATTATTACTGTCTTTCACACGGAGGATCTTAAGGTAATCGTAATGTATAAATATGTCCGCTCGTCAAAAGCGATATCAACCCCCAAAGAATCCTGTCTCCGATATTAAAATGAGCAAACATATTTCCAAATTGTGACCATTTTGTTGCTCGGGGTCGATTTTCACTAATGCCCTCACGTGTTGTGTATACACACGTCTTGCATCATCAACAGCATACACCTCCTCCCGTACTCCTGCATGCGTCCAATTGCTTAAATGACCCACCAGTTTCGACCCATATTATCCCACCAGGGTTAGCTGTTGTCACGCCAGTTCACGCCAGTTCATTTCGAGCATAGTTGCAGTAGGACTTCAAGCATGTGCACAAAAGGAAAGGAAGGAGGAACGTTAATGTTCCTGTTGAGGAAACGATTACTGACTCTTTTCAACACTTTCTCTAAAGTCTTCCATTTTTCAGAATGGGCATTGCTACCTGTTTTAAAGGAAACATCGCAAAACTGCATGTTATCATTAAACGAGCCTCACAAATAGCAAAACTGCCAAAACTGGAACATATATATATGGGAATAAAATGTAAACATTGACTGATGGCAAACATAAAAGCAAGTTCCTCTTTTTGTAAAATTTAGTAGTGGAAGCCTAAGACTAAGTAAGACCTGGTTAACATGCATGCTGGCATTTCAAATCTGATATTTCACTCTATCGAACTGGAATAATCGAAACACCAACATTAATTTAATGACATGTGTTGTTATTCTATACTATATGTAGCTAATCATTGAGTGAAGATGTTGCTTTTCACCGAGGGGAGTCTGGGAAGAGACGGCAATGGTAATGTGAAACTCTTAGGCCCGCCTTTCAGAAATCGAACTTTATATGTGCCGAAACGAATGAAAATGGCTTAAATTTTAGCTCATTAATATCAGTTTCGGCACATGAGAAGTTTAGCGTCTAAACCTGGCCTTACATACGATCAGAAAAAGATTTGAAAAGAAATCATACTTAAATTTAGCAGTTCATCTGTCGCAATTGAAAGTTTGAATTTTTTTTAATTAGGCTATCTAAACTGAACAGAAACCAGTGAACCAGGAATATTTGTACCGGTTCATATTCAAACAAGAATATGAATTAGAGAATACGAAAATTTTTTCTTAGTAAAGCTTGGCTTTCGAGTGATAAAACAAAAAATTTCAATTATAAGCAGCCCCAAAATATATAGTTATATTTAGGGATATAGTTATATACAATTATTTATGTACTTACAGTGCAAATTGTGAGATAATAGATTTTGTTCGTTAAATACTAATTGCTCACATTCGGTTCCAATACTATCGTGTGTTCATCAAAGTGAATATCTTTGATTACATCTGTCGCTCAAAAGAAGAAATAACTCAAAATTTATATGCATGCAGCCCAAGTTATACCCATCGATTAAAATTTGGCTCATTCAATTTGGAACACAAGTGGCCAATAGATGATTTTTTTACCCGTGGGCTACCTTATGGTGCATGCTGGAAATAAGTATTGAATATACTGCATGCAGCTTACTGTTTTCGAAAGTATCTTCTTTTTTGTGCAAAAATTTATCTTCACAGAGATTCTCTCTATGGCGTGTCCATCGTGTAGAATAACTTGTTGTGTATTCCGATTACACTTTTAGCACCAACGCTAACATGACTGAGCAAAAAGTTTCCAAATTTTGACCATTTTCGTCCATAGGGAAGGTCTTCACTTATACCTTCACGTGTATACAGTTGTCCGCCACCGTCCACAGCGTACACATCCCCTCGCACTCCGGTGTCCAGTTGTGTAAATGTCCCACCAGTGTCCACCCACGAAACCCCTCCAGGAACATCTGTGGTCACGCCAGTTCTGAAATATGCATGTCCGTTGCCTCTTACGATTGCCCAACAGCCAAATTTTCCACATGACACCCATATATAATATACACCGATAAGTGACCAAGTACCACTTTTTTGCTTATAATAGAGTTGATTATACACATTGACTCCCCAAAGTATACCTGTGTGTGCGTATAATAGGACTAGAATGAGATCATATTTTGATTTTTGAAAGAGATTGCGAAACATCGGCAGTCTAATAGCTTTGTTTATTCGTATTAACATTAAAAATAACATTGGGCTGTCATTGGCTTCTTAGGAGAAACGGAGGACAAAGTTGAAGTTCAACCGGTTTTCCAGAAACGAAAAAATACAATTCTCAAGGCAAATTCGAGAGGTAATTTCAATTCAAATTGGGTCACATTTAGGGTGCGTGTCGGCATTGAGATCTACGGCGTCAACCACGATGATCAAAGTTAGTAAATAAAAGTCGCGTCGCGTTGGCGGTATTTGTCGGCTTTATGACCTAAAACGTCATGCACGATGACAACCCCAGTTCAGCTATAGTATATATATATGAGTGAATATTGCAAGTCCCTTTCTCGCTATATGAGCCTTCAGCCTTAATAGGTCCATTCACACGATCTAATTTTGTTGGACCCAATTTCCCTATGATGGATGTTTTAACTTTTAAAGTCTGTAGACTCGCAATGTATATGGGCAGAAACTAACATAAGCTGGCGCAGTACTAGCTGTTTTATCAATAGCAGAGCATAAGCAGACTACGTTCCATACGTCAGAACGGTAAATTGGAACCAACAGAATTGGATTGCATGACCTTATAAGCCCGTTAACTGTATACCCCAAAAATGGTTTACTTCATGTTACCTGGACGGCCAGAAGTAACTTGACTAAGTAGACCGCTTGTGTCATGGTACCATTGTGTTCCTTTGGGTTCTGACGCCGTTATCCCGAGTCTTGCGACAATATGCTGGATTGAATTTGTCCCCCAAAATCCATTTTCTCCGACAGATACTTTTTGGAGTAATCCAAATACTTGTTCCCATTTACCATTTTGAAGATGGTAAATTTGATCAAAGCTGTTAGTACACCACGTCTCGGTAAAGGAAATATCAACAGTTTTTAAGTTATATCCATCACCTTTCTTCCAGGGAAGTAGGTCAAGATTGTAGGCTGTATAAGAAGAGAAAATGAATCTAGATAGCTTCACGCCTGCCTGCATGCACTTCCTAATGCAATTAGGCATGTTTCCTTACATGTAAAGGGGCCTTGATCAAAAGCTAGTCATGCCAGCTTTTCAACAAGGAAAAATGCTCGTGTGTACGGCCTTCAAGGAAAACTTGACAAGGAATAGACCTTTCTTATAATGACGTCAAACGCGGAAAGTCTGATGTTACACGAAATTTGATTGGCTACACAAAACTATCAAGCCAATCAAACTTCGTGTAACATCATACTTTCCGCGTTTGACGTCATTATGAAAAAGGCCTATTGCGCAGTAGGGAACAGCGCAACAATCTTCGAGCCAACGTCTCGTTCCCAGATCCAATCTTCAAATGGAGCGCACTAGTGAACTGGTCAAGAAAACCTGTCAAGGAAAACTTGCCCTTTACACTCGAGATTCAAAAAACTACCAAACCTTTGTGTCTTTATCAAAATTTCGCAAATTCTTCCCTAACTCATGCACATTAAGGTTTTCAAAAACGTACCCATATTTAGGTTCTCGCAATTGTTTCCTTCAGCCCACGGTGGACATTCACATACATCGTGCTCTTCAGAACATATCACAGTTTTTCCACCTCTCTGGCAGTTAGTCGTCGTCTAAACAACAACAAAGACTCTGAAAGAGTTGATCTCAAATTGGCATCGGCTCAGGTGCAATACTTTGCAACACAACAGTTAATGCAGCACAACACATGCATGCAGCCTTCCGAGGACCGAGGTTGTTAGCTAAGTCCCAATACGATCGGGGTATGTGACGGAAATTATAACCAAAATAATTACAGAACGTGTTTTGGACGTTGTTATTCCCAAGTCCCAAACGTTAACTTTAAAAGCGTTAATTCAAAGGCGAATTTATTAGTTCATTAATACTATATTATATAATTTACTCATGTTTTTAATTCATGTTTTCACAAAGCAGTTCTGAAAATTGCGATTGGCTAGACAATAGTATAAGCGGTAAATTTAGCTATCTTTAGCGGTGCACAAGTAAACAGGAGGAGCCACAAGTAAACAGTAAACGATGCACTGCATTTAACTGATCACAACTTGCCTGATCGTAGCGTGGATATTTCACTGTGATTTTGAACGTCTCGCTATCTTCGGTGCTAGACCCTCCATTTGGATCTGTGCTCAATAAACAGTTCTCAATCGTCTTTTGTTTCAAGAAAACAAACGACCAACATAAAATATTGTGAGAACAGTCGAAAGAACATGATATTCGCGAGGTCACTGTAGTTTTTTCGAAAGGATTCACTTCTGCCAAGCCATCTGAAACGATATGAATGATAAATTATGGTTTTACGCAATTGCAAATTACGCTGAGGTGGCAGTGTGTGAGCTGGGCTGGCAGTAATGTTCCTTGCGGGGGAAAAAGATTTGGCAAATCGGAGCGTAGGTAAAAGACCCTGGGTACGAGGTTGACGATTTGAAAACCTCGATATGCGATTTCAACATTCAATTAACTCACCTGGTGACAAATTTGAACATTTTTATCGCAGCCGGAGTGCAAAATAGGAGTGCAATGATACAGTTGAAGGATTGAACTTTATTCGTGAATGCATGCATGTCTGAATCACATTTTGAATAATTACCTTGAGATACTTTGATGAATTGCTTGTTTTTCCCTGTTGGACAAGAATAGCTCTCTTTGACTTCACAATTGCCGAAATTGAGAAAAGAAATTAAAAAACAGACGAATAACAACATATTTTTTATTGCTAAATGGAGACAAGCTTTATATCAGTTGCGACTGGTAAGATCCAAGGCTGATTTGTACAACATCTGCGGACAGTAAACTGCGAAACTGGATGCTAATGAGCTCAATGTACCTGTACTACGAAACGAGATGCACCGCAAAGATAAAAAGCAATCTCCAAATATGGTAATATGTTTTGTTTTAAACTATCATAACCCGGCAACACAGTGAATTCAAGGCCAGGTTTTAATTAAGGCCCTAGTTACACAGTACCGCAGATTCGCGTAATCACAACAAGTTAGACAGTTAAAAATTCTAAGTTCCTTTGTGTGCTAAACTTTTTTGTGGCCCGATTTTTTCTTTCTGTTTCGCCTAAACACATGGCCACAAATCGAACATTTGATTTAAAAAGTTCCTGAAATGATCTTTTGAAACATGGTAAAATTAAAATTGAAACATGGAGAGAATTATTAGATATTCGTCAACCCCCCCCCCTGAATTTGCTTTTGATTCTGAGAAGTGAAACCTTAAAGCTCCGTTCACACTAAAATGGGCACATTTTTCCCTGTCGTTGAGCCATTTTGATTCCGTATATATATCTTCGTTTTCATTTTAAAATCATGGGAAATTACCCGACTCCATATAAATTATTATACTGAGTTATTTATCACCATTATTACTGTCCTTCACAGATTTGAGGAAACGATTACTGACTCTTTTAACACTTTCTCTAAAGTCTTCCATTTTTCAGAATGGGCATTGCTACCTGTTTTAAAGGAAACATCGCAAAACTGCATGTTATCATTAAACGAGCCTCACAAATAGCAAAACTGCCAAAACTGGAACATATATATATGGGAATAAAATGTAAACATTGACGGCTGATGGCAAACATAAAAGCAAGTTCCTCTTTTTGTAAAATTTAGTAATGAAAGCCTAAGACTAAGTAAGACCTGGTTAACATGCATGCTGGCATTTCAAATCTGATATTTCACTCTATCGAACTGGAATAATCGAAATACCAACATTAATTTAATGACATGTGTTGTTATTCTATACTATATGTAGCTAATCATTGAGTGAAGATGTTGCTTTTCACCGAGGGGAGTCTGGGAAGAGACGGCAATGGTAATGTGAAACTCTTAGGCCCGCCTTTCAGAAATCGAACTTTATATGTGCCGAAACGAATGAAAATGGCTTAAATTTTAGCTCATTAATATCAGTTTCGGCACATGAGAAGTTCAGCGTCTAAACCTGGCCTTACATACGATCAGAAAAAGATTTGAAAAGAAATCATACTTAAATTTAGCAGTTCATCTGTCGCAATTGAAAGTTTGAATTTTTTTAAATGAGGCTATCTAAAACAGACAACCAGTGAACCAGGGATATTTGTACCGGTTCATATTCAAACAAGAATATGAATTAGAGGATAAGAAAATTTTTTCTTAGTAAAGCTTGGCTTTCGAGTGATAAAACAGAAAATTTCAATTATAACCAGCCCCAAAATATATTATGTATTGAATCATCAACGTCTAATAACGGTTTGGGATAATTTCATGCACTTGCAACTCATCTGATTTAACAATGATTATTTAACGGATAAAATAAATATATTACGTCGACCGATTTCAAAAGAAGACTGCTATTAATATTAATAACTGTAACTTGCTTAACATCCACCAAAAAATTGACAAACGTGAATTTTAGTCGCAGGAATTGTTTTGACATTTTAGTTCTGCATGCGAGTGCTTTGTTATTTAAAGAATAAAGTCAATCTTCTTCGTCATCGGCCACCGAAAATACATGCATCGCGTACTGTCGGCGACATATGAAAATAAGGTTTTAGCACCAGTTCGTTACCAGTAATCATAAGGAGTACAAAAGATATGTTAATGTATATTCAAAGAACTCCAGAAATTCCGTCATTCAGACAAGATTGTCAGTCTTGGCGGTGTTTTCCTGGCACCAACATGGCGGAATTATTAAATTTTTCGCTAGTGATTATACTTTTCTCCGTCGCTTTTGTCTACTCTTTGCCAATCAGTGAGAAGAGTAGTTCCGATAGTTGCAACCAAACATCTAATGGAACCGATGCAACAAGGGAAAACGACACCGTTGGCGAACAAATTTCGTTTTCGGAGAATTCCAACAGAGACGATCTGTCTCCAGTCCAACATGAAAAACAACACACAACGCACACAAGACAACCAAAACCAGCCAGTTCGAAACCACAACGTATTTTGAAAAGAAGGAAGAGGAAGAAGCAATTACTTAAGAGCAAACGGAATCCACTTAGATCAATGGCGAGAAGACGCAGGAAAGAGAGAATGGAAAAACTGAAACCGCAAAGAAACACAAAACACTGGCTTATTATTAGGATACAAAAATTCAGAACAATGGCAAAGAAACGCGGCGTTAGGTTAAGAAGGAACAGGTTGGAAGCACAAAGAAAGATACGACAGTGGCTAATTCGTGAGATACAAAGAGTTAAATCAAGAGCAAAGCGACGCCTGAAAGAAAAACTCAACGGACTGAAAACTCAGAAAGAGATAAGGCAATGGCTTTTTTGTAAAATACAAGGAGTCAAAGCATTAGCAAGGAAACGCGTGAATGAAGGATTGCGAAGGACCAAACACGAAAAACCGAAAAGGAAAGGTCATCGTCTTATTGCTGTGGCAGGGCGGCGCAAGAAAAAGAGAATTATTAGGCTGAAAAATCGTAGAATGAGATGGAAAAGGCTCGTAATTGGTACAATACGACGACTTAAAGCAATAGTAAGGCAATGTACTGAGATAGAGAAAATGAAGATGAAAAACCAAGGGGGGAAATGGAATAGGCTCATTCACACGTTACGACGACTGAAAGCAATAGTAAGGCAATGCAAAAAGAAGCAAACGAACAGGCTGAAAAAACGAAAACCGAGAAGCAAGTGGCTTGAACTAGCGGATAGAAAAAAGAAGCCGAAAGGCGAAGCAAAAGTGAGGCGATGAGAGAAAGAGAAGAAAGGGAGTTGGAGTAAAAATGACACTGACTGCAAAACCTACGCAGATAGTTTAGTATTTTAGCAAAAGAAAATTACGATTCAACATTCTCAAAATTAAGGAAAACAATTATGAAGGCCTTCTCAATGGAAGCTCGATGTTTTTGACAAAATATTAGAGAACGCGAGTGTTAAACAATTTTATTAATTTGGTTAATTAATGGGTTTATTCCGAGCAACAAAAATCACTTTAAGGAAACAGGGACATTTTATAGGGACAACCTAAGTTATATATATAGAGTTCTGGTTATCCTATATAGGCAAAGTACATAAATTTTTTTAACATAATTTGTATATAATATAGTTATCGTTTTTGTTCAAGTCAACCATTTTCATCATTGGGTGTGTCTGTTTTCATTGGGCGTGTCCGTGGGACATAATTTTACATTAATACAATATCAATAGTGAACAATTCAATATATAAATTCAATATAACTTTGCATAGTGTGTGTAATTGATATGAATTATTCCTATGCAGTTGGATTGTAGCGAATTAGAGGAGAATAGAGATATAAAAGAAATCATATGCACTGAACGCATCGTTTAATTTCAACATCTGGATCATGTGAACAGTCTATATTTTATATATTACCGCGATTCATGTGAACAGCCAGGTAATTTATATACATAAGCCAGAATGAAATTTTCTCGTAAATTATGTTTATGTTTATATCTCTGTCTTATTATAGATCTTGCAGTTGTTTAATTAGAAAGTTAGACAATCCAACCAAGAATATAGCAACCAGTTCAACACCAGTTCATTACGAATATGAAACATAAAAAATATTCTTGCTGTAATTAAAAGCTTAGCTTTAAATTGTTGCGGCGATGAGTTATTTTAACATTGATGTAAACTTCGACAGATTGCAATTTTTGGGGCCTTTTCTTCGTAATCAAAGCCTGTAGTCAAACCTGGTCAATATGCACTATCCACAGGGGAAAACGGCAACGGGACCTGGAGAGATAGGAAGAGGCCCAGACGTAAGATAGAAGGTATATAGGCAGTACCTTTCTTCTTCACCGCATTCAACCCTCGCATCACATTTTCGACCAAGGTACAATTTGCATTTAAAGTTTAAAGTTGCAGTTACATTACAGCTATAAAACAAAAATCTCGTAACTTATAATTTTTACCACGCAGACCTATAAGACATTTTACGGTTATATTAGTCTTGGCCATGGGCGTGGTGAGTAATTTTAGAGCAACATTACAGCATTTTCGCAACCCTATCTGTGAATAAATATTTTACACCAGGTAAATATTTTGCAAAACAAAATAATATACCATTAATCAAGTCATTAATCATCACTTTATTCATTCCTCTAAGTAAAGTTGTTTGTGAATCTACAAATACAATAGCAGTTGTATGCAAATGTTAGTGGTAGTTACGAACTTAATGTTAATATACAAATATAGATACTTATATCGCAATTTGAACTACAGTATTACAAGGCTAACAATGCCATTGGGAGAAAGTCCATGGCAGGGTTATCATAAATTTGATTAAAATCAATACTTCTGAAATATTCTTAATGGAGAAAAAATGTAAGAATTCATTCTTTTGCATGGGACACTTTAGAAGTCGAAGATCACGAATCATAAATCCTTTAGTTGTGACTTGCCTAGCAATTAAAATTCTAAATTTTTATACTAGCACATTTACGACAATCATATGATTTCATTAATTCTACAAATCAAAACCTTTCGCATACTCATTATATCATGATATAGCCATTGTAAAGCAACGCGTTCAACTTTGAATTTGTCTAGCAACGACAGCGACTTTACAAAGCACTATGTATGTTTCAAGGCCAACACACTACAAATAGGAATTGTCAATACAGCGCAAAAATTTTGAATATTTTTAGCAAGCGTATTTTTTATGAATGTGATTTTTATAAAATATTTAATCAGAATATTTTTTTGCTTATAAAACTGAAAAATTGCGCTGCATTGATAATTTGCGTATGCTGTGTGCCGGCCTAAAAGTAAAAAAGTCGATTGCCACTGTTGCGATTCTTGACGTATCGAGAAAGATCCCTAGTAATCACACTGCCATCCATTTCTATTTTTTCTTCAAATTTAAACAAAATTTTCTAACTTTTTGATTTTGAGTGATTCATCAACCATTGCAAAGTTATATCTGCAAAATAAAAGGGACATACGACATAAAATAGGGCCCTAGAATTCTATTTGGAAAATATACTTGTGGTAGTACCAAACCAGGAAGGAATGCGTGAGCAACTTTTAAATTTCATAAAAGTAACATACCTTCTTCTGAAGAAATTGTGAAATTTGTAGCAGTTATAGTACATTATTTACAACCCCCAAAATAACATAATTTACTTACCTATATTTTGTTTCTCCTTACATGATATGGAATAGCAACAAATCTCCCGATCTTGAACTGATGAAAGATTTCTGGAAGATATGCAAATCAACCTATTATCTGAGTATATATCAGGAAGCAATTTTAGTACCTCACTGTGTAACCCCAGTAAATTGGCAGGGCACAATGACTAGGAATGCACCTGAATGCATCATGACATCTTACTGGTCAATCATTTTAGTCAATGGCAACTGCATCTTTTGCTAATATAGGGTTTAAATTCAATATTCTGTTCACTAAATATGCAACTATTCAATACTAAAAATCTAGAGATGCAATTGGGAACACGTAACTTAAAATCATAAGATAATAAATTAATACTAAAGAAACAAAGATGTTCCTGTTTATACATTATACTGTAAGACAATCACTGAGAATTCAATATTTTGTTATACTTAACCTTTTAGACAAAGTAAATCAATACTTACAACTTTTCTATTAGATCTTTCTCATCTATTGCATTAGATAAATCACGTTTGTTGCCTAGCACAAGTACCTAGGGAATAAGTCAGAAGAAAGAAATGTCAGAAGTCAAAGTTTTCAGAAAATTTAGGAAAGATGACTTTCACTGAAACTAATTTGTGGCCCAAGCATCTTTGCAAACTACTTTGTAAACTAACATTGCTAGATCTTTGACAAAAAGAAAATCATAATTAGGAAAAATGGTTGAAATTTAAATGTCTCAATATGGAAATTATGACTTTCAATGTATTTGGCAATTTGGCCATCTTTTCCTACATGACAAAAATTTGTAGAACAAAACTTTGAAATAGGCTGTTTGATATCCTGATTATAGACATTTAGGTAACTAGAAGTTTAGGAAAATGTTTGTATAATCTACACTATTTGTAAGAAAGAGGATTTTACAGGAATTCCAGAAAGCTGTGGTTTATCCAGTAAATTATGAAGTTCATTTTTTGCTGCAGCAAATTTGTCATGGTCAGCAGCATCTACCATGTATCTACAAACAGAATTATTAACATAAGTTAATTAAACATATCACACAGAGTAAAATCCTAGCTCCAGGTAGTGTGTGAGGAAACCTGAAATAATTTTTAGCCTATTAGCCAGTCATCATCTTTGAATTCTAAGTAAAAAAATTGAGATAGGGCTGAAGTCAAGCATTAATTATCCTTTAACTTACACAATACAGTTGACACCTCGACAATATCGCTCCCACATACTTCTGAAACGTGGTTGCCCACCAATATCCCACACCTAAAAAATATTTTGGTATGATATTTAGGTGCACAAAAATTCATATGGGCCCTGAAAATAATAAAATCGTGAAATAGTGATGAAATAGTCAGGAATGAAATCAAACACTTCATAGCTAGCTAAAACCAAACTGGAATGCATCTAGGCGACTATATCAAGTGTCACATTTGCCACAATCTGGACCTCTTTTATTGCAAGGTTTGTCATTAGGGATTATAAGGACAAGAGATGACATTGGATTATTCCTTGGACCTATTTCATGAGGTATTTCAACCTTCTTAACAATATAATAGCTATGCTAACACTCTCCAGTCAAGTTGTCAACTTCTAATTTATAAAACAATTCAGATGTTGGGTGGTGACACACACAGCACCAGCAAACATTTTACCTATTAAACGGCAATAGTGAAAACACAACTAATTCGAGTTAAATATCAACAGGCCTTAGTATCTTCCAATAATATATTTTTATTAACCGTATATATACTACCTTTATTGTTACGTTGCCTTTAGATATTTTTCTCATATTAAAACCAACGGTCGGTATCATGTCCTCGTTGTACTGCCCTGACTGCAAAAGAGCAACAGAAACAATAAACAACTTGCAATTTAATAATATGTTGAAACTAGAATATTCCAAAAGAAAAACCAAAACATTTGAGAACATTCATACAGCAATAACGTTCACAAAAGTCGTCTTTCCAGAGTACTGGAGACCGACTAATGTCAGCTCCATCTCTTCTTTCCAAAACAGACTGCGAAACCAGTCCAAAATGCGCTGAAAAAAGGACATCATCTTGACAAAACTTTGTATGAAATCGATAATTCGTGCAAGACAAGAGATATATTGAAAATCATGTGATCTTTGAATTCGAGCCTGCAAGGATAGATGGTTATTACAATACTTCATGTCAGATAAAGATTTTGTACCATGTATTACCGTCGTTTTCACCTTCCGGTGACGGTGAACAGTCGCACAAGATGTTTATGACTTGTACATTGGTTTTTCATATTTTACAAATTAGAAAATACCTTTACAGACAATTCTACATATGCTATTAAAGAAGGATATATTTTAAAGAAGTGCTGCAACAGCTGCATATAAAATCTTATCGTAAGTACTTTTAGTTAAAACAACTACATAATTTTGAAGTGGCATTACTGAATCTATAAAAGCTACAAAGTCTTTAAACTATCTGATGAATAAAATATATACAATTCCATCAGTTTGCAAGAGTAGAGTTATTTTCTGACTCATGATGCAATGTGTGTAAAAAAACATAAAATGTCTACAATTCAAAGGTCTAGTTAAAATGTGGACAATTCATGCACTAAGCCTCTTTCAAAGAGCTTTGGTCGCTCATATCAGGGGTTGCTCACAATCTCTGCTGTGTGAAAGTTATGCCTCTTCCCTTATAGATCATAAACACCTTTTGTGTTTGCCAATGCATGTTTAAGTACTTGATCCAAATGCATGTTTTTTATGTTAGCTACCTCCTTAGCAATAAAAGGTATCATTCCAGGATGACTCAGTCTTGTATCTCTTCCAAAACAGCTTGGCACCAGATAAGGTGCATCAGTTTCAAGGATCATCCTCTCAATAGGTGCATTGTAAACAACACTATGAACTTGTGATGCCTTTGGAAAAGTGACCACACCACTGATCCCCAGGTATAGATTAGGGAAATAGTTGAGAAACTTTGATGCAATCTCATAGCTACCAGTATAGCAATGCAAATGAATCTTCCAATTGTTTGGTAAATTTGATGAAAGTATGTCAAAAACATCATTCTCAGCTTCACGACAATGTATAACAAGTGGCTTCTTCCAAACTTCGGCAAGCCTAACCTGTCTTAGAAACACTGCCTTCTGCACTTCAACCTCAGACTGAATTCGGACAGAATAATCAAGTCCAATTTCGCCCAAAGCAACTGCTTTTGGATGCTGTAATCTCTCACAAAGCTTGTATTCCAAATGATCATTGTAATACTTAGCATTGTGTGGATGAAAGCCAAATGCAGCCCAAACCTGATCGTGAGCTAACAAATCATCACAAATCCCAAGACATGAAAACGAGGCTGGATCACAAAAACTTGTAATGCATCCACTAAAATTTTCTGGAAAATTGAACTTGTGCTTAAAGCTATCAAATCCTTCACGATGTCGATTCTTATCGAACACGTAGTTCAAATGACAGTGAGAATCAATGTATTTCACAGCAGATTCAGGTACATGGACTTCATTTGCATTGAAACATGAATATAAACCGTTCACTGTTGAGAAACTCGTTGACATAGCCATTGACGAAGTTGTCGCCAAATTGCCGGATGGTGCGGAACATTCCTCTTTACACTCTTTGGCAATATGCCCATGTCGTCCACAGTTAAAACACTTGATTTTTGCAAGTTTTTTAGCTTTAATTTCCGGACACTCTTTCTTTATATGCCCTTCTTTACCACAAGAAAAACACTTTATACCATCCATATTGTAACCACCTGAATTCAGTGTTTCCACTTAATTTGAAAACCTTATCCCGGGATATTGTTTTCTTAATTTCTTTTCAAAACTGCTCAGTCTCCTACGCTGCTCCCTCATTTTAAAAAACCTATCCGTTCATTACCCTGTCTTTTTTATCTAAATAACTGGGGAGAGGGAGAAAATCCTCCCTGCTCGCTTCTTCTCCCTTCCTAGTGATAGCTTTTGGTCTCCCGCAATGATGCTCAACGGAAAGTAATGTTACTATACTGAACAAACCTCGCTCCGCCAAAATGGATTTTTCAGTGTTCGCCAAAATGCGGGAAATAGAAATAAAATCATATATATAGAGAGAGAGAGAGACAGACATTTTCTAGGCCCTCTTTTCTATGTCCCACGGACACTCCAAACGTTTAAACCCCTTGCAACAGTCCCAAGTCTTTACATTACCAATTTGCACGCTTATTCCTATATTAATGATTTTCTAAAACACACCCTGCCGTTCAACATATCTATATTATATTGTACTAATGATAAACTGAGAACTCCCATGGAATGACAGAGGATACCTCGGGTATAGGAGCATTCTATAGTGAACTGGCATATTTAAGTTCATTTGTTTGCCGAATGGCAATCCAATTATGTAATGGTTAAAAGTAATGATAAAAAAGTAATGATATAGTAATAATAAAACCTTCGTTAATTTTTTCTTTGATTTTCGGAAATCACAAGAAAGCTGGATTTGATACTCAATCAATCAGCCTTCAATGTCACCAATACTTATTTTCAAAAAACATTTCGTTTTTCAAATTTGGTAAACCAAACTAAGTAAAAGGTCATTATCAAGCTAGATTAACGCTGTGACGCAAAGTCAACTATCAGCCTCACTCCGGATAGCCATGCAATTTCGGTCTTTTCTTCCTGCTTATTTTTTTTCATTTCTATAAATGTAATGCTTTGCAACCTACTTTATAATGATAGCATTCAGCATTGTAAGTTTTTTTATTAAGCAAGTACTGAGCAAAAAAAACATGCCTTTCTGAATGAGACTCCGCAATCATAACATGCCGCAATTTATACAAACACACTCTAGTATATACTAGTATATAGCCACTCTATGGTATTTGACTGTCAGTGACTATCAGTGAGTGTTTGTCACACGTCGTATTAGGATGATATATGGTCATGATTCAAAACAATCCGCTTGATAAAGTAAACGTCATCTGAACTAAAGATATGGTTTTGACGCTAATTTTTATGCAAACAGTCGCTCACGAAAGCAACCGACGAAAATAGACAATGCACGCTAACAGCAACACTGAAGGGTCAACTGAAGACGTAAACATGATATCTTGCATTATATTATAGTTTAAAGTTCACATCTAAGTCTAAGAGCAGATTGCATGCATACGAAACCATGAGGAAACGGAGTAGATAAGCTTATAGCAGACACTTGATAGCAGTGTGCATATATTAATACTTGTTAATGTAACTGCAGTTGTCATCGTTGTTCACTGTCTAGTAGAGATATATTACTATGATTTATTTATATAAATCTAAAATAATAAATTGCGAAAGGTGCTTTAGAAAGCATTACACAATCGTTCAGTATAATACGTATAGCTAGCCTACTATGAGACTTCTTCTCGTTGGTGTTTATTCGACGCCTTAATCACATTCCCACAGCCAGTGCATTGGATTTGGACCATCGGACTCTTGAGTGAGTACTGCAGTAATCATGACTGTCAGTTGGCAATCAGTGCTAAAAACTGAAACAAATTCCGAAGAATAAAGCCATCTTGAAATTCAAGATATGATTATGAATAAAACTAGAAAGAAGAATATATGCGTGAGTGTAAATTTCAAATCAATTCATTCTGTCTGATGAATGATGACCTCGAAATTTACACTCATTCGTATATTCGCCTTTCATAATTGTTTTATTCATATCTTGAGTTTCAAGATGGCTTTATTCTTCGGAATTTGTTTCCCTTTATATTATCCGAAATTATCGACCGGGCATGGTAGTTGGAAATATGGAACATAGCCAGGCATATAATAGTAAATTTCTTATCATTTACATGTCTCCTGACTACGCCTCTACCGTAGGATTACTTATTGAATAGTGAATAGAAACCACATATTCTGACTGAAGGAAAGCAATTATCGTTCGACTTCTAATACTTGTAATTGCGTCCTATCACATGTAGCTAGCTGTCATCATGCGGCCATTAATTAAACGACAATGACACATGCAATGAATTGCGTTCTTCAAAATGTTTCTACACATTACTGACATTATTTTTTTATTCATAAAATAAGTCAAATAAATATATTGTATCCATCTCCAATTTTCTTCTTTCATTCCCACTTTCTTCTCCATATCTCGTCTATTGTTCTTTTCGGTTAAATCGTTACATCAATGACATCATAGTCAGTTGATAAATCATTAATAGAAGAGAAAGAACTACGAGGTTCTCCGAATCCCGGCAACATTCATTTTACTTTGCCTTTCTATATTCACTAACCATTAATAACAAATGAATTCAAAAAAACGCATAGAATTGTTCTGTTCTGCTCCATCCTGTAACAATCTTCATTCATCTATTTTGGTCTTGTTGAGTCCCAATATACTTCAACATGATATGATCAAAATTATTATCGACAACATGAATTAATTCTTCCGATGAGACGTTTATATATTCATATTTTAAATTAGAGGTGCATGTATAAGCGGCTAAAACCTTCAGAAGTTTTGGCGTCGCAGTGGGCGGGTGTGTACACAGATCATTCTTATAATGTGTAATTGATCTGGTTTTCTGTTGGCAAGACCAATGAAAAATACGTTTCTAGATAAAACTCTACATAACTTACATTTATAAATAACTAATGTAAAACAAACGGAAAAAAAAGCATGCAATGTGCCATATTAAATTATAATCTATATGGACTGCAAGATAATTGAAGGGTAATCAGAATCCGATCTTTAATTTTAGATACAATTATTTGCTGAACATGGCAGATGCCCGCAGTTCAGTTGAGAAGGCGAAAACAAAGGGATTAATAGTGTCATTCCGCAAATAAATTTATGATGCGGGATAATCCGTGCATAGCATTAAGGATGGCAAATCATGGTGTGCACAACATTTCCAATGCTTCCCAAGAAAATTCAGTGATCAATGATCGTTATACTGAAGGGTATATTTTGTTGTTAAGCTTGTTAGCAGCATTGATATTTCTTGTCAATTTGATGGTGATTATTCTCTATGTCACCCACGACAGTCTTCGTACAAAAACAAACACGATCCTCGCAAGTTTAGCATGGTCGGACATGTTAAATGGATTAGTCGTCATTCCACTTCAGATCCTAGTCAATATACACGTCCAGGAACAATCTTTACGCTTGACATCCATGGTAATGTACCGTTTCATCGCCGTGTCGACAATGTTGCACATCCTCGCGGTGACATTGGAACGCCACATCTGCATCCTGTCCCCATTACGATACCACAGTTTGGTTACAAAAACGCGCATTATCAAAACTCTTGTCTTTGTGTGGTTCGTATCAACTTGTAACTCGGTCATCTCTTTGTCTTGGGCAGGTTTGGTAGACGACTATAATCATTTGAAACAACCACCAGGATTACACAATTCAAAGCTGCTTCGCTTCGAATTCGCGTACACATTATTTACGGTCACTCTGTTCTTTCTAATTCCGCTTGTCATCATGACGTACAGTTTTAAAAGGATTTTGCGTGAAATATCGAGACACAACAGGCGAGATTCAGAATTAATGGAAATGGTGGATTCTTCATTAAGGACTTGTGATACCAGCGACAATGACAGTAAAGAGACGGCAGAAAACCGAACAAACCAGGTGTACAAGTTAGAACGCAAACCTGTGTTGATTTTTCTTACCATGTTCTTAGTCTTCACCATCACCTGGTCGTCCTGGTATGCCCAGATCCTAATTCTCTCGGTCTCTCCAAAACACTACAAACCCGTTGGCGGTCGTTGGCCGGCGTTCGCTCGCTCCTCCACGTCTGTAATAAACCCTTTGCTTTATTCTCTCATAAAGAAGGATTTTAGAGAGGCACTTAAGAGTTGGTTCGTGCAAATGAAAAATTGCGTCCTCTCTTGGAAGACAACGAAAGAGGAACAAGATTTAACAACCACTGAAGGCAGAATGGGGTCAATATGCGTATGATCTGAGAAAAACTCAAGGATATGTTAAAAGAAATTAATAAAGCAGGTTTAATCTCACGGACGACCTTGATTTCAAATTAAGATACGCAGTCAGAATATCACAGATTGTATAAACAATATAAAACGCCACGATTCATGAATCTTTTTTTAAATATCCCCGTTAGAGTTTCAAATCTGTTATACCGAGTATTAACGCTTAGGTTTCTTTGCCACTTGCTGAGTGGAAAACGCAGGCGGAGACCCAACTCTGGGGAGAACTGGAAAAGGGTCTGGCTTTGTCACGTTAATAATCTGTATACGTGTATATAACATATTATGAAATACGCAAACTATGAGACACGAAATAAACTTGTACAGCATATATGTAATAATCCCAATCTACCTGGTTAATAAATAAACTTAATTTTGCAAGATCGTGCCTACAAGACTACACTAAACTGAAAGTAGGGCTTATTCACACCCGTATCAGAAGTTCAACAGCGTCATGCATTCTTTATATACATTACAGCATATGATGCAAGCTCACATACTGCATGAGGTGCAGGCAAACATACAGTAGGTGATATAGAGATATATACACAGGAGAAGACAAAATCCTATTTGAGCTGTCCCGAAAATGAAGACAAACTTGCTTTATGAACCATGCAGTTACTCTGTGTTGAACTGAGCAGGAAATATTTTGGAGCATCACAGATTTTAGAACTGTTGACGACCTTGTTTGCCACATAGGTTCTCAATGAAGACAAGTATTTTTAGCCTTGCACATTTGGTTCAACTCAGAGTAGCATCAAACAATCAAATAATAAAAATACTGTTTGTATTCCTCTTGCATGCTGCAAATAGTATGTAGTTATAATTAAGAAGCAATGTGCTTGTGATTACTAAGTACTGCTACACACTATTATGCAATGAGGATGTAAGATTAGCCAAATTTGTTGTTCATGCATGGGTATCACAATTACTATCACCATATTACTTTGGGATCCTCATTCAAGCCTTTTGAATTTCCTTCTGTGTCAATAAACTTGTCTTGCCATTAGATTAGTAGACAACAGGATTAAGTGGATCAGCTCTTATGTTGGCCATATCAAGACTTGAATCTGTATCATCATCAATCTCACCAATTACTGCACTGAATGACAGTTGCAATATTTTTAATAAGCTGCATTTTAAATAGTAATTAGTGACAACAAGTTTGGAAATAGTCAGGGTAAACTTACATGTTGTCTCCACGAATGATGTAAAGTCCTAGGACAACTTGTTCGACTCCACTTGTTGACGAAAATACTCGTTCATGGCTTTCATCCAATATCAAATTGATTGTTTGGTCAAAACCTTTTAACAATCCCTTTGAAATGCATTGAAGCAAAGAAATATGTACAGAATTAGAGATTTGATTTTTATACAGGATAAAAGTCCTTGAATAGAGTTTTACATACCACAATCATTCGACCATCCTGAGTTACAACTGCTACTGTATCTATATTATAAACTATCAAGGAATTCACAAGAAAATGCAGTGTGATATATGCTCTGGACGCTGGATATGGGGTGATGTAAGGCTGTGAGCCAATTCTAAGCCAAGCCATGTGATTAAAACCAACAAGCTTCAGCTATAGCACAGAACATATTACTTCGTATACTCCTTTGGGACATCTAACATTTGAGCAATTACTTCCTTTACACACCGATTTTATGTTATTGTTTGATTATTTACAAAAATGTAAACGTTTTAACTGTAAATTAAAGGATACGACCAACATACGATTCCAAAGTGGACGCCATCTTTGAAGTTCGTACTTCCACTGTCATGAATGAACTTCGTGATCTTCGTTATCAACTTCATTGGCGGCAATATATGTTTTGCTTTTTATTGGCTGTAAAGATCGGGATTCGGGAGTGGGACTTTGGGGGAGCTTTACATTTAGTAATTTTGCTTTTCGTTTTACATGTTTCGAAGAAACTCTTTTTAATGGGTGGAGAAAGGTTTTAACAAGAGTGCGATCCTGTTCTTCTCTTAATAGAATATGGAATAATTCCAGGGAAACATGACCATGTCTTAATTAAAGAAAAATAAAATTATTTGTTTTTTAAACACTTCCTGTCCATGAAATCTGTTCCAGCTTGTTCGGGTTTGTTAGTTTGAGGAATATTAATAGACCCTGGTAGATCTAGAAACTCTGATACTGGTGATAGTGATAGAGCCTTGGCATGCCATATTCTATACGTCGTACATTGTACTGAAGTGGACTTAAGTCAAACAAAGCCAGGTTCCTTTAGAAACGAAAAAAAGAAACGAAAATAAGGCTCTGCTCGCGGGGTAAAGACTGGTAGGATACTGTGGGTAAATTGTATGACTGGCCTCCACTGGTAGTACATGACTGAGAATCCTTTTCCCAGTCTAACTTTAATGAAACGCGATAGCAGACGATTAGACAAATTTATTAACCGTTCAAATCTGTGTTGATTTGAAATTGAGTTTGATTATATTTTCGAGGAAAAACTTTACCTTGAAATAATGATTATTTGGAACGATACTGTTTCGCTTACATTTGCATATATATTAGTGTTACAGGCGGCAAGCGATTGCCAAATTAACATTATTTATGAATATTACTTGTTTTATTGTAGCAACGAAAGCGTCCAATTATTTCTGCAGCATCAAGCCATCAACAAGAGAAAATAGACAAGCCGTTCTCTGCTGTTCAGTCTTATTACTATATAATTTACCTTCTTGTGTTTTGGTAAGTATTGCTCCTACTTAGTCTTATTTCGTAACTGCCGCATTGTCGTGAGTATACTGGGAATACATAAGACACCTCTAGCCGGGAGTCTAGGAAATTATTTGTATTACTGTTCAGTGAAAATTTTCATTATCCTGTACATGTTATGTAGAATGATGTAGTTGGAATTAAAGATCTGCAGATCCGCTTACTGAAAAAACTACCGTGTTTGCTGTGACTTACCGCTTTGACATTGACTGATTGTATCAAGTTTGCAAACAAGTTGTTACATATGAACTCTATTCATAGGCTGCTTGCTAACAACAATTTGTGTTCGCACTGCAAACTTGTGAAAATCACATGCTTGTGGCCAGCTTGTGAGATTTTGTCGTGTGCTTCGGTCTGTACGACAATCGTACCATATCAAAGTCAATGAGATATCGATAATCGATTGTATGATTTGTATCAATATCTATATGCATCCGAATTATTGTGTATTGAGAGATCCATTGATTGAGCAATAATATCTAATGAATCGCAGTCCCTTACTTGTGACAGTTTCTGTCCGGTCAACCCCTGACTGACAATGAACCCTCTAAAACTGTGTCCGTGTGAAAAACGAAGCTCTATGCTGATAAAACTACACGGATTAGCTACAAATATTAGTAAAATACGATTTTTCGTAAATAGGTTTAGTCTTCGAAGAAAATTCAAGTCCCAAATATAAAGATCACAGCTGACTTAAAAATGAAGGGAATAATTCTCTCCACACACTCACAATACAAGCCCATATGTACTAAAATCTCCGCCGCCCTGTCTGGTACCGAGTATGATGTCATCGTTATCGACGAGAGCTCCCCTCAGTCCTTGGCTGTGCGCGAAGAAGCAGTCCGCTGGTGTGCGATGTTTGTCGTCGTGGGCTCGGTGCGCTACCAGCGCGATGCATATTGTCAGGAGTTGGCCAACTACGCAAAAACGATCCGCAAACCGATCGTCACAATTTTGGCTCAGAGTAACTACAAACCCTCGGGCGCAATTGGGGCCATTGCCGTTGCAGGAACAACCGTAATTGATTTCACCGATGATTTTTCAAACTCCCTCAAAATTTTGGAAAAAGAGCTGGAATCGAAAGCGTGGAGTACCGAGATACCCAAACCAGAAATCATTCATTCGAGCTCGACGCCAAACCTGTCCCAAACTGCAAGTAAATCAGGCGGAGTCTTAATTTCGTATCAAAATGATGCGGCCCATGTTGCCGAACTGATAAAATCGGTTTTAGGCTCAACTGCGTCGTATATAAATCCCTCCCAAAATGCAGGCAATGATAAGGCAATTTCGACCTGCCAAGTTTTCGTTGCCGTTCTTTCACCTGAATATCAGACCTCGACCGCAAGTCAGAAGAGTTATGAAACTGCAAGACTCTACCGAAAGAAAATTGTTCCGGTGATCGGAGCCTCTAAGTACCAGGCCACCGGTTGGCTGGCGTTAGCCATTGCTGGAAAGCTGTACTATGATATGCCCAATCGGGAAAAGGCATACAAGAAGTTCTACGATAGCTCACTTATCAACGACTTTCGCTTCGCCGTCGAAGCATTCTTGCAACCACACGCTAGCGAGGAGGAGCGAGAAACGAAGGAGATACAAGCCTTGGAATTACAACTTGAGGATTGTAAGAAGAAACTCGACACCTGGCCACCAAAACCGAGACCACAGGAAAGTAAAGTTGCTGAGGTCGAAAGTGCTGTAAAAGAGCTAACTGTGGATACAAAAAAAGATTTGGTATTTAATTACATACATCACGAGGTCACTCGCATGTCCTTCGTTCCTCCGAAGCCTTTGTTCGATCACCGAGGTATATTTCATGTTTGTGATGTGTATGTCCCTCATATTTTCCCATAATTGTTAGTTCAGCCACAGCTTGACATAAACAAACATCGTAGCCATTCTTGGGAAAAACCAAATCAAATCCACACGGCATATGAGAAACGTCCCCACGTCATACCCAGGGTACTCTGCCATGGACGTTGAAACTTGTCCAAGCCCATCTCACATTTGTCGGGTGCATATACTGCCATTTTGGATCATGATTTTTTCTCTTCGATCTTATCTTTAATCCGTTTAATGAATATACTGGATTGGAAGGCACCCTAATCATCAGTGGCGTCGCCAGCATCGATAAGTGGGGTGTGGACAAATTCAGTATATTCATATTCACAGAACGTGAAAACAATCAATTCGAAAAGAAATGAATGTTTTAAAACACGAATACGTGATTATGTCATGCACCCCACTTATCAAGCTGGCGACTCCACAGCTAATCACATCGTATGTCAAGGTTAAATTCATGTGCCGTATATCGCGTTAAAGGACTGGGTTCCAACCATAAAACACGAATAAAATGTAGTGTCTTAAATCCAATCCCAAGCACGAGCTAATGTGTGCATTATCTCCAGGTGTCCCTCTGAGGCGCAAATTTGAAGCTATGTGTTCGTACCAGTGGTCTATACAAGATTTTGTACGAGATTTTTACATGGATCTGCACATGCGCAATTTGGAAGTGTGGATGGATATTTGGGGAGGGATGCAAGGAAATATTTACGAGGCCATGGCAAACGCCGTCGAGTGCTCAACGACAATCATTTGTTTCCTCACAGCAAAATATCAACAGTCACTGAATTGCTGCTTAGAATTAAAGTATGCTCTCTCTAGAGGAAAACCTATCATATTTATAAAAGTAGAACCCAAGCTCTCACTGCTGCCATGGATATCTGATGTCGTTGCTCGCTCCAAGGTAATCTAGTCTTTATATTAATCACTAATTAGTCCGAATGCCACTATCCCACCAACTTAATAATAACGGACACATAAGAATTTCCATCTATTCCACTAAGGACTGTTTATGATACGAATTGGTCGCTGTCAAATATTAGGTAAAATTAGGCAAAAAGATATATTGGTTCACTAAAGGTCTTAATTGGGATAAAAACGGTTGACAAACCTCAAAATTGAGAGCTTTCCATCTTCTGGAATTAATTTTTAATTTCAAAAAGGCTAGTTCACTTTTTAATGAATAAGAGTCACACCTTGATTTTTTCTTCCAAAAAATCAGGTTTTCGAAATGAGGTCTATCTCCGACGCGGGAATAAAAGATGATGGCATCCCACGAATTAACCGCATTTCCGAATTCATCCGAGCCTACTCCTCGCGAGGGCCCACGAAAGTCCTGGAGGATGACGTCACAGAGGAAGTACACGCGAGGCGTGAAATGCTTGAAAACGCTCTGTATTGGATTCACCAGAACCAGGGAACGTCGCGGTATTCGAAGTGTGGTAGGTGTGGGGCGGAGTTTGATGATAATTCACAAGATGGATGTAAAGAGCACGGCGCGTATTTTATGGGGGGAACGATCTTAGCTGGGCGGTGGGTGTGCTGTCAGCAGAGGTCCAAAGATTCCCCTGGTTGCAAGAAAACAAAGCACACCACTACTGTTTTAAAATGGGAAGAAATATCGGGTTATGGCGGTTGTTACAAGTGGCAATAGATAACTCTCACAATTATTATTCCACAAAGGAAAATATATACATTATATATACAGATCCAACATATGACGGAGGTCCTAAAAAAACAGCTAGGACAACACCTTTGTAGCCACAAAGTTGATTGACTTGCTTAAGTTTGCCTTATTCGTCTTAAGAAACTTTCACCTTTTTTCATTGCTATTTAGTCAAAAACTCTTACATACATACACTGATTTGATGTTGTTTTACTGTATAAAATTACATTATATTATAACTATAAAAAAAATTATAAATTTTCTCATTTGTTTGTTGCTCAGTAAAAGTTTTTGTCATATAAACTGAACAAGAACGTAGCAAAACTGAAAACTGAACAGGCTGTTTTGGTAGCAAAAGACCTAGAACACTGGCATGGTGTAGTTGAAATCACTCAGGAAGGATTTTCCTCTGCCTTGGAAATTTGTGCCATACCAACCAATTTGTCGATGAGTCAATCCGGTCAAAACTAAGTGTCTCATCATAGGGTTGTATATTCATAGATCATACTTGAGAAGAACAATAAGCCATGTATTCCACCATTCAAATTTGGATCTAGTCGCGCCAACTCGTTGCAGGAAAAACATACGTGTTGTGAATTGCATGAAGTGCATAAAGAAATTTTTTTTGATCGTGTAATTGAAAAGTTCATTTTCATTTAAATCTTTCATACATTTGGTAATTGGTACCTCTCATCTTATTCAGACTAACACGGAACTTCCATTGCAATTCATCGCAGGGGACATGTCGCAGTGCTCGGAAGCTTTCGTCCAATTGGATTATGCCGTTTTCTATGCTTTCTAAAGAACGAAGCCTCCTGCAGCAGGCATGGTAAATTAGCATTCAGATATGCTAAATAATTATGATCACGTGCATAACTGCATGATATAGCACTGTGGATTATAAACGAATAACTTTGCATAATACCTAAACTGAATTTCATTGGCTAATTCCTCACGCCATCAAATCAGGCCACTGCATAACAGATTAAAGGTGACTTATTTGCAATAATTTTTGTTGTCTGGCAAGCTGACATTTGCAATTGTAAGTCAAATCCATATAACCGCTTCTTAAAATGGAAAATTTTTGCTTGGTAAAAGCCTAAAAGGGTCAGAAGTGTGACTGTTCTTTGACGAATAGATGCAGGGATTATATTTATATTCAACATCAGCCGACACAGTAACATTATCACATATAGAGGTGACGGAGTGCAGGTATTTTACATTGTTAATTGTTTAACAACAACTTGGCTAGTTTATATATTCCTCTAATATACTTAAAAATCGCGATAATGTTACTGTCCAATATATTATAAATGGATTACGGGGCTCTTCGAGAAATGAAATAGGGAGACTAGAGCGCTCTATTAGTATAGGAAAATCAATGCTTGGCTAAAATTACGTATATACACGGCATTGACGGCAAACTTGCTACAGTCACCTAATGCCGTATAGGCCTACATCAACTACTGACTTCAGTAATGTCTCAGTTTAATAGCAACCCAATTTGATCACCCAAAGACAAAGTGACTTAGAATGCTTTCTGATCTGAAGGGTCTGAAAACTGGTATGCGCGTGGTCAGATATACACATAGCCGGATAATATATGAACGAACCATGCAAGCATTATTTCCGTTTGACAAAATATTTAGTAAAAAGCACGTACTAGTTTTAGTTCATCAAAACCGGCTAGAAAAGTCTTATTGAAAATTTTCATGAAGTGGAAGAAATAGGCTGGTTGACAAATATCATACTAAATGTAACACGAAAAGGTTTGGATTTTTTCAGATCGTAGTGTGACCCCTGCATGAAATAGTCAATCATGTAAAATCAGTTATATTCTGCAGATATATATACCCGTATCCGGTGAATTTTTAATGTCTGCAAGGACTCTACAAGTGACTTCATCCAATCCGCAAAATGTTTCTGCGCTGACTCTGATGCCCATTATAATACTGCCATTATTTTTCGGCACAGTTTCACAACAGGGGTAAAAATAGTAGACAAGGTCAGAGCCATTGCTTCTTACTCAGTTTTACCAGCAAGAAAAGAACACGCCTGGTGGAAAACGGGATCAATCATTTTTCGTACAAAAAATGCATGAGCAAGATGGCTTAAAACAAACATCCATGCACGCTTCATCATTAGTGAAAAGCAAGTTTCGTGAACGAAAAAAAAATGTTTTTATACAATATCTTAATTGCAGTTGGGAGTTAATTATAGCGGGGACGTCAGTGACTCAGTAAAACAGTCGAAAATTTACTGAGATGCTGCCTCTCACGTTATTGCGCTTATTGCATGTCGAAAACCTCGAACAATATTCAGAAAACTTGGAGCCTTTGGATGCAAGAACGAACGCCAGTACTATACATTTCTTGCAAATATTTGCTCAAAAACACACTTTTCTAATCGCCAGAATGCATGAGAGATCAAATCAATGGAGTTATCGTTCCAGTTCATATATATATATATATATATATGGATTATAGAGTAGTAACTTGGTTGCTAAAAGTGAAGCCAAAGATGGGGGAAATTGATATATAGCTCACTGGATTTAACGAGGCGTAAAATGGACTTTGAGGTATTGAAATGAGTTGAATGACACGATTCTGGTAGTCGTGTAATCATACTCAGATAGCATGTGATTGTTCTGTTTCAAAAAGATTTTATTTTAATACTTCAAAAATCAAAACCATTTTACACCTCGTTAAATCTCGGTATAGCCGAGCTCATGTGAAGAACCCCTAATCACATGCTCATGACTCTCACGTTACACGAGTTTAACATGAACAATATATATATGTTTGTTTATCTAATACAAGTTGAGTACTGACAAAATAGATCGCAGCAGGTGCAAACATCAAATGTCTTACAGTATGTTTCCCAGTCCAGTAAACCTCGCTTCATTTTAAACTATTTCTGACAGCAATAAGCCAATATAATAGCAATCATTTTCGCTATTATAGTCAATTTAAATTCAAATCAGTCCAACTCCAACTGTACATGCCCAACCGTCATGGAAATTACTAAAGTTTAAAAAACAACACACATCAAATGTGAAGAACAATGACACTGCGATCGAAAGCAGCATGAAATGATATACCGGATGTAAAGGCAGCCTAACATGGTGAATTGAATATACCATTATACCGTACAGATTTTTCAAAGTACAGATGCAAACTACGTATTGTTTTAAATTTCTTATAACCACCTGTCAAATTTCATGCGACCAATTAAATGAAGAACTTGCTCTTGCTCTTACCATCACGGCAAGTGCGCCTACGTCAATTATTACACAGAAAATGAGCGAAAAGGAATGTTCAGGAGGAATTATTAAGAGGAATTTGCTGTCGTGTGTAATTTTACAATACCATTACCAGTTTATATCGCACACCAGCATTGTCTTTGCCATTGGGCGCGCCATGCACGAACGGAAATTCGCTTTACAGAGTCAGAGTACCTCTTTACAATTTTGACAATAAAAGCTATGAAAGAGATATTATATGGCTATGTTGTTGCTACAACGATATTTTTACCACCTACGCAAAGTTCATACATGCATGCATGAAGGACTGCAAGCAAATATTTGGAGATCTAGACGTCTTCTAGAATAATTATATCACATGCAGTATTTAGCGATGCATAGCGATAGGTTATCATATATACTGATGAAATTTTAGTAATATATAGCTATCTGTTAGAGTTAAGCTAGGATTATGTGCGTTTGCCTTCAAATCACAACAGTTAGCAATTTAATTACCCTACAGGCAGGCTGCATAACTCGGTTCATGCTTGTACGAAATGCCATGCATATACACTGCGTGAACGAAATAAGCCGTGCGAGGCGCCATAGGGAAACCAAGTAACACTTACTATAATTCACTACATTTACTATTTAAGGTATTTAATAATAAATTGCATTTAGAAAAAATGGAAAACGTTTATCTACGCGTTGTTGATATAAATACCAACACAAAATATCATGAATAGTTGATATGATAAATAGTTTATGTAAATAAGATTATGACGATGTTATTATGATATGATCTATATATAAATGACGCCATTTGATTCTCTATTTTGAAGGAATACTATTCTTTTCTTTTCGATCCTCTTTTCCACTTTCATTTACAAAAATTCTACTTTGTGGTTCAACTCTTTTTTCTTTAACATTATTCACTTTACAAGCAGCAGGGGTAAACGGCCTTTCCCAATCATTCGGGTATAAATACTTTAGTATTTCCATACCGCCTCGCGGGACTTCTATTTGAACATCAATGAATTGCATCTTAGGCAACGGTTTTTCGACCATCCACTCAGGAAAACTATGATATTTTTTATAATTATAATACAAAAGCCATGTTATTAACCCTGATCTTTGCATCAATCCATGGAAATTATAAAATATATCGATGTCAACCTGTGCAAACTTGCCACGGGTGAAATAATAACAACTAGACATCCAAGTCATGTCGTAAACTTCTATTCCTCGCTCTCGAAACGGCTTGAGAAATTCCGCTTTGGGGATTTGTGAGTATGTTTCGTCGCCTATAATTGCTAAATCAATGTCGTAATCCCAAGCCAAAGGAGCTTTTGCGCGATATGCACCCCAAACTGAACCGTAAATTAAAAAAGGTCTTATGCTCATTTCGTTTAGGATATCGCGTACGTCATGAAAGAGATCCCGTAGCTCTTGTGCTTGTTCTGGCGTTCTGTTGCATGGAAAATGCGGGCTTTGATCGCTGTCTAGTTCATGTGTGTTATGGGTATCGACGTTCAGTTTCACATAGAACACCAAGGTTACCAGCATACATGTACCGAATATAGAACACTTAATCTTATTGCGATGGTCTTTCCAGCAGATCCAGTTGGCTACATTAACGTAGGATAATGCCAGAGCAGTTAGGAACACACGGAGAAACCATGTATGAATAGAGTACCACTTTATTTTCTGAGACTTTCTTTGATTTTCAGCAGTATTGATCTTCATAAATCTCACTTCGTGCATTTGATCACCCGCAAAAATGATGATTATAAAGAAGTACTCTGTCTCTGACGTGTTTTGTGATCTAGTTGTACACAAACCGCTGTTCGAATGAATGAGACGGTTCCTTGGTTTTTTCTTCTCTGATGACTTTAGTCAGTGGTTATTGCAGGTTTCTACCAGATATCCCTTTACTCACTCTATACGGGTTTCTATTAGGCTATACATGAACAAAAATAAACGCGTTCAAGAACTGAGATGGATCAAAAACATCCGTCTGCTGACATATATAAAAGCCAATATGGAGACACGACATCAACCAGGCGACGTTCAGATTCGTAAACTCGACTAGCCGGTACTATACAATTTTAAATGCAATAGTTTATATGCATAAGCAGTAATGTCTTTTTTGACGTACGTTACTGTGACTATATATATGCTTGTTTATATTCAGGCAGCCTATAGTGAGGTCATTGACGATGCATGCATGCATGTGTAGCTGTGTATATATAGACTTACAAATTTCGTGCATGACTAAACATTCGCTTTGTAAACATATGTTAATAAGGCCTGTAATAGGATTAAATTTGACTATAAAATGCTATCATTCTTTGTGACCCTTCGATGTATCGCATTCTGCCGAGAAAAACCGCACCATGCATGGCAAAAGAATAGTTTGTAACTCTTATCCGAAATTAATTTTTTTTCGACATACTTTGCCTACACTTATTGTTGTTAGCCCAGCAGGTGATGCTTTGTTACTTTCACTCCACTTCGGCCTAAATATTTGGCATTAGTTAGACGAGAAAGTTGATAGTAAAAACCCATCTTAATATGCATAGGGTAGATAATAATTATACACTTTATGTATCCTCCCGAGGGAAATAGGGAGTTTTGTTCTCCCAAGAGTCTGAATGAGATTCGAGGGAAAACAAAACTCACTATTTCCCGAGATAGTGTACGTAATCATTACGGGATTTACGATAATAATTTTGTTTATTTAATTTTAATATTTAGCTGCAATTCCGCGATGCATGACCGTGTTGATAATTAAATGCGAATTTAAGACGAGTTTCTCTTACAGACGAGATTCCTGTCCAACTTTGATCGCCGTCTAGTTCATGCATGCATTATGGGGTATCAGGGTATGAAATAGAACGTCAGGGTTATATCGTATATAGATTATAGAACATCAAGTTTGCCAGCATACATGTTCCAAATACAGTGAATTTGATTTCCTTGCAGTTCCTCTTCCAACAAGTGCAGTTGCTAACATGCACTATAGCATACAGAACTGCCCAGAAATAACCGAACAAAAACCGCGGTTAAACCCTAATTCCACGCGCTAAGTTTTCAAGCGAAATGCGAGATATTTCGCCTGCTTCTTTTGAATTGTGAGCAATGTACCAGAAATAATTATTCAAGTGGTCGAAATTCAAAGGAAAAAGGCGAAATGTTTCGCATTTCGCGGAGAAAAAGCGCCCGTGGAATTAGGCCCTTCAAGAATAATAAGGTAACACGAACTTCAGCGAACTAGCTATATACGTTTGAGAAACCTTCTGCCCTACATAACTATCAATTATTTCTAATTATACATACGTATATAAAAAAAATATATAGCTAAACTACACATGTGTAGTAAAATATCAAAATATATATATACATATATACATTATCTTCTCGTCGCGTGCGCAGAACTGACAGGTGCAATATTTGAGATGCACCCTGTCGTTCAGAGTCATGTTCAAATCACTTAAAACAAAAGAAGTTTGTTCAACAAAATTTGTTGAATAACAAAGCCAAACAAGCATTATTATTTTATTCTTCAAGCACTTATCTTTTCATGTTTAAAATATATAGGATATGATCAAATTTCAGTTTAAACTGAAGACCACAAGAATTCCGTGCTATATTTTTTCTCTGTAAAAGGCTAAAACGCAATAACTATATAGCTACAAAAAAATACATATCTTCCAACTTTTTGCATTAGCTACTTAGAAATAAAAAAACTGCAGCGTTTTGGAATTTGAAACAGGCGTGAACTTTAACTCGTCTGTGTTCTTATTAATCTGAGTGAAGAGAATAACGCAAAATTCATGCCGTCTTTCGACTTTTGAGCGCGGGGAATCCTGTTTATATGCAGCGAGTCATCCCGCCTATAGCCCAATCTCGAATCCATCAGGAGAAGATCGCGGGCTCTGGTTTCGAGATTGCGCCTAGCCGGGATAACTCGCTCAATAAAAACAGGCTCTAACTACCTTGTTCCCCCGTTGGGCAAAAAACTCGGAGTCGGAGAGACAACGATTGTTAAGCGCTCTGCATGTGCATGCAGTGTTGGCAGAATATGTTATTTAAAAAAACGTATTGATATTCTATTCCTTTATTTAAACCGGCAGGTAATGTCAACAATCATGTTCATGCATGACGACATGAAGAATCAATAGCTGAAGAAGCTGATGAAGAAATGGTTCTTCCAGATGAGTCAAAAGGCAAAGATGAGTTACGTTGAGGATAGGAAAACAAGTATTTATAAAAAGCTGCATATTGATGATTTGATGAGCTACCCTATAGATGAGGACACATGCAGCATTATACTCTAATATTCCGTCTCCAGAAGGAACTGGGAAAATTTTGTCGAAAGAAACAATGCATGCATGCTTTTACTCCAGAAGATCGAAGCTTTGAAGGCTGTTATACAGGAAACTTCTACAACAAGACTTTAATTCTTTAGGATTAGCTATATACGCGATGTTATTGCAGAAAATAAAGAATAAAAGGATTAGACACAGAAGTTATAAATAACATAAATCAAACGGTTCAATATGGTCTGACTGAGGATTTGTTAAAGTAGACATTAGAAATACAACTTTATAGTGTATAACATCTGCGGTATACACAAAAGTAAAATCTAGATTGACACGAAAACAAACTTGTTTGTTATCGTTTTATTTATCCAATTTCGAACGCCAACGGTCAGCCAATATGACAATAAAACATTGATCATTATACATGGACAATTCACGAAAAATTCACGGGCATATGAATTAAGCCTAGTAAAAGTGACATGCTTTCCTGGGAAGCAAAAGAATCACTATATGCAGCAAGATAAGACACTTTAGGAGTAGAAAATACGCTCCGAACATTGAACTACAAGTCTAGGCCGGCATAAAGTACATACATGAAGTAATACGGATATAATTATAGACATTCAATTTCACTTTTGAACCCGTTTTTTTCTGTACAAAACTAGTATTCACGTGCTATGCGACAACTGCGTGTGCCGAAAACGCATCAGTTGTGAAACGCCGGTTTTAACCAGTTTAATTCTTGCGAAAACTTCACGAGTTTTACGCGGAACGTTTGTAATTTAGCAAAATTGCTGCATATATAGTTTATGATAGTGGAGTTAAAACACATACGGTTTGTTTATACTCCCCCTCCAAGTAAGCTTCTAGCTACGGTCCTTGGGTCTCACTCTGTCTTTAGCTTTGTTTTTGATAAAGAGTATTATGTTTTGTTTATATTCAAAATCTACTGGCACTTAAAAAAATTTTAAATTTTACCCATAATATAAATAACAGTAGTATATAGATAGGGTTCTAAGACGGGCGATGCAGGCGGTGCACGAAGCACCGCCCATTACGGGTGTGGATTATTAATGCTGGCAGGACACGCTTCAGTTTATAAATTATGCAGTTCAAATTTATGTTTTTTTTATGTGTCATATGACAGCTTTCGGAGAAATCGCCACGACGATAGATGTAAAATTTGGAAAAAACGAATGCAAGTTTACTTCAATTTACCATAGTAGCCATATTCCATATATCTGGATCAACATTTACTGAAGGTACGTTTGGTACTTGTCGATCTTTCAGTTCTTTCTACCTAGCATTAAAGCACGAAGTCGAAGATTTGATTTCACGAGATGTAGAGTCCTACTAATTACCGAACAGCAACCGACAACAACCGTCAACAAACTTATATAAATTACCGACAACAAACTCGTTATCATCAAAACGATGAAATAGTCGTTTGTGTGTTGAGAGACTGAGACTGATAAAAAAGAGATATAAGAGACAGGAGAAAGTAAAAAAATTACGATTTAAGTGAGTTCACGACCACGACTATGTAGTACTGAGATTAAGTCAAGTTTATAATTAAACGCTTACATAAAGGATTGTGTGACTATATATGTTATTCTAACTCTAAGATATAGGCATATAGCTACGGGGGAATTCGAGTGAATATTTACGACACATTCTCTTCGACGTTTATACAATATAATATTATTACGAATTCCCGTCATTATCATTCATGAGTTCAAGACATTACGACTGCATGGATAGAACTATATACAATGCCTATTGCTAATGTCTATGGTGTCATTCTATGATCCTTTTTCAACACTGATCTTTGAGATTTGAAGGTGTAGCATACCAATTTTTAGATTTCTGAGAGGGAAAGATGAATTTTATTCCAAAAAAGCTGTCTTAACAAAAGAAAAACTTTTATGTCAATTATTTTACAATTGTAATTCGTTGACTAACATTCAATAGGATAACAGTTCGTCCTATTCATCTAAACCCGCACGGCCACCAGTAATTTTGATTTTTGACGGGAAAATGTTGTGCAACTTGCAACGGTTTAGGTTAAATGGCATTAAAGGAAAAAATACTCTTAGTAAATGCAATACGTCCTTTTCAATTTCCGCAGAACAATGAGTGGAGCGAATAAAGGAGTTAATAATAGTCGTGCGCAAGTTGAGATTCCAGAACCTTTGAAAAGTATACGTGAGCGTACAATTAGAAAACTCAGAGATAAAGCTTATACAGCCGATGTAATTTACCAGAGCTATGCTGGAAGAGACAGGAAAGCCAATGGCACTGGGGCAATTGGAGGAGTTGCGGCAGTGATAGGAGGTGTTCTAACACTGCCTACAGGTGGCCTTGCAGCACCGGCTTTGCTAACCGGACTTTCGCTTACATCAGGAGGGGCTTCGATTGCAGGTGGTTTCTGGTCAATAAAAAATGTGTGGGATCGTGGAATGGAGCTTGAAAACTTGAACAAAAGGATTTCGGCTGTTTTGCGCGAAGATGAGAGAGAAGTATCGGAAATGTTTGAGGAGATCCTTCATAGGCGCAGTGTACGTGATGGAAGTGTACTCGAACCAGCACAAGTTGCTCGTGAAATGCATGCAGCTGCTGATGGTCTTGATGCCGTTGGACTGAATAGCAATATTTTGAAGGAAATGATAAATCGGATTCCATCAGTGATCAAAATTATTTCGCATGGAGGATTCCCGATATTATCAGGTGTGGCAGTGGTATGCATCCGATATGCTATTGCAAGGCCCATCAAGACTACTGTTAAGGAGGTTGTTGAAGAAGTGGCAGGACGTGCAACAAAAAAAATTGCTACGGAAGCTACAGAAGAAGGAGCAAAAGTTTCGGCAACACAACTAATAAAGAATGGAGCAAAAACAGGTACAAAAACAGCCTTGAAAGTTGCTGGAACCGTGACCATGGCGCTTGGAATCATCACTACTCTGTGGGAAGGATACAACATGTATCAAAATCACTGTGCCACCAAAGAAGAATCTCAACATGGAAGAGAACTTCGCTGCCTGGCAAATAAATTAGAAATAAGTTTAAAAACAGGCAAGATACCATACTAAACTTTAAAGCTGGGGACGATGGAACAAGGTGGTTGCTGTGTTTAGCCACATTAATAATTATTTTGGCAATTTGGTAGTTTTATAGGAAAAGAAACGTTTTATCATTTAAAAAAGCAGGCACAGCTGAGCATTTTGTTAAGACCGAGGTTAAATGGAACAAATGAGTACAAAGAATATTAAAGAAAGCATGCATATATATATTACCCATATTAATAATATAAAAAAACAATATAAAGTTAATATCTTATTTCTGTTGAGAGGTCCTTTAGAGTTTAGATATAAACTTATCTCTTAGGTTAGCCCGTAGTCTTTTAATCGTTAAACAACACTTGTTATTAGTATATGCTCCCTATAATGTTGATTGTTGACGTCATGCTCAAAGTTCAGCTAGCATCCACGCACTTGTCTAGATCTACGCGCCTAAAACGATCAGGTTGATGCAATATTGATATGAACATGCAGGATGGAACAATGTTGTGCTGAGTTACAACGTTATTCAGAGTTGTTATCAACATTGAACAATATTGTTACATGCTGATAAATGTATACAGCAGACTTAGAGTTTTTAGCCGTGTATTATATATAAGGAAGCTGTAAATCCATGTAAGCTGCATTAGTTACAACAAAATTAATACAACACATTTTAAGTTCGTTTTCACATTAAAGTATATCAAACCAAAGTGCGTGAATATTGTAAAAGCTATGCGAAAAATATGAGAAGAAACACGAAAGGAAGCTGCGTAATTTCTCTTTACCTAAAACATTAAACATTGTTTCCCGCCAATGTTTCTCAGTGTTTTCCAAGTTGGGAAAACACCAGGAAACATTATGTTTCCGCAAGAAAAACCGCAATTAAGAAACATTTTCTGTTAGTTTCTGAATTTGATAGGAAACATTTTACTTCTGTAACAATGTTTCCATGGGTGGGCAAACAGGGTAACATTTGGGGAAACATTACGAATCAATGTTTCTGCAAGACCGCAACAATGTTTACTAGTTTGCCCAGGGCTTAGGACAGTCATGTGCATGATATTTGTTTTGAACACCGCCACTTGACTGTATGTATGAATACTTATACTCAGGCCGTTTAATGTTTAAAACAATTTCTTTTTGCAAAACATTTTGACATAAAGTTCTTAAGCATATTGCCCAAAATTCATAAGTTCCTCTAGTTTGAAGCGCTCCATGACGTGTTCCTTAGACACTTCCCAAAATTGCTTGAGTGCACACAAAACAATAGCTTGGAAACGAGGCGGGCAATGTAATCAATCTATTGTTAGTGGGCTGGTTATCGAATGGGCGTACAACACTGACCTTCCTGACCCTAATGCGAAGTGAACGAACAAAATTCAAAATAAATGCGAAGAAAATTAGCAAGAAAAGCTGCGTATATCTGCATGTATAACGTTATCTATCGCTCCGCAAAAATACACCCGGGTATGTCTTCGCAGACACGCAACGCTTATGTGTAAAGCTGGCCTTATGTCTCGCTGGATCGTCGAAAGCTACTATAAAACGAATAAATTAAAATTTACTGCAAATAAATTGCCGGGTGATGCGCCTTCCAGCTATGGCCCTCACTATAATTAAAATCAACCAAAAAGCATTTTCTTTGCCGGATGAAAATCTTTGCAGCGAGCTTGAGAGTTAAATAAACCCCCCCCCCGATATAAAATATGTTCAACCCCGGATCCCCCCTGCCACTATTACCGTCATGCTATACGCCGAAGGGAAATTTTGATTTTTGCACACCCATTTGTGAATCAGGCTCCTCCCTGCGGCAGCAATCGGTACATATTAATACAGGTGCAAAATCGACATGCAAACCATATTAATATAATAATTGATATACAAATTTATATAGTCATATAGACATACATCACTGGATGCAAAAAAATGTTGAGTTAAAAAATAGCAAATCATCGACTATAATATCCCTCGATCGTGTTGTTGCCGCGTGGAATTCGAAAAATATAATTGGACTTATATTTATATAAGCACGGTCTTTGCCAAGAGAATTTCAGTATGATATCATTGATTGTTCGTATGATTTCTCAACAAGCGTAGAATCCACCATCGTGTTTTCTTGAGTATCCACGGTTTGTTGCTGCGCTGTGATGACTTTCTGTAATTATAAATGACGAAACAAGAAATAAAATCAACTGTTGAATTTTGCCCCTACGAGTACGCCTAGTCGCCTACGCCTACGGACGAGCGTCGAGCAATCATTTCCCTTAGTTTATTTGCATGCATGCATGACTTGTATACATACATGCAATACTGAAAAAGTAGAAAAACGGGCAAGTTTTTCTTGACATACATACATTTAAGGGGCCGGGTTTAGAAGCTTTCAGGGTAGCTTTCATTATTAATTTTGGAGAATTTTATTGCGAGAATAACAGACCAGTTAATTATACGGCATATATAGTTCATCCTGATTTAAAAAGATTCGTCAGTTTTTTTTACGGCATCCAACGCGAGAGTCACTGCAGTACGTCACAGACAGGCTGCATGTTCCTCCCACGTTTTAGATGAGTTCAGTGTCATTTACCGATCTTTCTTATCAGGATGATAAAGTTTTATTGTTAATGTTTAGTAAACTATTTAGCTAGCCTATACGGCTATAGTGTATAGTGCATCAAATTCATCGATGTTAAATATTCATTCACTTAAATTTCCTACCAATTGCTCCAGTAACTGAATGTACACTTTCTTTTTTGCTTGAGGAAGAGATTAACAGCGGAAGTTTGTTTAAATCTATCTTTGGTCCGGCTGGCGGAGGTCGATTTTTCAATATACGTCTAAAAACGAATATATTCTCGGTATCATTTACAGTTTTTGTCGTGATGCCTGATTGACAGTAAAAAGACAAAAACATACTGCCAGTACTTCGCAAAACGAAAATCTCGTTTTATTACTTACCCGTGCGCAAAATTTTTCGTTTCAGGTTGGACAAGAGTTTCTGCTTTTGAACTAAGGAACTCGCCATGATGATTGTATGTTGATTTTATCACAAAATCAAGACTATCATTGGGTGCCTGGATGATTAGTGGAGAAAAATTTTAAATTCCTTCACATAATCCAAAACTACAAGATATATACTCCATTCTTGAGTTTCTGCACATATTATTAATTCTTTAGTAATGTCTCTTTGCAATCAGCTGTACAATGTGCATGTAGGTTTATTTTTCATTTAATGTTAAAATGGCACATTCATATATTAGGGTTACCTGTGGATCAAAGTGCAAGACTTCACGCCGTTTACTGGACAATGTCTCAGTCCTAAACAAACGATTCCATTGATCTTGACCATTTGTCTTCTCATTAAATTTCATAGAGTGCTTGCAAGCCTGATATAAATAGTGTAACAATATGTATCTCATTTTTATATGGCATTATATAAGCTGTTTCAAGGGTACTAAGGTACATATGTAATGACTAGCAACTGCATCAACATACTACACCAACATCATAGGCTAAATATCACAAAAAATAATCTTTTATACACTTATCAAAAGACTATACCAGTAATGAGCTAGGATATTTTCAACCCCATGGTTATAGGGCTAGAAGCCTAGAGCAAGTTGTTCAAGAGCAGGTTCGCTACAAATTAAACTTTACCACCTAGTTGGATAGGTTTTCCCTGGTTTAATTATAGAGATTTCATTTTCCAAAGTTGTTCAAAAGCAAGTTCGCTACATGCAATCAAACTTTACCACCGAGTTGTATACGTTTTAGAGATTTCATTTTCCAAAGTCGTGAACAGAACAGCCATCAAAAACACAGAAACAAATACAGCAGGTTAAAATTTATCCCAAGGTTAACTCTAATTGGGCTTTGAACAACCAGCCCCAGGCTTATCATTATCCAGTTGCTATGGCTACAACAATGTAAGTCATCTCACTCACAGAACACAAAATTTAGGCTGCCTGACATATATATAAACAGAAAGCATGAAGGATCATTGGGTGAACTAACGTTGTGCTAATTATAATGAAAAGGTTTAAGGATTATAGATTGTTTATTGATAGCAGGGGGATAAAGTGAAGATAATATCAAGACTAATTGGAATTATGCAAAACTTCGTTTATTCTAAAATAGTTATTCACAGTTTGACTTCTATATATTGGCAAAATTATAGTGGCAAATTAGTTCCAAAAAACGTTCTAATTTACTAATTGGCACAAATTTATCGTTCGAAAATCGTTGATTGACAATATCCTATTTTGATTTTAATAATAAACTCACCTGTTTTTGATTTTCTTTTACAAAATTGTCGTCATTTTCTAAGCGAGGAAATGGGTACGGATTTCGTGGCATCCTTGCGAATTTCGTGCAAGTTTTGGGAGGATAGAATCACAATAACTTGCCGGAATCTCTGCACCACTGTTTTCATGCACCCGCTTGTTGTTTCTGGTTGCTATGGCTGCAAATATCATGACGTCACGCAAACTGACCTGTAGCGAACTGAACGGTCGCGCTCAAACACGTCCTATTTCGAATTCAAGAAATGATGAAAATATTGCTCAGTGACTAAACTTCGTGTCCCCACACTTTTCATTTCCTTGAAGATGTGTGCAACATACTTTGCAACGCAATGCTGAAATAGTTGTTCACCTTTGCGAGTCGAATTGCGGCAAACGTACATCTTAGACCGTAATCATGGAAGTAGTAGATATTTCTGACCCCTTAGTTTCCTTGTTTAGAATTTAATTTTGTGATTCCTTTCAGTCGAACCTGCTTTTGTAGCCTTTTCTGAACGTTTCACAAAGCATTTCCCAAGCCCGTAAGTCAAGATTAAAGAGGGCAACGTCAACCTCCACAAAGTCAAAGATGGTTAAAACAAACAACTTTACACGAAATATTGCAAAGAAACTTCTACCCCAATGTTAGCAAGTGAAACAGCACGTGAAATTATGCTATGAATCGTTGTAAACAGGTCGCAATTTAAATTATTCAATTATTTTCTTTGCTATAATGAATTTCATTATATTATTAGCCGTCTTTCTTTCCGTTCTTGTCCGAAATCTAAACGTTCAATAAACTTTCTTCGCCACTGGCCAACGACAATACATCGCCGCCTTATGTGAGGAAAGCATATCACACCACAAGTAATGACTAATGGTCTCAAAGTGCATTGTGTTGCCGTAATTGTGGCAAAACCTTTGTGCATTTCTTCCTGCAACAAAAATTTGCGAGGCTTTTTCGGCGGGTTTCTTACGTTTAAATTTTTATTTCTAACATGTGGCTGACGTAATGAATTAAAGATGATTGTGTAATTCTAAATATCCCAAGGTTGAGGTGGTTTTCCTTTAGCTGAAAATTTCTTATCCTTGATCTGATCTTCACGTATGAAATTATAAACACACACAGGACAACTGGTCGGGTACAGTTCACTGCGCTGATGATATTTCAATACAAGATGCTCGGTTAACTGAGGCAGTGCTTTAGGCAGCTCGCTCATCCGTTGCTCAAACTCAGGCAGGATCAGGTCCATGAAATGCGCAGAAGCAAAACTATGTTCGCACGTGAACACGACCACGCTACCTCGTGGCACACGCGTGGCTTCGCTCTGTTGTTCTAAATTCAAAGATGCCGCAACAAGCGTCGATCCTGCAGTAGAAGACAGCGAAATAGTGGTCATTTTTTCTAGATTGCGTTTGAAATTATCTATAATTTCCTGCCAAAGTTTTTCTTGCGTAATTTTGCCCGATTTTCGGTTCTGCTCTTGCAATGCGACCTCGGATGTGTCTGGGGGTTCCTGTGGCATGAATGACGTATATCGAGGAGGAGTGCTACCCATAGTCCTTGTTGTCAGGAGCAAATCCAAATCTTTGCTAAATATATTTCGCCGTGGGCATTCTGTCCTCAACTGTTCCACGGTAGCTTCAGTGACACGAAATAGAAACCCAGGACTAAACTCCCGCCGTAGATATGAATATCGATTCTCATCCTTTTCACCGATTGCTTTATTGCATTGTCTTTCGCGTATTGAATTATCTCTACAACCAAAAGGATTGCTTTGTTAAAACTACGTGTCTAAAAACACTAGATTTGCATGGGTAATTATACAAGCTCTTGTACACAATACGGGATACATATTATGTATAATTAATGCACTATATCTAAAAAACTAACCATGAATTACAGCAGGTAAAGGCCCCGTTACACGGTGCAATTTTTCTTGCAACTTGCATTGCAATTCTACTTCTAAGAGATGTAAATTAGTAAAGAGTCTGGCAGAAGAAAAGTGCATGAAGTGTAATAAACAAAAGTTTCGTTGTCCCCAAATATGCATCTCTCAAAAGTATAATTGCATTGCAAGTTGCAAGAAAAATTGCACCGTGTAACAGGGCCTTAAGATTAAATCTAAACATTAGATTTTCACAACTCACCTTAGAACCAAAAGAGAAATAGGGCACGCCAGAAAATCCATGTGTGAATCCAACAATGATTCTAGTACTGATTGATCGAAAATATCATCTTTCCAAAACCGTAAAATCTAGGAAAAATATTTCTTTATGTGGCAAAAGTACGGTACCCAAAGAGCCATTTTAATTCGCGATATTATGGATCAGTTAGATTTATGATTGCGTTAAAATTGTGTAGAACAAGTACATAGTTGTTAGTTGTACATCATTTCGGGTAGATTTTACTGAATATAAGATGACCAAATATGTACCTAAATCAAATATAAATTACCTCATTGACAAGTAACACAGCTTGTTGAATTGGAAAATAATCCTCTGAGCAAGTGTTTGATAAATTCCTAAAACGAAGTAATCTACAATATTTGTTTGTCGCGTACAATAACATTTCTGGACTTGTAAGATTGAAAGAGTTAAGTGACCTGACTCCACACCATGTATTTCTGGAGTGAAGATATATTTTTTTTTGCGATGATAGATATTGACGTCCATTTTTATTCCACTGATTTATCCCCATATTATAAATATTGACGGCAGTTGCTTTTATAAGCAAATAATGCATGTTTTAGAATGTGTGGCTTACAGCTCTTACCTAACAGCATCAGCGATGACAGTTACAGTCAGTTTTTCTAGCTCATTGAGAACGTCAGTTTTAACCAGACCCCTAGCCTTCATCGTGCCAAACCAATTAGATAAAGACTTTAGACGATAGCTGAGGAATATAGCCCAATTCTCTTGTATTTTGTAAATCACAGAGGACGAAAATGTGTCATTGGAATCATTGCAATGTCTAAAATAAGCAGAATAGATAACATTTGATTACTCAGAGATTGAAAATAGATAAATTGAATACGTCATGCATAATGCATTTAAATTATCATAAACACTAATTCAAGAAAACTCGGTTTAACGTTTCAGATATACCTCAAAATATCCCCATCATTATAAAAACCCCACAATTGATACAGCGCTGTCGCCAAAGACTCGCGGCTGTAGGGAATGGTGCCTAATGTAAAATAACAGTTATATTACACAGTAATACATTTCAAACTCTGTATGCAACATGGCATACTTTGTTACTTACAAAAGAAAACCTACCAATAGAAGATAACTCTGACAGGTCTTTTTCGAATTCAAGTTCACCTAATTTGGAATCTTCCAATGACTTTAAAAAAAAAATAAATATGGGTGGTCATTGAGTCCAAATATCAAAAACGTATGAGGGAAGAGGAGGGTCGGGAGAAAGAAATAAATATACAGAGAGCTATCCCATGCATGCAGTAAGTATTAAAATACTGTTTTGATTGTGCTGCAGAAGTTCTCGTACTTCAGCTGAATTGTTCCATTTATCCGATAGTTTACTGATTGGAATGTTCTTCAACGATGTTGGTATGGTAATATCCTTCAATTTTGGAATTTCTAAACCAAGCTAGTAGAGAACACGGAACGTAAATCGTTAAATTGGTCACAAATGCGACACCTAGCGGAGCCTGTACCGGTCGATACAATAGGACGCAGCAATCAAGTCTCTAGAAATCATTTACTCCTAGCAAAATAGATTGAAATGGCCAAACCTGTCCACTATCCCCTCTTCCCCAGACAAATGTTTGTCCTTGTGCGGTGACAGTCACACAATGTGCTGCTCCAGCTCCAACAGAAATCACTTCGTGAGTTAGTAACTCTTGAACGAGCACTGGACTTGTCTGAAATAACAAAAGGACGTTACTAAAGGCCCTCTTACACGTTGCAATCTGCCTTGCAACTTGCAACTATTAAGGCTGTTTTTAAGGCCATGCTTCCATGTGGCAAACGCATCATCAATTTCCTTATTAATCACTGTCGTTAATAAGTTTGAAGAAGGTTATATATTTTATAGGTTGTGGAAGTGTAAAATCATAAATCTAAAAAACTTACGCGTTCAGTTTTGTTGCCTAATCCCAGTTGTCCGTGATCATTCTGTCCCATCGTGTAAACATTACCACTTTCCGTGAGAAATATTGCGTGGTTATTGCCGCAACATATCTAGATAATACGTAAATGTTGTATCACGTTCTTACAATAAAGCCCCGGCTACACGGGCGATTTTTGACGTGGTTTTTCTTCTCTTGGTGTATGCTATTAAGTAAATTTAACAGAGTAGGTTACTTTACTTCGCCCAGCTTATACAACTGCGTATACAATTCACACAATAACATACGCTAGAAGGACAAAATCGCCGATGAAACATCAACGACAACATTATCGAAATACCTGGACAATCGGGGAGAATATTTTCATTTGAACTTCTACAGGAACAAGTTGATGCGTTAATTCCTTTCGTTGAACATTCCTGTTGTCCATTTTTTGAAAGTAGTCTTTCTAAAAAAATTGTTTGATAGAAAATAATCGTCACTTGCCGTTGGTCAAGGAGCTAATCTAAAAAATGATAAAATCGCGCCAGGAATTTTTTTATCTTCTTATGCGCTCGCAGGCAAGCGAGACATAATTTGGAAATTTTTTTGGAATCACTCACTGCTTGCCGTATCAATTGTGCATTTCTTCCCCACTTGTAAAATTTTCGATCTAAAGTGACCACCATCTAAACAAAATCACAAAAGGATGAAGTAAGACATTAAGGACTGAAAAAAAATAGTTTCCTACGAAACATGACCCAAACTGGCGTCCGCTGATTATTTTTTTAATCAAACTTACCGTTTCAAACGAACCACAGCACAGTAACTGCACTTTTTCATGAGCGATTCCTTCAACCAGTTTAGGTTTCGACTGTTTCTTCACTGGCCCCAATCCAAGCTGACCAAACACACCTATATTGTCACAAAGATAAACAATATTATGCCAAATATAGCAACTACACTCAATCCACAACCACCCCCCTAAACATAAACTAGAGCATACAGAGTATACCCCTCGATTGGCTGTATGGCAAATTAGCAGTAAAAGTACATCATTGTATTTATTCGGTTCTTTGTATTCAAACTCCGTTTGTGAACATAACCTAATGATATACATGCAACTATAACTGGCACCAAGGTTAATGTGATGATAGCATAGATTTAGACGTAATCAATGCAAAATGTTTTAGAACGTACCTCCACCGAAGGTATACACCTTTCCCTAGAAGAAAAATTATATTTATATAATTGAGTATTGTACGAACATTATAGTCCGCAGTTTACAAATCCTTGATATCCACTTACCTCAGACGTGAGGATAGCAGTGTGTGAATACCCAGCAGCCAGCCGTATGACACTACAGCGATCTAACGACGAAACTCGTACTGGAACAAGATAATCTTCCACATTGCCAAATCCCAATTGACCATGAACACCCCAGCCCCAGGACCACACACCGCGGTCAGCGGACAACGCCAAGGAATGGTAGTAGCCACACGTAAGTGCGATGCAATCTTTGTCTGCAAGCTCTGTGACGAACACTGGACGGGTCTGTTTGTTGGTGTTGCCTAAACCGAGCTAAAAGGATTCCCATCGATTTTTTAATGAATTTCATCACTGGGCACAAGTTTGAAAACTGTACTAACCTGGCCATAATCTGACGAACCCCACGCATAAACCTAGCCCGAAATAAAAACATAACAACATTTTTTAGCAAATCCAGTTTATAATCGATTAATTGCGTGTTCGTTTTTTAGATAGCTTGATCGTTAGAAGTAAACTTACTCCTTGTTTAGTCAAGGCTAAGGTGTGCTCCCTTCCACAAGCAACAGATCGCACTTTGATTCTGAAAGGAATTAAATAACTTTTCAAACTTTCACACCATGATTTAACCTAAGGAGTCAAATCCAGGGTCTTAAACAGGACACTTGACATGACTTGATTAAAATTAATTAAAAGAAAATAATTGTAAATATACTTTTGAATGTGTAGAAGCTCAACACGAAAAGGAGCCGATTTGCCTTCTTCTTCAATCAGATCTCCATGACCTAGCCTGGTAAAGGAAATAGTAAATATCTAATAAAGACATATCTATTCACTATTTATATATAGCGTGTATTTACATGTGCATCCTGACCAATGGTTGCTCTACTTAGTGTCTCCGACCATGCAGCCCTGTTGTACGAAAACATTTAACCCACAAATTTGCAGTTCCTGCAACGAACAACTGGAACTGGTCAAGATGAAATGTCACGAGTACACCAGTATGCATGTAATGTTAGATGTGCATGAATGGGAAGGTTCCGAATTTTCTCGACAGCCTACCTTCCATTACATGATTTTCCCCAAGTGTAAACATCACCAGTGTCTGTTACAAGTGCCGAATGCTCCTGACCACAAGATAACGTCACATATTCGGGAAGAACACCGCCTCGTAAAATGCTCTCTTCCTGTTCATTAAAAACGAAAACAGGCGAATTTTAGTTCAGGCTAACTGCAGCTATCCTTAAGATACGGCAACAATAAAACCATGTAAAGATGCATCCTTCTTAATAATATATTTATCGGTTGATATAAATATATCTAAAATAGTCAGTCAAACTGAGTACATTTAGCTATGCAATAGTAAGCTATGTGCAAACACTGACCAGTTGTTTTGATTTCGTCTTTTCTTCACAGTTGTCAGCAATTAATAATCTAAAATAAAAAATTATTTGTCAAGAAAATGATGCATGACCTATTTCTTGCTACAGACCTTACTTAATAAACTTCATTTGCAGACAGAGAATGCATGCCTCTGATTGGCCAATGCACCCAGTTCAGAAAGCCAATCAGAAACACGTCTAGTTCGCAGGACTACGTCAACGTTCCAACTTTTCATAAAGGTCCATGGTAACAACTGGGAAAATATACTTACAAGTCAGGGAAAGTGTTGAAGTGTCTTTTTGAGTTCAAGACCACAAGTGTTGCAAGGAATAGCTCCAGTAGATCCGAAATTGCTGAGCTGTTTGTTTCACGAGTGAAACTAAGATAGCTGTCCAGTGATGTTAGAGATGCACCGGAATGAACCCTTCAAAGAACACAGAGATATTTGCGTTCATACCATCAAGTTCACTGGCAATTGCTGTACAGATATACGGAGTCAACCCAAACTAGACTAACCCTATATATAAGTCTATTTATACATGATTCATATTAGATAGATCTTTGTTCAAATAGAGACGCCAAGCTCTTTCTTCATGGGAACCAAATAATGCATTTATCGACTTTCACAAACCTTTGTCTTCTCGGAGTATTAGAGAATTTCATGAGCAAAGTCTTTGCTGCAGGTCTGGAAGGATCGAAGAGCCTGGCAATGCGTAACAACGTGGACTCATTAAGAACAGGCAGCAATGACTTCACATAGTTCAGGTGAGGAAGAATCGATTCAGGCTATAAAGGACAAACAGCTTTATGACGAACCATGGGACAATTTTTAAATTGAGGGAGGCGAAGAAAAAGCTTCCTTTGGGGGAACCCTATCCCTAAGAAAATGTTGGCGACTTTATCACGTCAGAGACAACGAAAGAAAGTGCTAAGAATACCGGAGCTGACCGGTACTGGGATCCTAAATAAATACCTTGGCCAATAAAAGTTGGATTGCATCCTCAGGGGACATACATCGTAAAAAAGCACCTGAAGGAAATGGCAAAAAAGAGACTGTTGACAACAGAAATTGTTTCCAAACTTGCAGGAAAGAAATGACTGGTAATATTTATTACTGTACAGTATATACCAGTCCATGCAGTCAATATGCCTGTCTTTCTTTGCTGTATACACATTAGATTTTCATGCAGATTTTTATGTACAATCTGATAAAATTCATTACAGGGTTATTTTAAACCTCAGGTGACTTTCTAGTGAATTCGGTAGGAAAAATACTCGTACTTTTGGAACCCACTAACTGATGTTAGCATCTCACCATTACAACTTTGACATACTATGTCAGCAAATCCCTTGGCAATGAGAAACTCTTGAGTCGACTTCTTGAGATGAAAATGCCCTTTTTCCGCAAGGACCTCAAGACCTTGTTTCACTAACCCACGTGCCTAAGCAAGATTTTAAGAATGAGATGAGTAAACAAAGTAAACTAAATTTCCCAGCTATGGTTTGTATATGTACAGTGAGACCGTGAGTGTACTCACAGACCTTAGCAACCTGGAACAAATACTCTTCCAGTCCAAAAGATGCAAGCAGGTCCAGTGCGCTGTATTCGTCATAGTCGAAGTTGTCGTTGATGAACTGACTACAAAAGAAGGAATTATAATTTCATTAATATTCAAAATACATCTCAGTTACAAGAATTTGTTAGACTAGTGGGTAACAAATTTTCCTACCAAAACTTTTCTCTAAGCTTAACCATCTCTTCGCTATCGTCCGAGTCTTTTGCAAGGATCTAAAATATGCCCAACTAGAGTTAGATCATCCAGCAACTATTGTAAATTTGCCTTCTTTAAAGTTTACAAAAATGGAAGGCATAAGTTGGGAAATATCACAGAATATTGATAAATGATGGCATTTTATACATTCAGTATTGAATTATTACGTTTTTAAACAGTTATATGCAAATTACAGACCTGCTGAACAAAACACTTCATAGCCATATTTGCCAGTTGTTTTCTATCACCAGAGGAAACGTCAGCAGGTTTCTCGAGAATCTAAACGCGATCAGTGCATTTGAACAATTAATGTAAACCGTTGTCATAGCAATATCTACGTGTATGTTGGATAAAATTTGGAATGTACTCATATCATTGTGTGTTTTTCACAAAAATCCCAATAGTTTCATAACTCGCCTCTTGTATATACGTAATAACGTCAGCCATTCCAGCATGTTGAGCAAATTTCTTTACTCTACGACTGTGCCGAGACTGCAAAAAATATTTGAACTGCTAAGGTATAAAGGAACCGGAACATTGTATAATGCCCAGGATTAAAATCTTTCAGATAGCCATATAGACGTCAGTTGTGGTGGGATGGAAGCTGTGCGCTTATGCACAATAAGACGTTACCCATATCCGAATAGTCCGAACTTTGTGATATTGTTAAGAGAGCGACCTCGGATATTTTTACCTTAGAAGCTTGGTAAAGTTCCAGCGCATGCTGAAGTTGTCCGGCATCCATTGCAATGTCTCCAGCTTGCTAGAGAATGAAACGAATGATATTAAAGCCTGATTCTTATCGATCTTCGACAGTCGGCGATGTATTTTTGGTGCTCGGTGACGAAAAAAATTTATTCAAATAACAAACACTTCAACCGACGACAGCTATCGCCGACTGTCAGTGACCAATGAGAATCACGTTTGTTTTAGAAACTCGTGCCCAGATCCAAACAAACAAACGCGAACGATGTATTATCTTTGGAGTGTAAATTATTAGATGACGTAATATTCACACCCAGTGTACACTATTGTACCTCATATAATGTATTGACGTCCAATCCTGTGATAATGGCCAATCTATCAGCAGCGACGGTATCAACATTATTCACAGCCAGTTCAATAAATAGTTCTTCAGGCGATACCCTAGTATGAAAGAAACCAAGTTTGCGAACGAAGTGAATTTATCCTGTAGTTATTTGACACACCGCACTGTTTGTTTTAAATACTGCTGAAACTGCAAATTTTCAGTGAAACAATGCAGACTAGGTAAATTAGACCAATTAAAAAAATTGAAAAAAGAAGTACACTACGATTTTATGGAACATTTGGTGTCACAAAGATTTGTGGCAACAAAATTTTAAATTTTAGGTTTTCCTTCCTGACCTTGGTCTGATCTCATATACAGCAGCTGTAGTGATAACAAGGCACCCATCAACCGGGTGTGATTGCGGGTGGACGGCATGCTTTGTTTTCGCCAATATGGCGTAAGTCGTTAGACGATAAATAGCCAGCACTGTCTCGCCAGGGGGGAGCGTGAATGCCTGAATACAACTTGACGCCTGCGGATAAATTATGATATTAGGATGGTAATGTCTGAATTTCAGCAAGACTTGATTCGTTCAAAAAGTAGTATATAGACAGTACCTTTGTTTTGGCATTCGTGCCAGGTAATCCGGTCTCAGCCAATTGACTGGAAAGAATGTTAATATGAGTCTGCAAGAAATGCAATCAGTCAGTTAACAAAATCACATTTAAATGATGAAGAACTAAACTCGTGTCCGTGAGAGGCAGCCCAACTGGGAGAGCGCAAAGGTCGTAAGAGCCTTTTCGTGTTAATGTCGAAAATTAAAATGTGGTGAAACCCTAATATGTTTTGCTTAACAACATTTTTGGCTATCTTCGTCACATCTTGTGGCCTTTTTTATTTAACGTCTGCCTGTCTACATTCTGGAATAGAATGGTTTCATAGAAGAGCTGAAGACTAAAGTTGATCTTCTCTCCAAGTACGGCAGTTAGCAATCATTTCATTGTATAGTGCTCTAAAGACACATTTAGTACATCAAACATCAAGTATAATACCTGTTCCTCGTTTCCACAGACAGTAAACAACAATCTATCAGTCAATAAAACCTCTCTTGTGAGTTCGTTTAAATCATAGACAAACATTGGTACGTTCTCGCGATCAACATCAAACACCTGACAAAGAGACAAACAAAACATTGAAAGAATAGTAATTTAACCTGTAATTCCCTTAGGTCAATCGATTTCGCATTCAAATGTCTGTAATGAATTACCTTGTATATTTTGTTGGAAGAATTGAGCAAGGCAAGGAAAAACTGGTTCCTGGCGTATTGAATTGACAGTTGAACGTTCTCATTCTCGTTCTAGATAAAATCAATTCGATACCTATTTCATTTTTAATAATAATGCCGTCAATTTTGCTGCTGTGTGTTAGTATTTTTGTAGACTTCACTGGTTGCTGTTGCTATCGTCGTTATTGCTGTTATTGTGGTTATTATTGTTGTCATAATTATTGTTGCCTTTATTGTTCCTATTGTTGCCACTACGCCTGGTGTTGTTGTTACTTATGCCAATGTGGGTGATTTTCTGGTGACATTGCTGTTTCTTCAGGCTTCATATTTTGCATGTAACAAAATAGAATAGCATGCAGCGTCATGTGTGTGACCAGAGAATCACCAATGTCATTGTTGCTGTTTTCGCCACTGTCTCTGTTAACAATGTCATTTCATATGACCGCGAGCCCATAGACAGAACGCCTTTGTTAGAATATTTCGGGCTCGAACCGACAACCAACCTGATAGCGTATCTGTTCCATCTGAAATGACGAGCTGTCCTGTTGTGATACCAGCAAGGAATGTAACGGTATAGATTGTTCATGAAGCATTTCGTATCCCAGTCCACCTTCTGGCATAAAAACAGTGTCATGTCTTGAAGGTATTTGAAGAGAGTAACTTTCCAATAGTAACTTCCATGTTTTCTCACACGTCTGGATCTGGTGGAAACAATTACAATTTTGTTCCTTTTTATTTTAATATAACGACATTCAAGTTTAAGATGAATTCCACGAATGCTAGAGTTTAGGTTAGTGGTTCTAAAGGGCAGCGTTTATACTGTGGCGGATTTGCTCGATAGGAGATCTTGCCGTTGAAGTATGTACCCTGGTACAACGTTAAATGCTATCAAATGTTTGGTGAATCCATTAGTACGCTTTAAAATCCTTACAATCTTGTAGTACCTACAAATTTTATCAACTCGGATGGCAACATGTAACTGACGATATCGGATACTGCATGGGTGAAGGCCTTAGAAGTGAGAAATAGATACTCGCCAATAAATAGCAAGTGCCATGAACTCTATCCTGTACGATGCTTAACGTCTTCACTGCACCCTCAACACTGGTTTGAAATATAATTTGACCAAACTTGTGAAGATCCACAAACACGATTTCGCCCAACTACCAAAGAAAAAAGTACAATCAGAGCGCCAAAATTGTGGTGGCGTCCTCATTTTAACTAACAACCTAACTTACTTCAGTGCCCAGTATACAAATATGCGTGTTTATCAGTGATTGTTCCCACCAAACCATACTTGTCACAACTCCTGTTTGTAAGGAAAGCATGATTGATTTGAGTTTGATTTTTCATATTCGTGAGGGCAGGGATAATGAGGGATTAGATAAGAATTATGAGGACATATTCGGGAGGCAGAGGCTCGGGAATATTTGGCATTTCAAAATAAATTTCAAAAAGGTGCCTGATATTAAAAAACTGTATTATATCTTCAGGTTCATTTTTCTACTACATCTAAGACACTTTGGGGTGAATGAAATTCATATTTTCCTTCGATTCATTTGTAGCATTAGCAGATATAATTAACTTCGCGATAAATTTCCTAACATTTGATAAGATCAGGGCCGTAGCTAGACCGCTTAATTGGGGGGGTGTATATTCATATACTCATGTTTATTTACCGGAAGAAATAGCGTACAAAAGAAATCAGTCGGGCATAAGATGAATTTATGAATATACACCCCCCCCCCCCCAATTAAGCTTCTAGCTACGGCCCTGGATAAGATAACAAGAATTCTTTAATTCAGGACAGGCTTTCGGGCAAAAAATTTGCTGGACACACACATCTTCGTACCACACAATGTCTATGTCGGTTTATTGTCAGGCTTGTTTACTGTTTTCTTTACTTCCATTTTCAGAAGTACATCCCGGCTTTCTATTTACTAGGACACATTAACCTTTCGCAAGGGCAGAGTGCGAACAAGAACACGCCATTTTTATGCCTGCGTGGGGGGATGCAGTTTATCTAGCGCCCAACTACAAGAAACAACTTCAAACAAGCTGCTTTCCTTGTCGGTTTCGTGTTAAACTACTTAGAAATATTTCTATGCTTAAATTATTTCAGCACCTTTCCTCTCGTGAGGTGGAAATTTAGTAAGATCATTGTTTTGCCAGTGAGGTGGACAGTCCACTTCTTCCGGTCCCTACAAACGTGGAGAATATGAAAATTAATATTGCGGTTAGATTATGAATTCGACCCTTCAAACATGCAGTTGGCATCCGAGTTATCATTCTAGTTCACATTGAGTTCACTGAGTTGGCTAGATGGGTCACTGATCTACATATTATAGCCCAATGAATGCATTTCCTTTGAGAAATATTCTTACCAGTATAAGAGCGAGGACTGGAAGGAGATAAAGATATTTGTCTTCACATGAACATAACAGCCACGAACCAGATGGATCAAGAGACAGACACCGGATGGATCTAACTGGACTCTATTTATTAAAATCAAATTTACTATTTTAATAAAAAAAATTTTGGTCGAGTTTTACAATGGGACGGACCCAATTTAAGGACTGTTTGACATTACCTGAAACCAAGGAATTTCCTTCAAGATTGCTTTTTCGTAAAGTTGATAATGACGAACAAGAAACGTTTCTTTAAAAAAATATGAAATTAAGTCATGCCTGATTTTAAGGCGTTCAAAAGAATGGGGAAAGAATTATCCCTTCGTTGTGTAAAAAAATTCTTATCCCCCGGTTTCTCCCCACCCTCTCTTTTTCATCCTTTTTTACGTTTTTATTTTTTGCTGTGAAAATTTGAACGATTTTATTTTCCAAGGCCAGGATATTTAACAATACTGAATAGGGATACTTATTATAGCAAGAGACTTCGGCGAGTGTTTTTTTACGCTTTTCTAAAGTCGAGCAATATCCCAAGTGCATCACGCTACCGGCTATCCTGCACGGAAACCATTTAGTGTTTGCTTTATAAAATAACTACAATGAAACCGACGGTCAAATTTATTCAATTAGTTAGCGGAAGTTTGAAATTCAAAGTTCTAAAGTAAAGTTCTAAAGTAAAGTTCTAAAGTAAAGAAAAGTAAGTTCTAAAGTGAATTCTAAACAGAGTTTCTGTAATTCTGTAGTTAGTTCACACCGTTGTTCCATTTTTTTTTTCTCTTGTCTATCGTTTACAACTTCACGTGTAAAATTGTCCGACATTTTAGAAAACTTGCGCGTAGCGGCATTGTAGACTTTTCTGTACGTCTAATATGTCCCCAAATAATTTTATCTTTTTATTTATTTGAATGCATTTTGATCAGTTCATTCTAACCTTTCTTGTTGCTCTTATTACGACACAACAAAATCAACAAGCACCTTTCCGAGTCTTCAAAACAGCTCCACAGCCTCACATAAGTAGTTCTATCCCGATCTAGATAAATTAATTCATTAGGTTGCCACTATATACACACATAGCAAGTTCAACCAGGGTGCTTATATATATATATATATATATATATATATATATATATATATATATATATATACATATATATATATATATATATATATATATATATATATATATATATATCAAAGAACTGTGAATCTAACATTGAATCAAGAAGCATTAACAACTACCAAACTCTGGCACAGAGAAGTGGCTGATAAGCATACATAGGGCCTAGGTGAAGGAGGTCAGGAGAAGGCAGATGATATTTTTCCCAAAGTACCTATCTTCAATTTAAAGACCCCTCACCCCTCTCCGACTCCATTGGTTAACTCCATGCTTTTGTCACCACATATCGGCATGAAGATGCCATGCTAACTAAAATTTGGAGACAGAAGCATGGTCTGGAAGGGCAAGGAAATTCCTTAAATTTAAATAAGCTCATCCAAAATAGTCATGAATGATGGAACAACATGAAGGCAAGGAAGACAGATTTCCCTTCCAAGCGAAAGGGAAGCATCATGTTTTTGTAGAATCATGTTTCTTAACAATAACTAAGCCTTTTTTGTCCTTAGGGTAATCACCCTTTCCACACAATTCTTGCTAATGGTCTAAATTCCTATAGCTATAGTTGTAACATTACAATATTAATTACTTAATTGCTATTATTGTATAAGCTGTTCTTTCAATGTTTTGCCTGACTTTGTTGAAAGTTTCCAAACTCTCTCTATAATGTTGTAACTTTTTGATAATTCTTTAATTCAATATATCTTTGACCACTAAACATTAGCAGGTGGAGCAGATTGCAAAGGTTCAACAGTACCATGTAAACAGGCTGGTAGTGTGATTCCTGGGCCTAGACATTTTCTTTCTGTTGGGTTTGGTATTTTGTGTTATTGGTGATTAAGTTTTATCGTTAATGCTAAGACCTACAATACCCACACCTACAGCCGATAATAAAAATATATATATGCTCCAGCTACTACATATTTTAATTTAAGTTATTTCGTAAAACATTAAATACCTATGCAACTTTCCTTCAAAACAGGACGTACGCGAACGACATGTACTAGCTCGAACAACTCGCATTCTTTCAGACGCATATCTGGTATAATCGTCCCTGATTCCTTTTGCTTTCTAGTTCCGTCCATAACTACATGTAACCGTGATGTCACATGGTATAAAGAAGCAATTATCAAGCTACACCAGTGTATAAAATGTAAATACTATCAATTTGCCATTCGCTAAAAGTCGATACATAAGCACAGGTTTGTTATTAACTTTTTTTGGAGCACCATAAGTGATAAAAAGAGAGAATAGAAAGCATTTTACTCGAAAACTATCAGTCATCAAAAGTCAAAAAACTGTATGATTCGACCTACAGGCTACAGTGCCAGTGCCACTGTGAGTCTGTGCCACACTTTTGTTGTTCAGGGGGGAGCGCACGCATGGTAACATAGTACCTAGTTTCATATTTAAGTGTATTTCATTTTAATGAAAAATGTCAGGTAGAAAGGAATGGACCATTATGGACAAGAGAGAGTTTACGAGATTAAAATTGTTAGAAATAGGGGTGAAGCCTGGTTTTTATTTTAATAGTCATAATTATTGTGATTATGTCATGGTGGTAGATGACGACCGATTTGAATACAGAAAGACAAATTTACATCAATGAGTAAATCACTTGCTCACGCTAATCACGACTAAATGGGAACCAGACTTAAAGCACAGAATAGGGACTTGATGCATGCCGGTAATGTTTGGTCACGTTCGTTAAATATTTCACGTACGAACTTCATACATTTAGCTCAGACTGCTCAGTGTCATCAAAATTTGCAGCAATAGGAAAACATCCATCCCAACCTAGCTGAGTGGATGCAAAAGAGAAAATGGTACAGTACGAGAAAATGGTCGCCAATCCCAGCCATCAACTTTTCTATGGTTCAGACCGTTCAGTTGAAATATTTTATTAGTTTAATTATCCCAAGCCAGTGTAAACCAAGTCCTTTTCGTCACAGTATTGGGATAAAATATCGTCTACGCACTGCCAAGTTACATGTATTAATGGCAATCAACAATCACAACAATTTGATTTATATGGAGACGAAACAGCGGCGTAATTTTCAGCGATGAAACTTAATTTTCGAGCAAGGATGGTAACGTCAAAACAACTGATAATCAATACGTCCTCTCAAAGCAGGTTGACTAAAATTATAAAGACAAACAAAGTAGGTCAGTTTTCCAACTTTTTTAACTACCATATCGATAATCATTGAAAGTCAATTAAGTTACATCACTGAAATTTTGGAAAATAAGACGTGAAACCAACTGAGTTTAAAATAAATCTTCGCAAAAACTTGGTTTCAACTAAAACTGTAAAACATCACACTGAATTAACACTATGAAACTTACACGTAAACAATATGAAACTTGCACGAATAACAAACCTCGCACATGAAGACTAAAATTTTCACGTGAGCACTATGGATTTGCACGTGAACACTAAACGATTTTCACGCGAAATTAATTAGATGTTCACGTTAACACTGATATTTTGCACGTGAGCAAATAGTATTTTGCACACGATATTATGAATTTCTCATGTGATTAAAATCTTGCACGTTAACACTATGAATTTTGCACGTGATAAGAATTCCTATGGATGGGCTTGTTTCATTTGTTCCCACCACCACCCACGACCCATCATAGCTTTATCGTGTATTGGTGTATTCGCCAGCCCTAATCCAGGCATCATGTTGTATTTTGGTACAGCAGGATTTACACCCCCGCCCATCATCTGAGGAGTGTTCACCATATGACCTTTGCGTTGATTAAGATTAAGCGAGCCCATATTTGCAGGGGATGGTTCCATCATCATACCTCGACCATGAGGGGCGGACATAGTCCCAAAATGTGCTGGCATTTTCGCAAACATCTGGTTGGGATCCTGCATCGGCACTCGAGGATGCATCAATGGTGGCGGGTTCATTTCTCCGGGGTGGTTAATGCCGGTTTGTGATTGATCACCGATTTTGTGGGACCGTTTCTTTCCTCGCTGTTGCTTAGGGGAATAGCTCCCCGGGAAGTCCATGTAATCGTTAACCTGACTTAAATTCGTGGATTGGTTTGACGTGGGTGGACGATAACCTGTCAATAACGAAATGCGACTTGGTAAAGATCTGATCATGCATGTGTGACACTTTTACAGAAACAAATTTCCTTTCATAGTGCGGGATCTGCCGTCTGAATGTATTTATCGATACAAATTTTGCACAATTTTCAGTATATATAAAGCTCAAATGGTTGCACAACGTATAAACCCGGCTTTATTTATTGCAGCCTAGTTTACAAAGTTCAAAGTCTTTGGTCATGTATTAATGGATTTATTCTCACCATACCTGCACTTCTGTCGAAATCTTTATCAACAGTGTCTGGCGCCCAGGATACACCGCGACCCTGAGAAGAATGGCGGGAACCACGACCACGGAGACTGGACTTATGCTCCCCAATATCCACACTTGACCTTCCGCCAACCACTACTTGTTGATTAGGATTGTATCCGCGACCAGCTCGGTTACCTAACAAAAAAATGCAAGTTAACTTTATAGAAAAAATTGGTTCAATCTGAGAGCGCCTTTTGTTCAACATACCTTGAAATTTGGCGACAGGCACCCCGGCAACTTGCAATGTTCCGCCCAAGCCGGATACAGGCCTTTTGCTGCCTCGACCGCGCGATTTATTCTGATGGTTCTGTGAGTTTCCGTATTGTGCACTCAACGGCGGTGCGTTACGAAGATGAGGGGGGATTGGACCAAAGAACGGTGAAGGTAGCAGACTTATCGTCGAAGCATTACGGTTCGAAGGTAAACCGTTTAGCATGAAGTCTTGGCCAAGACCCTCCATAATACACCACTTCATTCGTTCTAATTTCTCTACACGAGAACTCTGCATAAAGAATAATGAAAAATCATTAGTTTTGGGTTTTGGTTCGAACAAATCTCGATACAATACGATTTCTTGCAACACCATTTCAATATACATTGTATGTACTGATTGTACTCACGTTGCCATCACAGAGATCCAATAACGTCGCACTATCACTGCTTGTAATGTTCAATTTACTCTGGAAGAGTTTACCGTCAAAATAGTTCCAAGGGCAGACAAGATCCCATGGAATTGGAGAGCCACATGCATCGTTAGCAAAGATCGCAGTCTCGACCCCTCGCATAAATATGGTGGCGAGATTCACTCCACGTATGTCAACTTTGTTGACTTTAATTTGAATGAGGTTCGTGACGTTGCATTCTGTCGTGAGATGAGGCGAAAGGGCCTGGGCGAGAAACGCTTCGAGTTCCTGGGCACGAAGGATTGGATGGCCAGACTGTTTTTGAATGAGATATCTAAAAATGATATACATACAATTGACTAGATGGAAAAGGTGATGGGTAAACATTTTGCCAGAATGTATTGCACTAAGGAATTGTTTAAGAAGTAAACTGTGTTTTTTGTGGAGGCTAAGTGGAGGTTTCAAAATGTGGCAAAGTGCACATGCTGCAAACATTTTTGTTATATTTTAGTGAATGGGACGCGTTGCTACATCTCATATTGTTTAGTAGAGTGAACAACATTTTAGTTAAGGCTACGTTATAAAGCACCAACAATCATGTTTCATTCCTTGTCCGTAGTTTGTCAATTGTCGATAGTAAAAATTTTTTCAGATCCAGTATACAAATGATTTACGGGACAACGTATGGCTGAATTCTGAACGACAAAAGAAACCCAATCATGCTGTTCTGGTCGTATCATATCTCTAACTACTAAAGAATTTTATCGGATGAAAGAAAGCTTAACCAGTTTGTAACTGTTCAGGATGGACCCGTCGAATGTTGCTACAAGAGAAAATTAAAACCGAACGTTTTATTCTTGATATATGCATCCATTAGTTCCAAAATACTGTAGAAGTCTGGTCTAAGATCATCAGCCGAAAGGAATGCTCAAGCAAACTAGTGTCCTATAGTTTCTAAACATTTCAAACAAACGGTCGAAAACCAACCAGTCATACAATCCAAATTACTTTCGATATCCGCAGGATACATACGTACCGTAACACACAGCAAAGTATAATACAGCGTTGTGGTACCATAGTTGTTTTTGTCATGCTGGGTGAATCACTAAGCATACATGAAAGAAAGGCCTTTAATCTGTTCGTATTATCAGTGGGCTGAGTGCCAAGCCATAATTGTTTACACCCAGGGACATCCCATTTTAGGCTAACGGGTTCGACCATTTCAGGTTTTTCTAACTTTTTCCCGCCATAAATACACCACTCTCTGATAGACGGTGGCGGTGTACGTGGCTGTTCAGCTCCGGCAGAGTCATAAAGTTTTTTATCCAGTAGGATGCCGTACACACGCTGACGAACACTTCGGTATAACAAAGCCGTGGAAACACGTCCTTTAGGATTTTCATCTTCCAATGCCGCGCTAAGCTTTATTTCTCCTTTTGATAAAACCTATATATGGAAACGTTTGAGGGACAAAATTATTAGCATAATTTTCAAGCTTAAATAACTACACGCTTAGTACAAAATGTATTTTTATAAAAAAAACCCTCAAAGTTGTACCTGATAAACCATTTCCATCATCTGTCCACCCTGATGACGTTTTTTCGCCGTCTTTAGTACTTCAGGTGATATGAAGGCATAGAACGCTGATAATGGCTTTTCATTTGACTTATCTAAAAACACAAATATATTATTTCCTGTTGCCAATTTTAAAGTTGTACATTTCCTATTATTTTTTAGTATGATTGATACCTAAAGTTTTGACCAGCCAGTTCTTACACAATATTCTATATTTTGCTCATCACTGGTATTTATAGCTATTTTGTGCAAACAAATGAACCCAAGTATTAAAAATTTCTTAACTTGGCAACACATAATAGGTCCATTATGGGTTTTCTCTTCAAGATATAAGTATGTATTGTACTAACCATCACTTGATGCAGGTGAAACATTTGTCTGCCGTGCAGGAGAGAGCTGAGATGGGGGTATGGACGGTGCAGGTTCTGAATCAGTAGAAGCTGATGGTGATGTTGGGATTTCAGGAGCTTCTATTGTAACACCTTAAAAAACATGTATGAATACTCTCAGTATATTGGCAATGGAAAGGTAGCTTAACCTCTCTAAACCTCAAATAAAAGTCCTCAATATCAGAAGGGGTGTGATGGCAAAGATTGTAACATACCTAGCAATTCTGGATCTTCAATGGGTATATCACCAACAATTGCTGTACTCTCCTCTGTGGGGGGAAAAACAATAGGACTGGTTGCAGCATCAAAGGCTTTAGGTGTCTCGGGGGTATCAGGACAAGCCAAAATAAATTCTTCCTGGGTGGGTGTACTGGGTGTTTCAGGAGCAGACAGGGTTTGGGTGGGACTCAATAAGTCTTGTTGGTCGGGGCCCTTGAGATCGAGTTCCTTTAACTGAAGTTGCTGGACATCTGCAACAAGCTTTTCAACATCTGGTTCAGAATTGGATGGGGAGATACCATTAGATATCTAAAAGGTTAATTACAAAGGTAATTAGTAGATTAGTCTCCATGTTGATAACTAGCCATGATAGGGCCTATAGTGATGCTCGGTTTTAAAAAGCTCGATCTGAATCAAAATTTCATTGATTCAGGTCATACCAGTATTTAAATTGTTCATCATTCCAAGTTTCCAAACAGAACAATGGATAAAGGTGTCCATCAATGTAAAATTAAGCTAAGTTAAGTACTTATAGTTTATAGCATTTAAGATTACCGTATTATGATTTAGCATAGGAAAATTGGAGCAATATTTTAAAACCATTTCAATGCAATTTTTTAAAACATTTTTAAATGTGGTTAAATGCTCTTTTACCTTATTTGACATTTTCAAAAGTTCACCACTGGGCACATACTGATGTTGTTGCCAATGCTGCCAGCGCTTTTGATAGTTTGACTCACTTGTCCGATTACTTGGAGAAGGTAAAACATCAGAATTGGGGACATTTGATACAGTTGGGTAATTACATGAACTCTCCGACTCGCCATTTTCTTTTACTAGAAATAACCAAAGAATATCATTGAGGTCAAAGCAGGACTAAAATTATTGAACCAGTCAAATGAAAACAAACACATAGATCTTACACATAATTACCTTCATCAGAAGAGCCATCATTAGAATAATGTGCAATTGAACGTTGCAACCTGTGTAAAAAATCTGCCTCTGTTGTCTCAGGTGACCTAAATACTTGCAACATAATAGCCTGAAGGTCAGATATATCTTCCAATTCGCGAACATATTTTGCCACACTTCGAACAACAACATCATATGGTGGTAAGATAAACTGTTTACCCACTTGTGCCTGTAATTAAAAAAATCAATACCATGTAAACCCAATAATAGCCAGAGTGACAGCCTGTACTTTTTCCATGCACATAAGAAAGTAAGCTGGCCAAATGGGAGGTAGAAAAGGTAAGCCAGACATAAAAACAAATGCATTTAAAAATATTAAAGATTCTTTAGTCTAAAATCTGGACTGGGCTGACTATTTACACAATATGCTGGCACTGCTAATCAAAATCAACTTTGCCATAATAAATTTGATTGGCTCATAGAAAATTACTCTGTTTACATAGTAACATACATCTATATATAAGCCAGGTGCAATATTGAAAATGAACCCATGATGATAAATAATCAGTGGAATTGGTTTGAATAACAATACAGTTAGAAATTAATCAAAAAAGAACAAGGTTAATCAAGGGGTGCATGGAGATTATTAGCCGTTAGATGTATGGATGTTCAACTGGTAAAATGTACTATCTGAAGACGCATAGATTGGTATCAGGTACAGAGGAAATACACTGGTAATAGAGATTGTAATGTTGTTTGTGCATAAATTGAAGTCAATATTAGATTTTATGATCTAAATAATGCATTCAAAATTATAAAAATCAAGGCCAAATCAAAATGATATATTAAAGAACCAAGGCCAATAGCATAAACACAATACCTGCAACTTGGCCAGGGGGTGATCAGGCCCCAGCAAGGACCAATGAAACTGTGCTAGCCACTCTTCGGGAAGAAAAGAATTGCCAAGTAATGTAGAGAACAAGGCCAAACGATCTCTGTCCAATTCCAGCTCGCGAAAAATAACATCAGTGTTAAATTTGACCGCCGTTGCCCCTGTCTTCTTTATCATTTTGAGATGTGAAGACGAATAATATGACATGGCATCAAGCAATAGATAGTCAGAATGGTAACCCAAAATTCCTAAACACGAATGCCTCTTACAGTAATTGATTATTTCTTTGTGCAAGTCCCCTACAGTGGAACAAACGACAACATCGCGACAGCGGAAGGCCAGACGGAGGCACGTGGAGACGCTTTTCGGAGCGAAAAAATGTCTTTTTGGTGGAAAGGTGCAAGTGGTGTGTACATGCGATAAAATCTGATGAACTATTTGTCGATTCTCTTCCTCTTCTTGTATCCAGCTCTGGATCTTAGCCGTGTCTTGTTCGCCATCAAAGAAAACAACCAGTTCAATATTAATTTGCCGAAATGCCCGAACAAAGTTTTCAACATTACGAAGTAGTTCATTCCACTGCCCACCGCAAACCCAGTCCGTATTCGAGCCGTAAAAATGTTTTAAACAACTCATAGCATCGATTACGAGAACCGATGGAGTGACCGCTGTTTTGCCATGATTTACACTTTGATTTAGTTCCTTGAAGTCAATGTCTTGCAATGCTTCGTTGGAACATTGTATTTCAACAAAAGATTGTAGGCCCTGGATCCCCATGTTTATGACCGATTTTGCCTTTCGGTTTTTGTTGTACAAAACTACATTTTACACCCATAAATCGCACATAAGAAACACCAGGAAATCGGAGTAGAACATGAATAAAACACGTGTAAAATTCAAGCTATCGAAAGCGCCATGTTGAAATGTAATTCTATTGTTAATATATCAGCAATAGGGATAGCCTGCAAACGGGCGGAAACATCCCTAATGCCTCCGTAGATCTCACTAAGTTACTGAATGGATGTAACTAAACAACACAAACGAATGAGGTTCCTCGTGTGAACAACTCTTGGAACCGGTCAAATTTTTATCGATTTTTACCGTGTGAACGTCCACCTAAACCGGACGAATTCGAACATAATCTCAAACTCATCCAGTCCCGTGTGAACTTAGCCACAGAGGAAGAATATGATCTTTAGTTTGTGACTTTGCGTAGCAATGGTTCTGTGATTACAAAACAAACTCGTATCAGTGCCCAAACTCGTATCGCGAGCGCATGATTAGGAATTGGTTAGGTTAGGGGCTTAGGGTCATGCAGCGAATATATAACATCAGAGGAATTGTTAACATTGCATTATATAATAGTTGGTCTTTTTGAGCATTTTTCCATTAAAAAAAACACTGAATACACGAGGCCAAGGGTAAGTGCATATCACGTAGCTTTCCGCATCCCGTGGTTGCGTCAGGCTAAGCGGGTTCTTGCTAAATATAAACATACTTTTTCGAACAACACTGTCAACAGGACCATCAGAAGCATCATAATTTCGTTGTATCGGTTGTGCCAATGTTATTTTCTGGTAGCGAAAAATATTTCACGATTAGTCGAATGTAGGCAGCACTCACTACCTAATGAGTAAGTTAGTGTTGGAAACTAGTAGTACCACAATGCAATGCAAGAAAATTTTGTGACATACACAGTCAGCACTCAGCAGTCAGCAGAGACCAGTGGCAGAGACACCGAGCAATATTGGCACAGATGCACTGTCGCTTGCCATAAAAAATGCTGATGGCGAATATTTTCATCTTGCTGGCTCTGTTTTGCTACGGTAAGAAAATGCTAATTTTCCTTTATAAAGAAAACAAAGCTTAATATATGGTCCGAGTCTTATAGATCTATTTGTTCCATTTCCGGTTTTAATATTGCCAAACAGAACTCACACTTGCAACAACTTACATCATAACGCTAGTTGCAAATACTAAAGTCATTTTTATTGGCTAATGGCTATGGGCAAGAGTACAATTACAACTCGCAAAGGGTGCATTCAATGCTCAAATCACCGGCACTCCTCGTATCCTAGCTCTTATCTCTTAATGAAATTGCAGTATTTCACAATGACTACAGAAGATATATATATATATAATTAATGCTATAACTTCATTTATTTCAGGTATCCAGCCCGTATCATTAAAAAATTTGTTCGTTAGTCATCATGGACACGATAAAGAAAATTGTGGCGACGAAACATTACCTTGTCGCAGTTTGAGACATACCATCACGATTGCGCGTGATAATGACGTCATACGTATTGATTACGCTGGGGGTAAACCCTATAAGGAATGTGAAAACTTCACTCAAAAAAGACTTGACACGATTGTGCTAAATAAATCGCTATTGTTTTACGGCTTTAATGGAAATGCAGTATTACACTGTCAGCAGAGCTATTCATTTTTTAGAATTAATAGTTTGGCGAATGCAAGTTCAAAAGTTGTATTCTCCAACCTTTCAATAGCTAGCCGTGGAGATGTACTTGACGTTAACGTTACTAGTGGAATTAGTAAGTTCGAGTTGGAATTAAATTCCTGCAACATAGAGGAATCTCGGCATTTTGTCAAAGTCATGGCAATTAATTGTTTAATTCTAGTATCCGATTCTCACATCCGAAGTCGTCAATATCCCCTGCAGGTGCGTTGCAGCAACATGGTGGTTCGTTTGCTTGGATCGGCGTTTTTCTCTTGTCCACTTTTGCTACGCTCGGGAACAGCAAGCGAAGAAAAAATATTCAACATTCTCATTGATAATTGCAACTTTACACAGGCACAAACAATTGCTACCTCTTCAGTCATTATCATTAGTCCTTTGATCGATATATGTGATGTAAGGATTACAAATTCTGTTTTTGTTAACGTTTATTCCCTTTACCAAGCCTTAGTAATAGACTCCGGTGACTCGAGTTTGCCAACTAAAGCATCCATAGTTTTGGATAGATTACGTTTCGAAAATATTGGCTGCAATCAAGGGGTAGTGTATATCTCTTTACCAGCATATCCGAACGAAACGCTTCGAATTAGCATTTCCAACTCTCTTTTCGTGAACACCAGTACCAGAGCACTCTGGAGCAACATTGTCAAAAGGAGTACCCAGAATATTGAGCCGTTCCCAACGTCCGCGCCGCACAGTGTAAAAGTTGTCAATACCACTTTCATTGCAACTCTAAGCACTCCTACAAAGAAAGATGGTCCGATATATCTTTCCGGCAGTGGCTTTTATTCTTTCTTATCATGCCATTTTTCTCACAGTGTTCCTGAGCGCAATCCTGATTTTCCACTCATTCGTATTGAAAGCTCAATCACGGCAACATTTGAAAACTGTTCGTATGAAATTCATCGAATTGGACGCAATAGTGGCAGCAACTTGTTTTACATCATATCGCACGATGCACAAAATACATATTTAACAGTCAAGGAGCCTGTAAGAATCGTTTGTCCAAAAGGCTATGTCATGAATTCAAAAACTACCGAATGTTATAATAGTTGGAAAACAATATCTTGCTTTTTGTTTCAAATGTTTTGTGAGGAATGTCCGACAAAAACGTACTCTTTGGCCCAAGGCAAATTTAAGGACAACGTAACCAAATACGTCAAGTGCCATGAATGTCCAGTGGGTGGAAATTGTATTGATGGCCAGATAAAATCCAAGCCAAATTTTTGGGGATACATTCACGACAGGTCAAATTGGACAGTTAAGTTTCTACAATGTCCTACTAAATACTGCTGTGGTACTCAAGACTGCCAAGACTATCACAGTTGTCATGGTAACAGAACGGGCACCCTGTGTGGCGAGTGCCCCGAGGGAATGTCGGAAACTTTATTCGATACAAAATGTAAAGCAAACAAACATTGCACAGGTGCGTCATTCTGGCCTGGGATAACACTCTACCTAATCATTTATCTACTTTTTTTCTTATACCAGGAAGATATTCTGGGTTTTCTAGGGGGACGTATCTTTCCCAGATTGCCTTGTTTGCTTTCTGTCACTCACAGAAATGATCAAACCTTTAAACCAGGTGGTTTGTTAAAAATAACTTTCTACTACTACCAGATTGTTTATTTATTACGAAGGTCTCTTGGTTTTGATGATAAAATTAACCTGTTGGATGACTTGGAAACTTTTTTCTTCAGTTTTCTCATTGCTGGTATTCCTTCCTTTAATTGTCCTTTTCAAGATCTTCGGGCGGTTGAAAAAGCGTTCATTGTTCATTCAGTAGGTTATAGTTTGTTAATTCTTCTATGTTTATTGTGGCTGTCTATACTTCTATTCAAATCATTTCAAAAATTGAGGCTGTTCAGACCCAGAAACACCGAAACATTAAGTCATAATCATGGCTTAGAAAGGAAGTGCTTTTTGAGTCGTATTGCAGGGGCCTTTGCTAACATTTCACTTCTCATGTACGCCTCCTCCACCCAACTATGCCTCTCCCTACTCCACTGTGTACCAGTTGGCGAGAGACAAGTTATGTTTCTTGATGGTAATAAAGAATGTTATCAAAAATTTCAATATTTTCTTCTTATTTACTTGATTACTTGCATACTTCCATTTTGTCTTGTTCCCGTACTTGGCTCGTATCTTTTGAAGTTGAATCGTATTTCTGTCGCACAGTTTCTCTTGGCTTGTATTATCCCACTTCCAGCTTGTTTTTATTGGTCGTATTTGTTGCTACGACAGTTCCCACGCCGTACTGAAGCAAAGAAAAATGGGGCTCGAAATAAGGAAGTTGATATGATACAAGACGATACACCTGTGCGTGAAAACAGGGAGGAAAATGTAGATCGAGCTTTAGATTCTGAACACGAATCTAGAGGCAGTAAGTCAGCCATCCTTCGCGTTCTCTTAGGTCCGTTTAGGCCACACAAAGCAACTTTGATTTTCCCCGCCTCACATCTTCCCTGGGAAGGTTTTCTTATTTTTCGTAGATTAGCTGTGATTTTGATATTAACGTTTGTATACGAGAATCGTGAAAAAGCAATTTACTCCTTAATAGTTTGTGTAGCTATTCTACTTACTCAGGTCTGGGTTAAACCTTTCAGGTCCAAAGTCGATAACGTGCTTGAAACATTATCACTTGGAACGCTGATTGTTATCGCAGCACTCAGGTTAATCGAAAGCATTTATAATGGTGAAGATTTGGACTCTGATAGCGTGTCATTTTTACACTTAATCAATTTAATCGAAAATATTCTGATAATTTTTCCCATTGCTTCCTTACTTTTTCTGCCTATGCTTTCTATTATCTTTAAAGTGATGCACCTGTTTTCATTTTTGTTTTACGCCTTTACTGCAAGACTAGCGAGAGTGAATGGATTTCCATACACACCATCAAACGAGAGTACAATCGAGGAGAACGAGTCCTTATTGTCATCGAAAGAACAATAGACAGTATAATACAATTATACAAAATGTAAACTACAATAAAAGAATAATACGATTATACGAAGTGTCAAAAAGGCTCTCCTTTAGAAATTACTCTATTGTTTATAAGTTATAACTGTTAAAAACAGCTGATTTCGTCGCAAAACGGGGTTAGAATACGACTTTCTCGAACGGATTCTAGATCTCCCTCTCAGTTTGTAAGTTACCCAACAACACCCACATAGGTGGGGAAAGTACCGCACGCCTCGACTATGTAGGGTTATTTTTACCTTTTAAAAGATTGTTTTGTGCAAGATAAAGTATTTCGACGAACCTTACCGCCAGCCAGTATATTTCCGGCGCGTTTTCGGATGTACAAAATGGCGGCTTAAATTTTATTTTCCATTTTTAATACTTTCTTCTTCTTCTACTGGCAAGCATTATTATTTTCACCACATTACTCGTTCACATGGGGGTCTAAGTCTATCTTTGAAAATCTGTGAAATGATAACCATACATATTATCAAAACAACTTTAGTTGAATGAGGATAATGCTAAAAAACCGGATATATCAATTGAATATATGAATGACAGAATGTGTAAATGATTTGGATATTCTGTATGGAGATACAAGCCATTTCTAGCCAAATACTGTGAAATATAAGACCTTGCGTAAGTATATAACAAGTAAGTGATCGATAATGTTTATAAAGTATAGGTTTAAAGTAGTTTGATGTTATGTTAGAAATTAGAATCATTTATATTATTGCATCACTCATTCAGCATATCAGTTTGTATTGCCATTCACCTATCACATGTTTTCATCATCAATCTTGATAAGGTTGAATATACCGGAATATGGTATATTCCACTTTGGTACAGTCAAATGTATGAAAATATGGAACCCCATCAACCAGAATGCTGGATCTGCTCCAGCTTTTTAGTCCAACACATTTCCTACAAAACAACTTGTTGAACTGATTGGATAAGGCCCCATGTCTTACTACCTGAGTTTGTTGTCACTTGGTAATCAATAAAGGAATTGGTTATGAGAGAAATCCATGGCCTCAAATAGGAGGAGACCGGTCAACTTCCTATTTTCTTAAAGGGGCTTTTTTATCTAGCCCATGTTCTTTCTATGTTTGTAATCTAATATTTAATTAATTAAATTAGACAGAAGGAAGAAAGTAACCTTTTTCAAAAGAGAATAATTATGTACAGGCTTGCTAAGGATAATTTTTTCCAGTAGCTGTGAACTTGTTACCAACTGTACATATTTCATTTTCTCAGCATCTAATAAATTCAGTTATGGACGAAGACAGTTTAAGCGATAACAGTGGGAATCTTGAGGACTCTGATGATGATGGTAATGACGCTGTTTCTTCCACATCTCATGATCCAATTCACCATGACCTGCGTCAAAGTGATGGTGCACCCAAACAAAAAAAGAAGCGAAAACGTAAAGAGGGTAGAAAACGTATCCGAAAAATTCTGTCTGAAGAACAGCTTGACAGTGAAACTCTGAGTGCTCAGAAAGAGGAACAGGAAAGGCTTAGACGTTTGGAACTACAGAAAAGTTTAAATACAGCAACACCAGCAGCTAGGAGTGCTTCACCTTTAGACAAAAGCTCTCCACATTTGGAGACAACTAATGTGCCAGCACAGCCTGTGGTTGTTGATGTGCCACGTAAAGACCCAGATCGGATAATTGTTATCGATGATAGCGACGATGAGTGTGATATTATTATTGACAAGCCACAGCCTTTATCGGATTGTGTGATTATTTTGGATTCTGATTCGGAACATTCAACAGAGGAGGAGAACGAGGCAGATGAGGAGCCTGAGAATAGTGGAAGTCATACTAATGATGATGTCAACCAACCTGATGTTCATGGACGAGTTTTGGTGAATGTTAATCACCCACCAACTGAACCTGATATATTTCTAGCATCACATCTTTGTAGCGTGGCCAAACCCCACCAGGTAAATTTATAGGTATACTATTGCCTTTTGGGTAGTATTCTCTTTCAATGTAGAAATGCTTTTTAGGGTGAGTTCACACTGGGTGGCCATCACTGGTGCCCATCACTGGTGCCCATCTTTTCTTTTGGTCCCTAGTTTGGACATGAACTTTCTAAATGAAATATGGAAAAATGAAATATGAAAAATATTGATGATATAAAATATTGATGGGATAGAACAATAGTATGTTTTCTATTGTACAATTCTCAATTGTTTGGTAGTAAAGGAGTACTCAAGCTTTCTGACTAACTCTCTCCAAAGGTACAAAATGCATATGAATACATTTCAAAGCGTTCAAAGGTTGTTAGAGCTGAAAATCTGTCCGTGTGGTACAGTGACCAAAAACAAGCACTACTGTACCTCTATAATGGTACCCTCTGAAACAGCCACACTGTGTTTAAATATTCTTGGTACAAGTTCAAACATCAAGCACCAGTATCAGCCACAAGTCTGAACGCAACCTTTTGATCAATCTGTTGTATCTGATTTTCTAAGGCAATCTAGTTGACTTTTTCTTCACGTTCCTTGTATATAATGTGCCTTCGTATACTACTTCTAATCTCTTGCTATTTACTTAAATTATCCTTGTTGTGCTTTTTTAGATTGGAGGAATAAGGTTTCTTTATGACAATTTGGTGGAATCTTTGTCTCGCTACGAAGTTAGTCCAGGATTTGGATGCATCCTAGCACACTCAATGGGTCTGGGAAAAACATTGCAAGTGATTTGCTTTATCGATGTCTTCCTTCAATTCACGAAAGCCACTAAAGTTTTGTGTATTGTTCCGATGAATACCATTCAAAATTGGTATAGTGAGTTCAATTTATGGCTACCAGAAGCTCCATCCAGTCAAGCTAGGGAGCAAACATCTGAGGAAGGTTTGATGAAAGAAGATGGTAATCAAGAAAAGCAAGGAAGAACATTTCAAGTATTATTACTTGGTGAAAGTGTGAAAACTACTGTCGCGCGATCAGCTTTGATAGGTAAGATATCATGTATTTTTTGTTTCAACTGAAAATATGTCTCCTCAGAATGTGACGAGACTCTACATAAAAGCATTTCAACTCAGCACATGGACCAATAAACGTATAGCTTCCTAAAAGAGTCAATTGCTGATCGTTCTCCGATTACGTGCGGGTAGCACGGTGCGGGTAGCACGGGGCGGGTAGCACGGGGCGGGTAGCACGTTTACAATTTTCAGGCATGTACCCTTGTGTCTGTATGATATTTGCACGGAAGAGGCCTTTTTTTAATACACTTCGGACAGATACAGTCATACACATTCGAACATTTGTACATGAAATCAATGAGGAAATCAAAGGAAAGATTTAACCAGTTCTAAAATTTGTTGGATATTCCGCAGACATGATCATGCATACTGGAAAGATTTAACCAGTTCTAAAATTTGTTGGATATTCCGTAGACATGATCATGCAGTTGTTTGTTTCTGCTATTAGTGGTGAAGGTAAAATTGTCTTAGTTAGGTACGATCAAACAAGAAGCATTTTCCTCAAAGTATAGCAGAATTGAGCCACTAAAGGCGAAGAAAACAAATTCTTTTCGTTTTTCACGATATGACAGAGTTGATCTTTTGCTTGTGACAAGAGAGTCGTTTTCTTCTTTCGTCCCCATAGGAAATTGGGAGAAGAACGGTGGCGTGCTGCTTATGGGTTACGAGATGTATCGAATACTGGCTATGTATACGCCATCGCTGGTCAACAATACTAAACTAACTGGAAGTAAAAGAAAGAGAACTAACACTAACACAACGGAGGTTATTGATCTTGATGAAGAGGAGAAAAATATGGATCTGTTGCTTGGTAAATACTGCAAATGATCTTTTTTGGGACAATGAATTGGTTTATTGAATGTTCTTTAATGGGTTAAACATTTACCTGCTCTAACATTTACCTACAAATTTTCAGAAGTGCAGAAATCTCTTTGTAAACCCGGCCCCGATCTTGTTGTATGTGATGAAGGCCATCGTATTAAAAATAGTCAAGCAAATATTTCGCAAGCTCTAAAGAAAATACACACGAGGTATGTGTAATAGGATTTTTTACGGAATCCCGGTAATGAATACCATGCAAACAAAATTGACTAAAATTACTGGAACAACAGTTAAAACGTCCAGCTTGAAGGATGGTCGTAGGTAGATCTTGAGAGAAAGTAAAGACATGGCAGTCTAGAACTTGTTTGTAGAAATGTGTACAGTTGAAAAATATAATATTCATGCAGTTTGGGTTTCCTCCATTGATAATTCTTGAATCAATTAGATCAGTGGCGTAGTCAGCCTACCGATTTTGTCCCGCTATGCAAATTGCAATTCATTAGAATTATTAAATTCAGTTCAGTCTTTAGAAATTATCACCAAAATATTAGCATAGCATGACTAAATTCCCAGGCTGGCTACACCACCACTGAATCAGATCATTCTCAGTATCTCTAATTCCACCTAAGACTGAAGTATATCAGTCTGGATAAAGTCTCCTCGTAGAAAGTATAGTTCAATATGTAGTCTTCAACACTACCAGACTCGTTATGATGTCCTCTGCCATGAAAGTACTGTACAATCAACATTTGGTGTCACTTGTACATATGTATATGTGTATTTTCGCAGACGGCGTGTAGTACTTACTGGTTATCCATTGCAAAACAATTTGATGGAATATTGGTGCATGGTGGATTTCGTTCGGCCTAATTTTCTGGGAACCAGGCATGAGTTTTCAAACATGTTTGAAAGACCTATTGTTAACGGGCAGTGTGTGGACAGCACAGCATCGGTAAGTTATTGATGCAAACTTGCGTTTCTCTTGTTTTCCAAGTCCTCGTCGTCATACAATATGATTTATACTTACTTCTACTTAGACACGAATGTGTGAAATTTAGGTTAAACTGATTATCACTGAATATTTACAGGATATCAAATTGATGCGTTTCCGAGCCCATGTTTTGCACAGTCTTCTGGAGGGCTTTGTACAAAGGTAAACAATATAACAAAATGGCCACACAATAGCACCATGGCCGCACAATTGATTTTTCGAGCACCGTCGAAAGGAGGTTGGGTACGTTTACCACCTTTATCTCCACGTGGGTTTTAAGCGTTTTCTAACCAGACTTAAATGTACCAGGACCATAGCTAGAAGCTTAATTGAGGGGGGGTGTACATATATTCATATATTTATCTTATGCCCAACTGATTTCTGTTGTACACTTTTGTTCCTATGATACGTAAACATGAATATATGAATATACACCCTCCAATTAAGTCACCCCTCAAGCGGTCTAGCTACGGCCCTGAAACCAACCAGATCCATGTTGGCAAAGCGGTAATTTCTCGATTTTGGTGTTTTAAGGAGGAGCGAAGCAGTTCTCACGAAGACATTACCCGAAAAAGAAGAATATGTTATTCCTGTGAAGATGACGTCTGTTCAAAAGTCTTTATACAAAGCATTTGTGACTTCAGCGATGCGTTATGTGGGTTATATTAATCCTATTAAAGCATTTGGGATATGTATTAAGGTAAGAAAATGTGGGAATCTCTGTGTATTTTATAATCAATAGTTAACTGCAAAAACATACACGTATCGGGTATGTTGTGTGTTGACAATAAATTTTTGTTTTATCTGAACATCTACCTTTAATTATTATCGATCAAGGAGTATCGCGGTAGCGTTTTCTCCAAAACGTCGCATCCAAACGTGGTAAACATCAGCTTAACACAGACCAAAACACGTATCGACGTTTTCAACCGTATTTCTACCGAGGTGCCCTCACCAAAAGAGAAAACCCTTCGGGTCGAAACCACGAGAAGTGCCTTTGTCTTTTCCAGGCAGTTGTTATGCATACCAAATTAGATACGAATTTAACTATTACAATATATTAATCAATAATAATTTTTGGATATTTTCCTGAATATATGTTTTTGTTATAGATTTGGAATCATCCAGACATTCTGAAAAACTATCTTGACAGTAAGAAAGATGCAAGCAGAAATGCCTCGCCTTTGGTGAGTGATTATCAGGAGTTGTTGAGTTAGTAGAAAATGAGCAGAAGTTACATGTACATGTATTTGAATAGGAGGGATAGCAGAAGGATGTGGAGGAAGAGTGGCAGTAGGATAGGAGGGGTAACTGGAGGATGTGGAGGAAGAGTGGCAGTAGGATAGGAGGGGTAGCAGAAGGATGTGGAGGAAGAGTGGCAGTAAGATAGGAAGGGTAGCTGGAGGATGTGGAGGAAGAGTGGCAGTAAGATAGGAGGGGTAGCAGAAGGGTGTGGAGGAAGAGTGGCAATAAAAGATGTGGTAAATGTAGCAGTAGAGAGAGAGAGAAGTAGCAGGAGGAGGATGGGGAGAGAGTAGAAGTTGTAGTAAGAGTATAGCCGTAGGAGGAGGAGAGGTAACAGGAGGTGGAGGGGAAGAACGGAAGTAGAAGTTGTAGTAGGATGATCTCGAGTGAATGCTGTTTTTAAGTAAGAGAAATTTTTTTATTATCGTTGTACAGTAACGGGGGTAATCTTTTACAGACTGTATGCGACCCAGACTTAGATATTGGAGTTAGCGTAAGCAAGAAAACGAAAGATTCAAAGAACGATGCTAAACTGCAGCTAAACACCAACTCAGATACCACTATGTGTCCACCTGATCCAAAGGCAATAGCCAATGTTTCTGACTGGGTAAGTTATTAGTTGTAGTTTTGCAAACCCTTTTTTACTGTGTCTTGACTTGTTCATCTTCATCATATGGGAAAATATCATTTCCGAAACAGACACTACTGTGCAGCAATGGTTTAAAATTTCCTTTTTTGCTTTCGCCAGGTTGGCGACTTGATGGACAATTACAAAACTGGTGTGTTACAACATGGTTCGAAGTTAGTCATTTTGATGGAGCTCATCGATAAGTCTCTTCAAATGGGAGATAAAATTCTCGTATTTAGGTAATTCCCGTATTTTTGGCGTCCACAGGACTTCTGGGTTTGTATTTACGCAGGTAACGGAGTCTCTTAACGAATTGTTCTTTTCTGTTGTAGCCAAAGTTTATCCACACTTAGCCTCATCGAAGATTTTCTTCGAAAACGTGTCGTTCCACCATTGCCATCTCAACTCATGTTTCAACCTGTTCACTGGGAGAAAAACAAGAACTACTACCGTAAGACATTAGTTTTTTCATTTGAATATAACCACCTGCTGTAACCTTCGCTCCCTACCATCTCCCATTTTTATTTGTCATGTTACATGTTTCATTTGATTGGCGTTACCACAGTCGTGTTTACATTTTGAGCCCAGGCCTAGTTTTTTGCTAGGTTTTCCTAGTGTAAACGAACTTCGACTGGGCCTTCGATTATGGCCGAATCTCCTGAAAAGTAACGACTTCTTCTTTGCATTACTTGTTGCGGATTGCGTAGAAATATCGAATGGTTTTTATTGTTCAGGTCTAGACGGTGGTACCTCATCACAAGAGCGTGACAAGCTAATTACGGCGTTCAATTCAAAAACAAACCAATCAGTTTACCTTTTCCTGTTATCAACAAGGTAAGTTTTGGGACCTAAGAATATCGCATTTTGCAGGTATATCAAATTATGACAAGACAGCAATGTTTCCTCGAGGTTGATGACCTCTGAGGAGCCAATTTGTATTGACAAATGCTCTATTTTTCCATGTAATTAAATTTGTATTGTTCTTACAGGGCGTGTAGCTTGGGTGTGAACTTGATTGGTGGTAATAGAGTTGTGATATTTGATGCTTCGTGGAATCCATGTCATGATGCACAAGCTGTTTGTAGGTAAGTAGAAGATTCCTGACACTGAAGAAGCTCAACTTGTTTCGTTCCTATCTGTTTCTTAAATTCCATTAAAAAGCCCGAATTGATCCGATGGAGTAGATATCAGCGGGAACCTGAATTAAACAAACTTTTATTACACATAGTTGATAATTGTATCCTTAACTACTAAAGAATGTCAAATGAATTCATAACACAAATTTTGAACATCTATCTCTTTGCATCAATCGGTGGTGCAATTATGCTCACCGCATACTGCACTCCTCTAATAAAATGAAGTTAGCCCAACCTACATGTATACTACTTTTAATAGCATTATCATTATCACCTTTTCCCTTGCATGGACATTAGTTTAATTAGCTATCATTTCTTCACTCGCTACTGCCAAAAACCGCCCGATCGAAAACAATTGAAACCGGTACATTACGTCGATATCAGCCTCGTACTGTATCTGATTCGTAGTGTCCTTCTTGATTTAGGATATATAGGTACGGGCAAACGAAAAAATGCTTTATTTATCGTTTGGTCAGCTATGGTACTTTTGAGAAACGAATGTATGAACGTCAAATAACAAAGGAGGGAATGTCAGGTGTGCAGGATGATTTATAATTAAAAAAACATTTAAATAATTTCGTATATGAAATCTGTGTCTTGAATTTTCCCTACTGCATGGAATTACCTATATAGATCGAGTTATTGATGAACTAAATCCCGAGGCAAATTTGACGAAACTGGAAGTGATGCATCTTTTCAAGGAACAGGTGTGTTTTTTTTACGATATAATTCAACATATTTCAACGTGTTGCCATAATCCTACAATCCTACAATGCAAAAATTTATGGATTTATAACTATAGGGCAGTGACGACGAGGATCCCAGTCTTAATATTTCAGCAAATGCATTTCCTGATCCAGTCTTGAATTATGTTTGTGGGACCTGTCATGAATCCATTCTTGAGGTAACAATGAGTTGTATGGTATTGATTCGGGTTTATTGATCCTATAGGATTCTCCGTAGTAAACTACTTTGTTAGGACCCATTTACACTTGCAATTTTTGCTGCGATTTTCGTTGCGATTTTCTTCTTTTGATTGATACGAACGAGTGAATGAGGCTGAATTAGTTACGGAAGTTCAAATACAAAGCATTCGTGCAGAACTTATTACTCGTTCACATCTATCAAAAGAAGAAAATCGCACAAAAAATTGCAACAAGAATGTGAACGGGCTATTATGTATTTTGTTTGCCCGGGACCGTACGAATTTTAGGCAGCTAATACTGTTAAAAACATTCTAAACTCCATGCAATGCAAGTTTTGTCATTTTGTCATGATAAACGATGTTGTATTTTTGTCTTTCTTCACGACACACTTTGTTGTGATTTGTGTCATTTTGTTCCGGGGCGTGGTGGGGGCTAAATAGAACTAATTATCGTTATTTTTAGACACCATTCAAACATAAGCTGCAATCGTCACGTAAATTAAGAAACATTTTGACAAAAGCAGAAAAACGCGAGGCAAAGAAAGGTACATTACAAGTCATAATGAGATAGATAATCCACATGCATTTTCTTTTATAGCTCTTAGGTTCACTCTGTCTTTTGTGTGGGGTATGCAAGTCAGTTTTGTAGGGATAGTGTGACCAAACGACAACTAAACTGACACAGGTCTTAGTACTGGCTGCAGTATGGCCTACCATAGCAGGCAACATGATATGTACAACGGTTTTTGAGTTGCCATGAGCTGAAAAAACGTTATGAAAAAGTTCCTGAAAGATTATAAATATATTTATTGATATAGGCTATGAACGTGAAAAGCGAGCAATCGATTCTGCAAACAAATACAGCTCGTCTTCCACCGTCTGTTCACCATTAGTAAGGTAGGTTGATGACTCTATGGTAGGTTGAGAAGCCAAACCGTGCAACACTTGGCATGTAATATAGTTGGGACTAAGACACCAACTGTCTGTCGCCGCACAAGAAAAATGTATGAATGAATCACGAAAGGCTGTGAGTTTCTCTCTGAAAGCCTCTGAGTTGTCAGATTCACTTATCGAGGCCTGAAATACTGTTTAGAAATCACGTTTAACAAAGTTGGCTTGCTTAAAGTTCAAGATAAATGTGGTTTTGTATTCCAAAGTCGAAATATTGGCAAGTGTACATACAGTATTTCGTATGCTTTAATGCTCTGACAAACTAAGTGGTTTTTTTCGGATAACCTATTTTTCTCGGTCAAAATATTTTAAAAACCAAGCAAGATATGACACATCTGTAACAGATTTAGACATGATTTTAAACGTTCTCTGACTAAATGTGGTTCATACAATTTTCTTGCAGGGAACAAATCAGGAAGGAAGTGATAAATCGTCCTATTGGTCATGTTAAACCGATACAAAGTGTCCAGGCTAGTGCCAGTCCCCCTGTGGGACAACCCGTTTCGTCTCTTCCTCTACCGGTTCAACCCTATGCCAATCCCTTCAGAGCTGACTTACCTTCTATGGCTTACATGGCAGGCATGACTCTTCCACCTCTTCTCAATAACAGGTATAAATTTAGTGTAATTTGATAAATATGAATATATCATAAAGTAAATCGCTGCGAGGGAGGACGTGATACCCATTGAACTGTAAACAAACTGGAACGATAACTCAGGAGGAAAATTGAAGCCAGTGCTTTTTACTTTTTCTGAGTTATAAGCTAAAATACTTAACGCCAAATGTTGAGCCGTATATGAAATTAAAGCTATTAAAGTTATGTTTATGAACATCAAGTTAGTTATGTTTTCTGTAGAAATTTCGAGAGTTTAACTCGAAAATTTAGCATTTTTGCCGGTTTGTAATTGTTTTTGTTTTTTTAAAATATATTTCCTGTGCAGTTTAAATCTTGAAATTTCCGTATAAAATATAACTTCAATAGCTTTAATTTGACATCCAGTACAACGTCTGGCGTCAAGTATTTCAACTCATAACTAAGAAAAACTGTTTTGGCTTCAAGTTAATATAGGGATGTTTGTCAGGAGTTAGTGTTCCAGTTCACCCACAGTTCAATGGTGATAACAGGTTCAATTGCATTGCATCACCTTGTTTTAAAATATACGAAGCAACATTAAATATGATTCCGACTGCCTGTTATAAAATATGACTTGATAAATAAATAATTTGCATGTTATTCAATTTTGCAGATTTTACCAAACGGGAGAATTGCGACCGTTGTCCCCATACCCTAGTAATTTCCCGTTGCCCTACCCTTTCCCCGAAATCAACCCTGACTTACGACCATCAAGTGGAATCCGACAACCAATAGTCGTTGATTTATTAACCTCTCCTGAAGAGAAGTCCGATGCAGCAAATAAAGTAGAAACTACGCCTAAAAGTGCAGAGAAAAATGGAGAGGCAAATAATACTGCCAATAATGCCGGTAAGGTAGCTACTCCTGAGGTCGCAAATCCTCAATCGTTGTGTGTTAAATCAAGTAATTCAGACCCGGTTTCCCTTGATACGTCAAAAAGTAATGCGGGCTCTTCTGATCAGCCTGGTGTGGCCACTAGTGTAATGACCAAAAATGTCACAACCGTTTGCGAGTCAAATATTCAAAAACCAACGATGCTGAATAGCAACCCGAAGGAAGATTTTGAGAATGCGATGATAGATAAAGCTACTTCTAGTTCGGGAACTAATCCTGACATAATCACAACTAAAAACTACAATAATCCTACAACATCCAATGTTATAACTCTGTCTACGGAGACTGCTGGACCTCAATCAGACCACACACCAATTATGGCGGCTAGTACCGTTCAGCAATTGACAAATAATCCAGTAATTTTTCAACAATCAGTACCCGATCAAAACGGGTCTGGCCATGCAACAATTACGGAACAAAACAGTGAGATTTCTACGCTGGTGGAAAGCAACTTACCCACTACAAACATCGCTGCAGACTCCATCATGTGAATTCATCAAAATGTTGAACAAACATGAAACGATGATTGAAAGTATGGTTTCTCTATAAGGGGCCAAATAACCAGCTGGGAACTTGACTTATTCACTAACCTGCCTGATCTGCACAAGACAGGCTTTTGTATAACTAAAAATAGTGCAGTATCTCGGTTGCGTTAGCCTTTACTGCCCTGACAAACTATACGTTTGATTAATTGTATATAATAAAAACACTACTTTTAACACTGAAATTGAATCTTTTCTACAAAAATGTTTTGCACATATGTTGTGTACAATAATTACACACCTGCCGTCAAATATAAATGTGACAGGTAACTTCAAATATGTCAAAAACGTAGCGAGATATGACAATCTTTGACAGATTTTTTACATGTTTTTAAACCTTTGTTTATATAAGGCCGCGATAAATTATTTTTGTTGCTATTGTCTTTCAGGATCTTTTCCACTTATCGTAAACGACGTTGGATCTGTAAGCAACGGAAAATGAAACGACCGAATCCGGAAATGACCGACCGAAAATATTTGCCGAAAATTAGTGAGTGCGTGTCCCTATAAAATTCATTGATTACCAATTCAAAATTGAAATGCTCAATTGCTAATAAGCTGTTAAACTTATTGGGCACAAAGATAAGGCACTGTGCCTAGCGTGAATTTAGTATGGAAACATGTTTGCTTTGTCTTGCTTAATCGTTGCAAACCAAGGCCAAAGAATAGAAACCATGCATGTTCTATTCTGTGCCAGGGCGTTTACATAGATCTATATGAGCACCCTGTTGCAAACAATAGCTGAAATAACCCAAAACCAGCACATAAAAGGCCGTGTTACACGATGCACTTTTTCTTGCAACTTTGCAATGCAATTCCATTTTTGAGAGATGTGAATTTGGCGAATGCAAAACTTTAGTATTTACACCCTCCAACGATGTTTTCTTATTCGTACATTTTGAAAACTCTTTCACTAATTTACATCTTTCAAAAGCAGAATTGCATTGCATAACATAATAACAATCACTCTCATCGTCGTGCACTTTTTTCAGAAAGAATTGAGCGCGCTTTAAAATTTGGCAATTCTGCGGGAACGCAATTTTAGCTTCCACTATTTCCGGTTTCGGTTATTTCCGGTTTCGATCGTTACGGTTCCGATGTTTACAGAGACCCGTTGGAAATTGTAGTATATATATACATAATTAAAATCATCACACAAGCTTTTTGATCCGATAAAAACACACGCAGCAAGCTTGCGAAAAATCGGTTAAAAATTAGCCAATGAAAATTCCTCCCAATGCCAATGGTTTGGGTGGAGTGCATCGATTGATTCGCGGATTCGGTTAAAGTTTTTTAAAGCAACTTAAAAGCAGCTGTGATCAGTATATCAAAATCAATTATGGCAGTTTAACACACATTATATTTTGCCGACGGCAAAATGTTTTAAAAACATTAGGTGTTGATTGTTCCTCTACAGTTGCTAAAATCGATACACTTCTCCACGTTCGACATTTCACTGAGGTAACTACAGTAAACCAGAACCAAATACACACCAAGGGAAAGCGTTCGCGAAATATATAATATTCCCTTTTTCTTTTATATGACTAGTCAAAACCTCGCGTTTCGACAACAACTCAGCAGCTTCATTCCTTCTTGGCGAAGGTTTGAATTCTTCCAGAAAAATATGAGACAGTTGAACGTTGAGTTCATAGCGACAAATGTACTGCACCATATGTTAATTAACCAGACGTCTCGATCGTAAAAAGGCGTGTTCGATATAGAACGGAGACCAGAATTTATCATTTGTGGCAAAGAGCAAACGAAGAGGCAGAAAACAGCTAAGGAACACGTTGAAATATTTTTGATATTCCACTTGCGTTTTTTCCCCACTTGATCACTCTCTGTTGTCGTTGCTGTAGTAACTCGTCCTTCTCGCCGTTTTGCTTTAGCGACTATGAATATCTTATAGTTAAGGTAGGCAAACAACGACAGTAATATCAAAAGGTTTGCCGCTGATATGATGTAGCCTAATGCTTTTTGATGCGAAAATATTGCGGACAATGCAATCTGGCTGGTCGCCCAAATGATCAAAAAGATCAGCAAATACAGCAGCCGTTTCTTAGTAACGTATGCTCGATGAAATATCGGAAACGTTATCGCGAAGAAACGTTCAATTGTTAATGTTAATAAAGCAAGCATTGAAAACGCGTGAAGAAAAAACGTTGAGTATATCCTAATCTTTTCGCGAACGTCTTCATAGTCCTTTTTACACCAGAATATTGTTGATAGCACCATGAGAGGGTTGGTGATGATGACTACGGTCAGATCAAAACAAGATAGAACAAGAATCATAAAGTAGGTTGGCTTCTTTCGAAGTTGCGACGACCTCTTTATGCTGATTATAACCACGGAATTAAGAAATATTCCGAAAATCATGAATAGGCCGTATTCTGTGGCCGATTATCGTTCAGTTTCGTTGCCCCCCTTCGGGCACTACTTGAAAACACGATAGAAAATTAGGATAAATTATAGAAAGTCTAAATTCACTTGTTTTCACCTTCACAAACCTGCAGTTTTCGAGCATTTCATCTTCGAAAAATCAGTAAATTTGCATGTTTTGCAATACACCGACGCCATTTTGATTCAGGAAATGTCTTGGATACTTGGTGTAATATACGACATATATAGCAAATTCAGCAGTTTTATACCGGTATTTACATGAAGTTTCTAGCATTTTTGCTGTGCAAGCAGGTTTCAACAAGGAAGCTTTGAGTGGAGTTTTACGAGGTTTTTCGTAAATTTTCATACTTTTTCAAAACTAAATTAGTCACAGAAGAATTGGACAACAATTAATCGGAAAACATCCGCCAATTTGCGATTTTTCTATAGCATTCTGCTCTTGGAATTTACAAATAAATAAGAACAACTTTATTTACACGCATCAAAATCATCCACGAGCGTTTTGTTTCTAGTCAATTATATAAAATAATTACTACACAATTCTTTTCCAGCATACCCTTTGTTTTGTGATTTGCAACGTACAACTACTGTACATGTTAAAATATTGAACACGCATACCAAGGTTGATATTGATACGTTTTAATACCATTGTGGGAGATTACGAGCGCCTTATAATTTTAAAACACAAATAAATGTTGAACTTAACCCTTTTAATCGGACAGCTAATACCACAATTCATCATCGACGTCATCTCCGAAATCCAGATTAGATCCTGATCCTTCAAGTTGATCATCGTCATCAGATTGAGGCAGGCCATAACTGCTATCATCGTCGTTACCATCTTCAACTACAGCATTCTGGCAATCACCACACGAACATAGGTTGGTGCACTTTAAGTCAGCCTTTTTGCAGGAACAACGCATGCATGGTCGAGCATCCAGTCTTGCACTTGCACTCAACTGGCACTCAATTAAAGATCGCGGAGCGGGTGGGCGTGTCGTCCAAGTTATCTCCAGCTCTTTATCGTCAAGCGTCCAGCCATTGCCAACCAGTGATGGAAGATCGACTTCTGCACTTAAACACTGATACCATGATGCTGCTTGATTGCTAATGCCATTACCGGTAAAAGCATGAAAGCCTGGTAAACAAAGTGCAACATCCACACCCAAGAATTTCGAGATAATTGCTACAGAAAATCTCTTTCTGCATCTGTTGTTGCATGGCAATCGCAGGTATAAGAACATCTGTATCAGGGCTTTTGATAATAACTTTATCATACGTTGCTGCTGCGTGGTTGGCATGTAGAATTAAACGAGTGTCTGCTTCTTCGTGTGCTATGGAGCGAAAACACCTCATTACTTGTAACACTATCGTTCGGGGTTTTCACCGCATCTTAAACACTTTTTCCACTGTTTTGGAACACTCTGATCTTTTCCGAAGATTTGAACTTTCTGGACTCCTTCAGCTCTTCGTTGTTTCTCTGCATTCTTTATGCTCAACTAAGGATACCTGTCTGCAACAATCTAATCGTTTGGAATTATACTTTCGTGCTAGCGTGTTGAGGTCTTTAAAAGAGCATCATCGCCAAATGTTTTCCATTTTCCTTTCATCGACTGAATAACTGCCATAGCATCCACAATCAGTGCATTGTTATTAAATGCACAAACATTGACTTCTGGATTTCCAGATTCATTTTCCAATACTTCAGCAAGTTTAGACTTGGGCCAACTTGGCAGTTTTCACAAGTCCTCTCACGTTTTCATAAGGAAAATGTTTGAAATTTGTTCTTTTTCAACTTCGTAAAGATGTCTGGGTTTTCGCTCAACAAATTCGTTTTAGTGGATTGATGATAATAAGATAAAGGCGTTGGTAATTAACTTTGTCAAAAAACTGAGATGTTGTAAATAGTTTTTGCTGAGAAAACGTGTGTAATATAAAAGTAGTTAATATAAAACAAAGGTTGCTGGAAAGGAATTGTGTAGTAATTATTTTATATAACTTGACTAGAAACAAAACGCTCGTGGATGATTTTGATGGGTGTAAGCAAAATTGGCGGATGTTTTTCCGATTAATTGTTGTCTAAGTCTTCTCTGACTAATTTAGTTTTGAAAAACTATGAAAATTTGCGAAAAACCTCGTAAAACTCCACTCAAAGCTTCCTTGTTGAAACCTGCTTGCACAGCAAAAATGCAGGAAACTTCATTTAAATACCGGTATAAAACTGCTGAATCTGCTATATATGTCGTATATTACACCAAGTATCCTTGACATTTCCTGAATCAAAATGGCGTCGGTGTATTGCAAAACATGCAAATTCACTGATGTTTCGAAGATGAAATGCTCGAAAACTGCAGGTTTGTGAAGGTGAAAACAAGTGAATTTAGACTTTCTATAATTTATCCTAATTTTCTATCGTGTTTTCAAGTAGTGCCCGAAGGGGGGCAACGAAAATCGTTTTCTAAGCGACTTTTCGTGCCAGAGAATACGGCCTAGAAGGATATGTTTAAAAAACACAGCAGTAGCGTGTTGATAAGAATGTCGAATTGCATGTCAATTCTCGTACAACTCATATGCACTTGTCGTTACAGCATTTTCCCATCCCAATTGGTTTTTCGTACATTAGAATTACCACGTTGAACATAAATACGATATAGTTGTAGATGCACCTGCATGTTCATTTTAATTTTGAATGCACGTCGTTATATCGGCACGCTTTTAAACAATAACTGCATTTCTAATTAAAACTAATGCAGTTTATTACTTATTAAAGTTTCATGAAATCTGACAACGCAGACGTCACCGTCTTTGCAAAAGATAAATAAGCCGACATTTATCTCAGAAACGTCTCTGATATTTTTAATTGTTTTATGGAAAGCCTGCATAACAACCTTAAGTGACCTACCGCAGCGATACGACCGATACGATCATTATACGGGGTACTTCGAACACTTTTCTACACGGTCCTGTGTGTGCATGGTCGATGTTTTCGGCTCAAAGAGTTAAGGCTGTAGTTTTCCACTTACCTGTTTTTCATACGCACGTAAAAGTCTAAATCCTTATGCATGTCACCTTTGAAAAAACTAAGTGAATATATCGAAGGAACTTAGTTTTCTGCATATTTTAGTATGCATTAGTTGACCTAGATGTTAAATTTAAAAGGATTTAAAATTCTCCGTACGTGTATACGTACGTATAAAAGACGCGTAAGTGGAAAGCAGCCTTTAGCGTGGATAAAAAAAAGTCTATACCTATACCTACTCACGTTTGAACAGTATACGTGGTTATACGGTTCTTTATTTTTTGCATCATTAGATGTAGGTGTATGTAGGTGTATAAGCGCATTTTAGTCGCGTCGAATGCAATTCAAACAAAAGATAATGAGATGTCAGCTCATCTGTTGTTTGAATTGAATTCAACGTGACAAAAATGCGCTATAGACCTTGTTCGGCGATCGCCATTTTCACGTCCTCTTTTTCTATGACGTTCGCGTCCTCGCAGCTGCGCGATGCCCACGCACGCCATTTTCAAAGCGCCTGGGTAAGAGACTAGGCATAGTAAGAAAACTGGGACATTTTGCAGCTCTCGGAAGCTTTCGTCTAATTGGATTATGCTTTTCTATGCTTTCTATAAAGAACGAAGCTATGCTATTGGTTGAAACAAAAATGTATTGTAAAGTTCAGCCAATGAAAATCATTCTTGCGAGAAGCTGGGACACTACCCGGGAGAAAACTAGAAACGTTATTTCATCAGTTATTTCAAGTCAGAAAAAAATATGGCCCGACTATAGCAGTTCTCTTGCATGGCATTCCACTGATCTGTCGCTATATACACTTGATGCATATCGTTTATACCTACATAAATAAATGTCAGAACTTTCGGAGTCCCTGGACCCAGAAAAATATCACCTGACAAGGGTCGCACTTTATGGCCAGAATATAGCAAAATGTTTTTAAAATTTAGTGACATAATGTTTATATTACGTAGGGGGCAAGAGACACCCACCGAGGAACTAGAGAGAATTGAATTAAAACTTCAATTTGCACTAGTGCAATTACTATATATCACATACTGTCATGCCTAAATGAAAGTAATAATTGTTTAACATTTGAAATAGATGGCAGGGATGGTGATTACTCTTTCTATGTTATTGCTATGCAATCCGTTTGATTGTATAAGAACATACTTTGCCTTCTTATCCCTCGTTAATACACAAGACGAGAGGCGTTCTGGCGGCCCTGAAAACAATGGACGAATAAATTATGAAAGCCATGGTTGTATTTATTAATGATTTATTATTTTCTAGAAAGCCCTTTACTACTGCCTGCTTTTTGCTTAAATAAGCGCCCGGCTACGACGTGACTGAACATTTAGATACTATAACTTACAGTCAATAAATACCTCATAAATAGTAGTACACAAAGTATAAGCGGTTTTACTGTCGCCATCACGTCACAATTTGCTATACCTGTCTGAAATATTTTATGCTCGAAAATTAAAGTTCTCGATAAAGTTTAGTTAGGAAGGCCACAGGCCCCTGTCGCTAAATGAGCATATTTTTTACAACACTGCAAAATGTAATTCTTGGGCAAAATATAGTTATAATATATATTATTGTTGTTTAGATAACATTCACGTGTCTCTTATAGTTTTGTAACTGTGGTTCGATATAACTTCATTATAATATTTGCAATTTTCGTTGTAAAATACTTAATACTATATCATTTTCATCCACTTTTTTGCATCACTAGAGAAAGTCTCATATCTCTTACATTTTGATAAAAATCTCCACAACCTGACACCTGGTTTAATCCCAACTCTTCTGTTCTACCAACGATATTATCTTCCCAATCTTCATAAATATCGTCATCATCATGACATTCCTTATATTCACTTTCATTTTCGTCGCTGAAACACTCACTTGCCAGTGATTTATTTGGGACAAAATGAGGTTTTCCGTTCCCATTATTTTGTAAAGTTCCTTCAGTTTCACTATGCGTTAATACCTCGTCGTCAAGATATCCCATATTCTCCTGACTGTTTTCATAACTGAATGTTTTTGTAGTGATCATGTTTTTATCACCTGTTGTTGCTGTGACCACCTCTGAGATTTTTGCATTGTTCACATGAGCATGTGCTTGACTCTCAGGTTGCAAACACGCAGTTACATTTTCGTATATACTCTCGGAATTATCGAAATCCATTTCTACTCCGCTATTTTCAGAACATTCGTTATTTTTATCTACTTTTATCTCCACGCAACCATCGTCTCCATCTCCCGTCGTCTCAATCCTCATTTGCTCCGAAGGTTCACCATTCATATCATCAGGTTCATTGATAACATTGAACTCTTCTTCCCCCTCTTCGTATTCATTCGCTCCATTCGGTATGCTTATTACATATGGCCGGTCATCGTTCATTTTGTCCTGTTCTTCGTTTTCTATCACAACTTCATCTCTCGTGCCATTCTCACACATTTCCTCCGCCACATCATAAATACCATCGGTGTAATCTGCATTCGCTTCGGGAACAACATTTATACGAATGGTTTCGTTATTTTCTTCTTCCTCAGAACATTCTTCTAGCGTAAAATATAATTGGCCTGCATCCAATGCATGTTCTTCATCAGTAGGAGTGCCCTCTTCCATTGAATCTTCGGGTTTATCATAAATATTTTCCGGTATGGCAATGACATAAGAACCCTCGTCGTCCTCGATGCTTACTTGAGTTTCTGCAGACTTCGTAGCATCTCTTTCCAAAGAGAAGTAAAACCTTGTGGTTGTGTCTGTGGCGTCGGCATACAGTGGCGAAACATTGCAATTTTGATGTGAAACGTCCCACTCTTTCCCAGAACCATGTTCGTTCCTTACATAGTCGTAAACCATGGAACCGTTCTAGATAATAATAAAAATTTGTTAACTAGTCGCAAATGGGAATGGTGAAAACGAACGTGATATCACAAGCTTTTTCTTTTTTTAAATAGGAAACGTTCGCATAGTTAATCTTCGGGAATTTCTACCATCAGAAATTATACATCAGAAATCACAAGACGATAGGTGGTATCAGAAATCATAAGACAATAGGTGGTTTGCAATTGCCGCCATCTTGATTGATTTTTCAAAACATGTGTACAATGATAATATTTTCATTTTGCTGTATTTTAATAACCGCCCAATAATACGACAGAGATTATAAGCAGTTACAAAATAAACAAGGAAAAAGTAAATCAACGCGGTTTGTTCTCTTGAAAAGCAGAAGTAAACTTTGTAGAGTCAACCAAGATGGCGCCAAATGACTCAGTAATTATGACGCACTGATTTATGACATATGCAAACCAATAATAGAAAAACAATTCAGTATTATCTTCACATCTGAGATCGAATATAAAACTATTCATTCTCATGTTATACCTCAACGTCTGAATTTATTTTTCCGCTTCCATCTGTGAAGGCCAGATTGGTGATGCCATCGATTTTTCTATTTTCAACAGGATTATTGGTCTTTTCTAAGAACAGGATATTAAAACTAAATCTAAGTCAACTCTGAACTGAAAGTTGAATTTCTTTATTCCAAAATGAAAATAAAAAGTAAAATTGAATAATGAATTAAAAATTGCCAAAAAATTTGGGGAATGAATAAAAGTTGCACAACCTACCTGATTTGGTCTGTTTTGGAGGTGTATTTCTGAAGATGAAATCGAATAAAAGATGTTATATAGCAACTAAGCAACTTAAATAACTTCTATTGGACAACATAGGCGTTCGTTCTTCAAACGTGACTACTTTATCTCATGTTTATTACTCAAATTATCATTTCTGTGCACGCATTTCAAATATAAACTCGTTATAGCAATCATGCATATATGACGCATGAACTTGCAGCCGACATATACCTACGAATTCACAAGGGAAAGTTATAGAGTACAGTCAGTTGATATGTCATACCTACCCCTTCTTTCCTCTCAATCCTTTGAAAAACAAACACGATACCACCAGTAAAACACTGCCAATTATTGTTGCTGGTATGAGCAGGATTTGAACAATCTCCATTTTCAAAATTCACTGGAGAAAAAGTAAAGGAGATACAGGATTAATAACAGACAGATCAACTGGAAAGTTGTATGATTGCCGGTATAATGGTATAAATGTTTGATGAATTGAAGTCAGTAGACATTATCAAGTCACCGCCTTATACAAATGTCTATTCAGTGTTAACTAATCCGAAACATTGTGTCTCGTACTTTACGAAGCGAAACTGGGCAGGGGGGGGGTCGTCTTTATGGCCAAACGAAGTGTGAATTTTATTTAGAGAGAAGTATACCGGCATGGACGTAACTATAGCGCGATAAGTGAGGAGAAGGTGGTTATTTGTATATATTCAAATTTAATTGCATTGATGCAATTCTTCTTAAAGTTCAATCACCTGCAAGTGAGATTCGCTGGGCAGAACAATATATGAATTTGCGCCTCTAGAGCCCTGGGCCCAGTTATATACGAGTTTTGGTATACGACGTGCAGAAAGCGAGTATATTTACGATTCGTGTCTCGTTACATTTAACTTTGATATTTATTTAAACCCTGAACATAATTAAGGTCACATTATATCAAAGATTGCTTTAATTGGAGTTCCTTTTTCCTGTCGTGAACAGATTATCACGCAAGGGAAACACGATAACGACTCATATTAGCTAGCGCTATCGACTCGCATAGTGTTTTTTCGACCGTTTTAAAATGCCCGAAAAAGATTTTTAAAACTGCATGAATATACTGGCCCAACCATTAAGGAAGCGGAACTCCACCTAAAGAATGGTATGGTTTGATCTGCATGTGCCATATTAAACCGCGTGGGCAATTTAAATCGAACTAAAAAGTCCGGTATTGATACTGCTATATTCCCGCAGCTTTCGTTCAACCGACCCTGGCATGTAGTTTACTGACTTTACTCACTGTGCAGCTGACATTGCATTAAATCCCCGCGGGCTAAAATTCGTGAACACGGCATTCAAATTTTAACAATGAGTAATTTCAATAGTTTTCTTTTTTTTGAGACCCCTGTACTATTTGACCGCCCTAGCAGGACTTACGTAATAATGTAGCACAACACAAAGTCCAATATTGACGATTAAAAAAAAAGAAAACAAAATTAAACAGACTACGAAAATTAGCATTCCTTAATAACCAGGGGGAGCAGCGTGGCCGGCAAATATCTGTTTATCAAATGTGGTATGAAACTTCCTGGAATTTACAAAAAAAAACGCTCCGAGATTTCACCGTAAAAGGACTTTCGTTAAGATGGTTACTAACACTCCTTTGTATCTTATACTGACCATGCACAAGCTAATTCTCTGAGTGGGTTTGTCTAGCTCGCTCGTATTTTGCTAACGCAATGTTATATCCGGCTAACACAAAATCCACGCGAGGAAGGAATTAATAACTATTAATACCCAGGTAGTCAATTAATACCCAGGTAGTCAATTAATACCCAGGTAGTCAATTAATACCCAGGTAGTCAATAGCAATGAAATTATTTGACCAAATACAGCAATAAAATGAACATTGATTTATATATGATATAGATGCATGTATATTCACCTACAATATACATGGCAACGGTTAATGTCATTTTGATATAATTAAGGATTGTATGTTGAGACCCTCAGTCATCCCAATTCATTAATTTGTTCGCTGTTCATTTTTCTTCTCTCTAGATTACTAGTTATCAGTGCAATGCTTAGAGGCATAGATAATAGCTTTTTAATTGAAACCCAATTGAATCAATACGCGAAATCCCTCTATACTATAAATTATATTATATATATAGCTTATAAAGATGACCATATATAAGACTCGGATATAAGGACCGCTATACTCCTTGTATCAAAGACGAAGAATTTGTTTTACTGTCTTACGTTGGCATATCGCGTTCTTTGTTGTCAACATCCATATCTCTAGAATATTACATTTTAAGAAACATGTTTTAATATACCTGTCCTGAGCTGTCACTTTATTTCCGAATAATCCGCATATAGAGTCAATGCAGTGTGGTCTCCGGTGTCTAAATGTCTTGCATGCAATCTACTTCCATGTACCGGTGAAAGACTACTTTATATTCTGTTCGTTATTTTTTTGTCTATCTGTATCTACATTGACACAGGATATGCAAATGCAAAATAACTCAGATCGCCCATGCACTGTTTTCCGGTTTTGGGTAGGGTATGCAGGGTTGAAGATCAGCAGAGCATGTCGAAGCGCTGCCTACAGATTTTCTTTAATTAGAGAAGAGAGCTTTGAAAGTCCTTGTTCGTAGCTGAGCACGAGATTTTATCATTTAGATTACGACTAAACTCCATTCAATTGTGTTTACACAAAAAAGAGTAAAAGGGTTGATTTTAAAAGCCGCACACACGTTAGAATTGGCAGGAGAGCTACTCCGGCAGGCATCGTTTTGTTTGATAACAGATTCATGCATTGGCAAAGTGAATTTTTAGTCGTTTAGTGGCGAGTTAGATTACGACTAAACTCTATTCTGTCAATTGTGTTTACACAAAAAGGGTTGATTTTAAAAGCCGCACACACGTTAGATTTTGCCTGAGAGATACATATACTCCGGCAGGCATAGTTTTGTCTATAACATTAACAGATTTATGCATTGGCAAAGTGAATTTTTTGTCGTTTATTAGCAAGGATTGAACTGCAGAATTTCTGACCGCATGACGGCATGCACGTTTTAGCTTATCGCGAACCTTGAATAACATATGAGCAGCGGTTATGTATTTACTTGTTTGACGAATAAAGTTTTGCCCATGCAGCGACTCAACATGAGGTCGTACATGGTCCAACTTTAGACGCTTTAAAATGCAAGCGTAACAATTTACAGAGTTTGAAGTTCGAAATTTTTGCGCAAAATATCCTCCTTTATTTTTATAAAAAATTAGTTCGAATGGGCGGAATGACTTTGACTATAACTTTCGCTTTGTTGCGTGGTAATGTATAATTGCCCGGAAATGTTATTAGGTAATCGTTAGGTGGTTCTTGACGTCAAAAACATTTCAAAGTTTCTTTGCAATTGCTCAATAATCACCAGCCAGCGGCACCTTTGCATCACCCCGCATTTGAACCAATATTTTTGAAAACTCGGAAATGGCGCAACTTGCCATTCTTGGTAATACAAATATTGTAAATACTGTAAATATATATTGGATCAGGGGATGATGTGCGAATGCGAAGTTATGTTGTGAGCGTGAACTAAAAGTGAAGCGATAAATTTTGTGAAGAAGTCAATGAATTCGTTACAATTAACTGTATGAGACCCCGTTTACACTAGGTAATCGGTATAGTGGTACATTTCAAGTTGTTTTACAATGTCTCTGTAGTCTGTCCACTCACCACAATATTTTTTCATATGGCATATCATGTTAAAGCAATCATGCTACCATGCTTTAAGGAGTAAAACTCGCTTTGCCATAGCTAATTTTGATGTCGTTACAATACGAATCCGGTACAGTGTAAAGTGTAAACAGAGCCTGAGTTATCTTTTTAAAAGCTTATCCTTTGAACGTATAGTGCTCAAGGGATGATGGTTTGCAACCTGTCAGCTCCCTTGGAGCAAGTACGTTTTCCGTATATTTGGTAATTTCATATCACCAGTTTTACCCATCATATAATTTAGGTTAATTTCTTAAGTTTCGTCCTAAGCTTTGTGAATACAAGCTAAGATGAATTTTTTCCCACAGACAAAGAGTTGTGCATGCATGCAGTCAATAAACACATAAACATGCGCCTTAACCAAGAGGAGTTTTAAATGGTTAATCAATAATCCCTCTTGTGAGATGAAATATTTATTCCAGATGGCGGCCATGCAAATCGCTCGTTAAACATAGGTCGAGATATTTAAAAAACTATGAAAGATTGGAAAAATTGGTAAATAAGTTTACACTGTATAATTTCAACTTTCTTTTATATTTTGCCAAAATAGGAACTTCGAGCTCAGTTGGTGTGCATGTAGCACACTTGGACCAGTGAGCTTTTATATACCGGCTAAAAGAACTGTTGATTGTTGAAATGAGGAATTTCAAAGTTGGTTGTTTCCGTCAGACGCAATTATTTTCTACAGTTTTATGTTAGCAGAAAAACACTGAAATTTTGGGTAAAATTAAATATGAAATTATGGTGAAAAAGATGCATTAGAGAGTAGAGACAACCAATTATAAATAGGTCACCGTCTCTGCAGCATTCCAGTTCTCTTTTCGCATTAATTTGTTCGTATATATATATCATGTGTATTCCAGAATGCTATATATGACGTGCCTGCCTTGCTATTCTAGTGTATGTGTTGCTACATGCATGAATACAATTTACGTTTTCCGCAACGTTTTCAGGCTTCCACTGGTTTTCGTTAGTGAATCACGGTTCAATCGGTTTGCAAGTGGCCGCCCGGTGACGAAGTAGAATTTATATAAAATTACAAAGCATGAGCTATATGAGCTCCAGACCTAAGCTATAGGAAGTGTGAAACGGGCTTCATGAAAATTTCCCACACATCAAAACGAGCGTCAAAAATATAAATATGAATAGTTAACTAAATGCAATACAATTTTTAATAAGACCACATTACATTAACATGATTGGTCATTAAGTAGAATTTCTACTGCATCGAGCTTATACGGTAGCGCATGACAGCTCGACTGAATCACTGAAAGCGAGTACATACAATGCCGAAATGAAAGCTAATTTTAATCGTTCCAGTCCCTTCAACTGCTAGCTACGGATACTTGATAATAAAGTGTATTTCACTGGCAACTCATGTTGTATGTGTATGCTCTTGTGCTACAGATGAATTTTTAGTTAGCTATATTTTCTTTGATCTAATTTCAATTGTTATTTCTATATACAAGATATTCCTAACTAAAATCCTATGCTAAGCAAGAATCTAATTGACGAACTTGTTTTCCATGCATGCTCTATATAGCCATAGGACTACTGTATATCATTATATGCACACTATAGCCAGCGAGGGAAGCTGTCACTGATATGATAGGCAAACCGCGTGTCGTAAACACACGAGTTAGCATACTGCAAATATTCGTAGTCGAGACCAGACTGCGTACCTTAAATCAAAGTTCAAATAACAAACTGGCCTCCCAAAAGATGCTTGTATTATAGCTACAGTCTATAATCTATCATTCCACAGCCTCAAAACTCGCCGTCAAGACCAGAACTTCACTTTCGAGTTACGGAAATGCTGTTGGAATAGTTTCTCATACCGTTAAAAATTTTCAAATTTCTTACCTTTATAGGAAGAATTGGAAGACTTTGACCTCGATCACCTCTTTTTTTCTGACTAAATAGTCGTGGCATTCGAGGAATAACTGTTTGTGTCCTTTGTCGAATAATAAAATCTTTTCACAATGATCTCCTTCGGTATGAAATAACTTCGAATATACTTTGAACTTGCTTCATATGTGTTCCAGCACGTGTAATGCAACTTATGTAGATCTAGACAGACTGCTGTGATAGCCCACTCGAATGAAAAACGTAAATTACAGTGCGGATGAAGGGCGGCCCACGCTTTCTATGGAAACACCCCCGCAAATTGCGTAATCTTTGCGTTTACAGCGTGGGTATAGAAATCTCTGCGGAATTTTAGATATGCATCTGCATCACCACATTCATTTAATACAAAGTGCATTTAACACACAAATGACAATAATTTCAACAATCCAGCATTATTTACTTTCTTGTTGTGCGCGTCGTGAGTGTTTGCACTGAAACGATGAAAAGGCAAATTTACTTTTATTTTCATGACCACGTACGTCATCGGACCACCCCGTCCCCTCTTCATTGCTTAAAATTACCGTGAGTCTACATATAAATTCTAGACAACTAAGGCCATCTTTGAAACTTTTTAGAAGGCCAAAGCAAAGTTGTAATAGCCGGATTGATATACCAGCTATCATCTGTAATTCTATATGCTTGTTTACATGCTTGAAATCGCCATTTCGATTCGCTATTCAAAATAGCAGAAAGATGCGAATACCAACCATAATGTGATCAAATTCACTTGCAAAGATCTCAGGGCCTCCGCAGACTAGGGATTCAGTTGTCGTCGTCGACAACTATTTGTGATCGACAAATAAATGTTATGGACAACTAAAAACCGTAGTCTGTCGCGTTGTCGGCAACTAAACTTCGGAAAGAGTAACTGCGTAGTTGTTGACGGGCTCATTTTTTGGCGTTTTTCTAGTAGTGTGAAAACTTTTGTTTTAGATGTCGACTACTTTTAATCTCCGCGCTATTTCGGTTGCTAAATCAGTATTTTAGCGCCATTGTGTGGAATCCTTTATCGGACTTATTTAATTGTCGATCACAAATAGTTGTCGACAACTAAATCCCTAGTCTGTGGAGGCCCTCATATCGCAGTTGCATTAAGCAAGTTATTCACGGATGTTATTCAATGACCAGCAGCTGCTTAAACCTCGTTTGAGCACTTTGACGGATATGATGTCAAAACATGCAGCGCCAGGCAGTAGGACGGAAAGACAACAAATCATATACGTATAGACAAAACTTTTCACCTGAAGCTTCTTTATATTTTTTTACCGATTAAAAGCGGAAATTAGCCTTAAAGAGAAAAATGAAGCTCCCAGGTATTTTTTTTACCTCAAGATGTTTCCGTTTGGAGTAAGATTTATCAATCAAAGAATCCTACGCATATTTTCGAGGCTGGTACTTTCATTCTCTCGGATGCCCGGAAGGCTTGTCCGATTACAGGAACGGCAGAGAGCAGGAAGTCTCTCGGCTTATCCCGCCCTGCAATTTCCCTGGATTTTTACAGACAGAATAGAGATTTTATGATATTGCTTGCCCACACACGTAACCTGCCTCCCGTAACCGTCTCTCGGTGAACCTGTTGAGATATGAAATTCAGGAGAAACCGTGAGATTGTCGTGAAGTTTTTTGAAAGCTGAATCTTGAAAATAGTGGTTCTTGCAAGCAATGGAAAAATGTCTGAAAAATAATATTGTAAATATTGAGCTAACGATAAATGGAGAATGGATACTTCAGGA